TTTAGACACTCACCTTTGGCCTGGGATTGCCTGTGAAAGGCACAGTAATCTTGATTTCTTCGCCGGCAATGACTGTAATGTCACGCAGGCTCAGATCACTGGTAATACGTGGGCAGTTAGGCGGCGCGCATGCACGTATGGCGTCAGAGCTCTGAGAATATGGTCCTTGACCTGCTGCGTTGACAGCTGCTACTCTAAACTCATATTCATGGTTTTCAATCAATCCGGTAACCTTGTAGGTTGTATCTGGAATGTGTGCGTGTGATGCTTTGGTCCATTTGTCTTCGGTAATCAATCGCTTTTCTACGACATAACCAGTGATAGGTGAGCCACCGTCGTGGCGAGGCTTTGTCCACGTGATTGTAATGGAAGAATCTGTAGTCTCCACGGAGCGAGGTGCTCCAGGTGCACCTGGTGGGTCGAACGGATGTCTTGCCTTGATCGGTTCGGTGGTCTGTACAGGATCAGACTGGCCATACTGGTTCTCAGCCATGACTCTGAATTCATAGTCGCGTCCAACAGTTAAGTTCTTCACTCGCAAGAAAGGAGTAGTAACATAGCCAGACACCTTGGTCCAGTTAGGCGACCTAGCTTCTCGTTTTTCCACAACATAGTTCGTGATCTCACCGCCACCGTTGTCTTTCGGTGGATTCCAGTAAAGTGTGAGAGCTTCACCTTCAAATTCATCAGCTCTGAGGTTTTCTGGTGGGCTAGGCCTATCAAGGACTTTTACGTTAATAGTAGCAGTGTCATAGCCTGACGGGTTGCGCAGTTGCAGCCTGTATTGACCACCGTCGGATCTCTTCGCATTTTTGACAACAAACGACGCGGAATCTGGTGTAATTTTCTGGAATATTCTCGAGTCACCATCAACATCAATCAGATTGTCATCCCTGAACCATGTTGCGGTAGGTTGAGGGAATCCAGTGTAAGGTACGTGGATAGAAAAGTCTTCGCCAGCGCGAACAGTGATGTCCCTGACTCCGCCAAGATCCATACAAGGTTTGTTGGGTTGTTCAGCGATGACAATATCTCCAGTGGACTTGCTGGGGTCGGACCTGCCGACGTCGTTGACTGCAATAACCCTAAATTGATACTCATCTCCTTCCTTAAGATTAGGAACGGTGTACACAAGACTCGGGGAAGGCACATCATTAACATCTTTCCAATCCTTGTCTCCCTTACCCTTTTGTTGGATAATATAGCCTTTGATTTTAGCACCACCGTCGCTCTTAGGTGGTCTCCATGACAGTGTAACAGAATCTTTGGTAACTCTGTCAGGTTTAGGTGCCTCTGGAGGACTAGGTTTAAGCCTTTGAGTCTCTGCTGTGATAGGTTCGGTGGGTTTGCTAGGTTTTCCAGGTCCGGCTTCGTTCACAGCAATTACTCTGAATTCGTAACGGTTACCTTCACGTAAGTCAGGTACGGTATAGCATGTGTTGGGCGTTGGGTAGTTATTGACCTTCACCCAGTCACCTCCACGCTCTCTTTTCTCCACATAGTATCCAGTAATGGGTTTGCCACCGCAATCCTTTGGTGGCTCCCATTCAAGAGAGCAGCTGTTAGAGCTATAACCGGCAATCCTTGGCGTATCAGGAGCGCCAGGTGGATCAAATGGAGATTTTGCAACAATAGGTTTGCTTTCTAGCGGATTCGAAACACCGTACAAATTTTCGGCGCGAACTCTAAATATGTATTTCTTTCCTTCAGTCAAATTCTTAACAGTGAACGAGCATTTAGGGCAGAAACCAGCGACCGTGCGCCAATCATTGACACCAAATTCAGCCACTTCGACGACGTATCCAGTGATCTCACTACCACCGTCATCTGTAGGCGGGTTCCATGTAAGACTAATGGAATCGTGTGTTACAGGGGTGCAAGAAAGTGGTCCCTTGGGTGGTCCTGGTTTATCTACGACAATAACTTCAATGTCCGCAGAATCTTTTCCATGATCATTGGTAGCTGTAATGGTGTATTTGCCAGCATCATCGCGAGTCGACTTGTCAATGCAAAGTTTAGTCTCATCCATTTTAGTTTCGGTGGATAGTCTGTGTGAAGGTAATAGTGGCACAGAGCCCTTAGTCCAAGAAATGGTTGGTGTTGGCGCACCAGTAATTGGAATGTTAATATTGATGGGTTCACCAGCTCTGACCTTAATCTTTCTACCAATGAGATGATCTAACCATAGTTTAGGCTTCTCTTTCATTGGTCTAGCAATGAATACGTTCGATGGGTCGGAAGGTTGACCAGGGCCAGCGGCGTTAACCGCCGATACACGGTACTCATACTGGTGTCCTTCCTGTACCCTGTCGTCGTCATAATCGTTAGTTCTAACAGGTTCCTTGTTAAGTTTAATCCACCTTCCAGTAGCCTTGTCTCGTCGTTCAACATCGTAACCAATAATGTTCGATCCACCATTGGAGATAGGTGAAGACCATTTGATCTTAATGTGATCTTTGTCCGAAGAAACCAGCTCTGGTTTTCCGGGTTTGCCGGGTACTGTGTATTGGTTTTTGGCAACAATAGCTCTGTCTGTTACGAGTGGTTCAGATCTACCCTGCAAGTTTTCAGCAAATACTCTGAACTCATATTTGGTGCCTTCTTGAAGTCGTGGAACGGTAGCGTGATTGAATTTCGGATTAATGTATGTAACAGCTGGTACCCAACCCCCACCGTGCGTTAAGTCTCGTTTTTCAATAACGTATGCAGTCAGCTCGCTGCCACCATTGTCCTTAGGTGGTTTCCAAGACATCGTAACAGATTGAGCAGTGATCTCCTCATACTCAAATGGTGCCTGCGGTGGTCCAGGTACATCCAGAACAATAAGCTCGAAGCTGCCTTCGTCAGATCCTGAGTCATTCTTTAGGGACAAATGGTATTTACCAGCATCTGAACGCTTGCAATTGACTGTATGAATAATAGTGTGGTGGCCGACCGATGTGACGGTTGTTCTCTCGTTGGCAACTACCGGTTTACCACCACAAGTCCAGTTGACCTCAGGAGCAGGTTCGCCAATGAAATCGACGTCTAAGTGGAAAATAAGGCCAGACTTGATTGTGATATCTTTAAGAGGTGTGATTATCTTTGGAGCAACAAATCTGTCTTTAGCAGTGATAATGTCAGAAGGCTCACTAGGCTCAGACTGGCCGGCTTGATTGACAGCGATCACTCTAAATTCATAGTCTTGGCCTTCAGTTAAATCAGGTACTGTAGCTTTATTCTTGTTAGGCGGTACGTGAACAGCGTTCACCCAGTACGGGCTGCCCTTTTCTTTTTTCTGAATAATGTAACCCGTAATAGGAGCTCCTCCGTCGGATTTAGGAGTAGTCCATTGTAAGTCGACATGATCCTTGCTCCAATCAGTGGCCTCAGGTTTACCAGGAGGCGATGGCTCATCGAACTCGTTCTTCGCGATAATAGCTCTGTCTAATTCAAGGGGTTCTGATTGACCAATGGCGTTAACGGCACTTACTCTGAACAAGTATTCCTTCATGTGAATTAAGCGCGTTACTTGGTGGGATAGATAAGTACTCATACCAGCGTCAGACCATGTACCACGTGTCAAGTCCATCTTCTCAATAACGTAATGCAAGATAGGTGAGCCGCCATCGTCGAGTGGTATCTTCCAAGAGAGAGAACAAGAGTCTTTGGTAATATCGGAGACTACAAGCGGCTTCTCTGGGCGAGATGGTTTGTCCAAAACTGTGACGTTGGCCGTAGCAGAGCAAACGCCTAGGTCATTCTTAAGGGTCAGTTTATAAACGCCTCCATCAGACCTGACGGAGAATGGAATGTCTAGAATGACCCTGTTGTGTAATATCTGAATGTCGATTCTGTCGCTAGGATGAATGACCTTGCCATTGATCTGCCATTCGACTGTAGGCTTAGGTGATGCTTCAATTGGGATTTCGTATTGAATTCTCTGTCCAGCTTTGACAGTCTTATCCGCCAGCAGCATCTTGTCGAAATGCGGTGCGCAGAATCTCGCCTTTGCGACCTGTGGAGACGAAGCGTCACTAGGTTCGCCATTTCCTGCTTTATTCACAGCGATAACCCTGAACTCATACTCCTCTCCCTCTTGGAGATTAGGAACTGTTGCAGTAGTCTGGTTTCCAGGGACAGTCGCGGCCATTTCCCACGGTCCATATTTCTTCTTAGCCTCTATAATGTAGCCAGTAATTGGAGAGCCACCATCCTTCTTTGGTGGCACCCATTCCAAATCCATATGATCTTTGTCCCAGTCCTTGACGACAGGTGTTCCAGGTTTATCTGGTGTACCGTAAGGGTCCTTGGCTGTAACCGGTTCGTGTCCTACTAGTGGGAGAGATTCACCCTGTTTGTTGACTGCGCGCACTCTGAAGTTATAGTCGTGACCCTCAATGAGATGATCAATTCTGATACTGCAAGCTTGCACGTCACCAGCAGGTACCCAGCGCATATTTTCCTGGTCCATCTTCTCGACAACGTAGCTTGTAATTTCGCTACCACCATCGTCCTTGGGTGGCCTCCATTTAAGAGTACAGCCAGATTTGGTAACGTCATCAGCACGAAGCGGCCCTTCTGGCGGCAATGGCACATCGAGTACCACAACCTTAACAGTAGCTGTATCAGTTCCATTGATGTTTTTAGCTTTCAGAGTGTAAGTACCAGAGTCGGTTCTCTTAGCATCAATAACACGGAACTTAGTATGCGTATTATCATTAACAATTTTGATTCTGTCGGTATTGAGGACAAGGTTGTCGTCGTGGAGCCATTCCTTGGTTGGAGTAGGTTCTCCAGCGACTGGTACATCGAGTTCGTAGTTCTGTCCAGCCTTAACCTTGATGTTGAACATAAAGTTGCGATCGATCTTGGGTGCAAGATTCTTGGGCCTGGCAAGATGTGGTCCGGTGCCATCACTGGGCTCGCCGTTGCCTGCTTTGTTGACAGCGCGTACGCGGAATTCGTACGTGTTGCCTTCAATGAGATCTGGCACTTTGCCGGTAGTGACGTCACCTTCGATCTAGAAATGAGATAGATATATATAGTTGAATACAATAATGGGATTTCATCGAGATCACTCACAGTTTAACCTACCTGAGCACACTCTTCCCAATCGGGTGAAAAGCGATCTTTCTTTTCAATAACGTATCCTGTAATTGGTGCACCACCGTCCTTCTCGGGGCGGGTCCATTCCAGCTCCACAAAGTCTTTGTCGAAGTCCTTGATCTTCGGTGTGCCGGGTTTTCCAGCAACATCGAATGGATTCTTTGCTTCGGTCGAATGCGGGGTCGTTAGCGGTTCGGACTTGCCTTGCCTATAGAAAATAAGTAGGAAAATGGCCAATAAAATATTATAAACAACCAATGATAGATTTTGTTTCAAAACGTCGTTTCAATTACATCCGTAATGTAAACACTTCATTGGTACTACCAATAATGGATGTGCAATGTTATAGATATGTCGTATTCAGTGCGAAATACTGACCTGTTAACAGCCCTAACGCGGAACTTGTACTTGTGTCCAGGAGTAAGGCCATCAACGGCAAGACTGGTCTGGGGTCCGTCGGTTTCTCCCGCAGTCACCCACCGCCCGGTAGCTTCATCCATGCGCTCAACCACATATTTATCAATGGGTTGACCGCCATCATCGGCTGGCGGGTTCCAGGATAACTTAGCACCGTTCGCGTGTACATCCGAGACCTAGTATCACAAAATATTGAAATAGGACTCTCTACGGCAGTAAAAGATTAGAACTGATTGTTCTGATTTATGAATAAACATAACCGAAGTGTTTACTAACCTTAAGTGGTCCTCCAGGCGGACTGGGCACACTGAGAACGATGACCTCAACTTCAGCCACATCCTTGCCATTGCAGTTCTCAGCAGTGATAGTATATCTGCCACTGTCAGCGCGAGTTGCTGTCTTACAGTTGATCTTTGTATTGTAATCGGAATGCTGTACTTTCATGTCTCCAGCAGATTTCACTTCCTTCTTTCCTAGGAACCACTTGGTCTCGGGCATTGGTTCACCGGTAACCTAGAAATGACAATTATATTTTTGTAACATTGATTTTTAACTGACTTTTAACATAAAAAATGTAAAATGATAAAAAAAATAACGTTACTGAGTGACGTGCCATAAGAGCTCAAGTTAAATAAGATTTTCTTGGTTATAAAAGATATTCTTGGTACATCCTCATTATTGCACGTACCTTGACGTCAAATCCGAATTTCTGTCCAACCTTGATTTTAATGTCAATAAGGTTGGTCCTGTCAATCTTAGGAGCGAGATTCCTGGGCTTAGCCACAATTGGATGTGTACTATCGCTGGGCACACCAGGACCTGCCTTGTTTACCGCGCGTACTCTGAAAGGATGGAATACAATATTTTTAGGACTTTGTTAAAGCGTTTTAGTTAGTGGACGGCAGAAATAGGATAGTAGTTTAATCCTCTGTGTCTAATTAAAACTGAGTCTATGACTACATGAATTCTAACTTCTTTGTCTTACTTCAATATAAGTACTAGTAAATTACGATAATACTCGCGCTTTACCCTTAGAGATTAGCATGAGTACCTCATGTATCCCCATGTATGAGTACTGTAGTAGAGGCTGGTTAATGCTAAGCCCACGGTTACGCCCCCACAGTACCCTCATGTTAATCGATTCGGACGAAGCGCTTCATATAATTATGATCGAAATTCACTTACTAGGCAGGCAGTTCATTTAATAATAAATTAAAAAAAAAATACATTTTTCTTACGGGCACATAAACAATGCGTTAAGAATAAGAGTAAATTCAACAACAAAATCGAACAAAAGCCTGCAAAGCCCGGGGGTTTACGATTGTTTCATATCACAATTACTTACCTAAACTCATAAGTCTGTCCTTCAATCAAGTCAGGCACGGTACAATTGGTTTTATCAGCAGGCACTTCAAGCGCCTTCTCCCAATTGCCAAACTTGTCCTTCTTCTCGACGATGTAGCCCTCGATAGGAGCGCCACCATCTTCGCGAGGCGGGGTCCATTTGAGATCCACGTGGTCCTTGTCCCAATCTGTGACGCTTGGTGTTCCAGGCGCACCTGAGAATAGAAATGAAATATAGTATGATATAATCAGTGAGGATTTGCAATTGCCATAAATTCTTCTACATTTATAAATCTTCATAACTACTTCATTTACACAGCTTCTCTAAAATGGTATTTCCGCCCCCTTTGACACCAGTCAATTACTGAACCTGAGGCGATATGTTTTGGATTTTGCTTTATTTCAGCGTTAATATGCCAGAGAAAAATGTACATTTGGTCGGATCCCCATCTAGCTAGCATAAATGCATTTCAAAATTTACTATCTCTTAGCATCTATGCAACTTACCAGGTTCATCGTATGGGTTCTTAGCGATGATGCTTTCCTCTGACGTAAGGGGCTCAGACTCGCCTTCAGAGTTGACAGCCGCCACGCGGAACCTGTATTCCTTGCCCGGTGTAAGGCCGGTGACTTCACATTCTGAGAAAGGGGGAAATATTCGTTCAATGATTTGTCATATCGTATATCAATGCGACTATAAAGTTTTACCGTGAAAATCAGACAGACTAATGCGAACCGCCGCATCTCACCTGATGGAAAATGACTCTGAAGTCGACGGCGTAGCATGCACGCTCAAACAATTCCTATTTAATGTCGTCTTGAAATTGTTTCTAGTTATGGAATGAGTCTGCAGGCAGGGAATTCCACCTCGTTATTAGTAAATAATGTTAATCACTTACTAGGCTCATCAGATCTTGCACACGGTACCCAACAACCGGTCTCGGTGTCAAGTTTGTCGATCTGGTAATATTCAATGGGCGCACCACCGTCGTCCTTCGGTCTCTTCCATTTGAGTGTGGCTCCATCGCTATGGACGTCTGAGATCTGGGGGTAATAATAGACGTGTGCGAGATACAATACAAACATTAAAACTATGTATTTCTACAGAGACGCAGTTGTAGAAATGATCGAAAAAGAAAGGACAATGCCCATTTTAGACTCGTAAACTATGTAGTCGTGACCGGTTGAAAAATTTACATCCATTTTAAAATATATTAGCAAACAATTTCAGTTTCATTCATAAAATTTTGAAATAAGACGAAAACATAAATTCGGTTATTTAAGAATACGTAAAAACCAATGAAGACAAATATTTGTTTTTGAACATATCACAACTTACATTTTGACATTTTATTTTAAGCCTTGTTTCCCGCGTCGTGATTTTTCCAACTTTGAGACAATTACAAACGAAAATGTTGGATCAATCATGTCAAGTGTAAACGAAACTTAAAATGAAATGTGAAAATTCAAACTAGTTAAGCTCAAATATAAATGTTTGAAACGCATTCATTTTTTTAAAGAATTATTTAAAAAAAAAACATATCTTTTTTACGTTTTCATCTCATTTATCTATTTTAGTAGATCTAAGTATTTCTTTTGATGTGTACCTGACTGTACCCACTGTTGAACTCTGTAACATAACTCACAAAAAATTGTTGCTTAATCTACTTAATAAAAAATATAAATCCATTATAATTACAAATTAAACCCTATTATATCAGCGACTAAAGGTCGTCAACATTCTTTTAGCTGGTTCTGGACTGTATGGGCATTGTTCTTTACGCTCTACACTCTTATTGCACTGAATTATATGTACTCAATAAGGTAGACGTCACACATTTGCATAAATATAACTTACTTGCAATGGGCCTTCAGGTTTGTTAGGCTTGTCAGTGACAACGACGTTAATTGTCACAGTGTCCTTTCCACTAGAGTTGACGGCAGTGACGGTATATTCACCAGAGTCATCTCGTCGTACGGGGCGAATCACGAGTTTCGTGAAGTAATCGGGACTATCGATTGTGACTGCCTTGGATGGACGGAGCGGCATGTTTTGGTATCTAGTTGAGAAATTGCAAATTAGCATAATGATTACTACTTTTAAAAGCAAATTATAATACAACGAGGAAATTTTCATGACATGAAACATATCTGGTAGATTTGGCTCTTTAGTATTCTTTGATCGCAAAGATCTGACGGACACTGCCACTGCGCCTGTCACCCTGAGACGTAAGTTAACAAGTTCCATGTGCCTGTAATTTCACCAGCAGAAATAGGGTAAGATGGCAGTACTTTCCAGGACGGACTCTTTCACAAGGAGCTCTTCTGCTATAAATACTTGAGACCAACTTATTTGTTTGCACATTAAAGAGATTTTCATTAAATATTTCATAAATATTAAATATTTCACTATGTGAAATCTCCATTCTGCCTAAAGCCAGAATTCTAGATAATGCATAAGATTATTCAAGATACAAGTACGTATAAGTAAGTAAGTATAAGTAAGGTATAAGCTTGAACTTCTTTAGGACTTACCTCCATTCAACAGCTGGAGCAGGCTCGCCAGTAATAGCAGCCTCTAGCTTTAGCGTAGATCCAGAAGACAGCGTGACGTCACGGAGATTACGTCTGTCGATCTTGGGCGCCAGGAAGCGAGGCTTGGCGATGAAGTTCTTCGAAGCTTCTGACGGCTTGCTTTGGCCGGCCTTGTTGATGGCGACTACACGGAATTGATATTCGTTGCCCTCGATCAGCCTTTTAACAGAAATTGAATAAGAGTATGCATGTAAAAAGAAAATTGTACAGAATTTCCAGTCCTTTTAAAGTTAGATAATAGTCAATCACATCGGATTCGATAATCAGTATCATTTAGTCACTTTATGAAAGAATAACTAAGTTATATTTCCTCTCCTACGTAAAATACCGTAAGCCGAAATTACCAAGTTTACAGGTGAGCGTTTTAAAGTTTTGAATTCACTGAAATGAGCATAATACAGTTTTATTCGGCAGAGCTCGTTACTCACATAAAGTGTTATAAAATTCTAGATATCGGTTAAACGAACAATACAATTTATTTATCATTTTACAATTTATTAGTGACGTATCATGCTTCAGTTAATTCAAAGCTTTAAAACGCTCCCCTGAAAACTTGGCAATTTCGACATACGATACTTTACGTAGGAGGGGTCGATTTATGAGTTTTCTTCCATTAGCTTTCAAATTTGAGTGTACATAAACTCGTCCTTTACCCATTAACGGTAGCAGTGGGTGTAGGTGTGTGTGTCTCCACGGCCTTCTCCCACAGCGGGCTGTATTTGTCTTTCTTCTCGACGATGTAACCAATGATAGGAGAGCCGCCGTCCGATATCGGCGCTTCCCATTTGAGGTCCACATGACTAGCTGACCAGTCATCTGGTACGGGAGCTGATGGTGCATCCGGTACAGCTGTTGAAAAATAAAGGACTTTGTTAGTAGCTGTGAGACAAATACAGTGTCAAATTCAAGAACAGAGGTTTGAAAAGCTTATACTTGGATGTTGTCGTTGTTGGATTAAAAAATACACCTAGTCATACATTTCTAAAGGAAGACGAATCGTATATTTTTATTCAACTGCCTCCATATCCGAACGGTTACCATGCTGGTCTGCCACGCAGAGAACCCAGGTTCGAATGCTGGGCCAGGAGAGATATGTGAATGGCCAACATTTATTTAGGACTAGTGACGCGCATGGAGCCGATGAAGATTAATATACAAACGATAGAACTTACTGAAGGGATCCTTAGCGACGATAGCGCCAAAGGTCTCGAGTGGTTCAGACTCGCCCTCCTTGTTGATCGCCTTCACACGGAACTTGTACTCGTGTCCGGGAATCAACCCGTCAACCTGGTAAAGGTAATAATTAGTTTGAATCTTTGTCAAATTTATTTCAGTTAGTTCACGTACAGCGAGAGAGTACTGACGTTCGCTCTTGGAAAAAAATATTGATAGACGTTTACAATACATTGATTCTTTTTGAAGAACGTAATTGAAGAATAATTTCTTCAAGTATGTGTCAAGAAGAACCCCAAATATTGAAAACCAAGATTTTCAGAAGTTTATAAAATACCTCCATCTCAGGCACATTGCCAAGAGTCTTGCCGACAGGCAACCAAGTGCCAGTCTCGGTGTCGTATTTTTCCACAAGGTAGGCTTCAATGGGCTCTCCGCCGTCGTCCTTGGGCCTCTTCCAGGCCAGCTTGCATCCGTCCTTGTGGATATCAGAAACCTCTAGTGGACCTTCTGGTTTTTCTGGTTTAGCTATAAATCGAAAACAAGGAATGATGACAGATCTTTATACATTGTTTTACCAAAAAATTAGTCCGAATCTGTTTCGAATTAAATAAAATTATTAGTATGGTCTACTTTTGTATGACGTTAAAAATTAATGATTCATAAACTTACATGTAACAATAATCTCCACTTCAGCGGTGTCCTGTCCGTACTTGTTGACGGCCTGGATCTTGTACGTGCCAGAGTCCTTTCTTCTGGGACTCGCGTGCTGGTATTTGCTGAGGTATGGGACGTTAACCACTGCGAAATAAAAAGTCAAGAAGAAATTAAACAAAATTGGGAACTAGTTCGCCTACAGAAAGAACTCTTTGTAAAACTGTAAGAAGTATAGTTATATATAGTAAACAATTTTGTTTTAATCTAAATCGTCTATTTTTTTTCAAACAAATCAACATTTCAAAAGTTAGCCGTGACCATGTGCCCTGTAAAGGACCCGAAAAAAAATTTTACACGAAAACGTAAAATGCACACTTACATTACAATATTAAAAAAAAACTCGATAAATTATTGAACAATGCTAAATATTACATAGTCGACCTTGTACATAAATAAAGCATACATATTCTGAAAAAATGCATTGATAAAAACTTTAAGTTATCCGCCTGATGTAGTGGGAAAAAGATACTAAATTTCCATGGAATATAATAATAGGACACTATGAAACTAACCCGCTCGATATAAAGTAGCAGTAGAACTCCTTGTGAAAGAGTCCATCCAGGATAGTATTGGCACTATACCTATTTCTGCCGCCAGGCAGTAAGGACAGCATTACTGTGTTCCGGTTTTGAAGGGTAAGGGTGCTGATGAAATTACAGGTACATGGGACTTGTCAACCGTATCTCAGGGTGACGGGCGCAGTGGCAATACCCTACAGATCTTTGCGATTTAAAGTTCTGAGTGACACTGCACGACTTGTTCGTCCCGTCACAAAATATTATAAAAAATATATATAAAAAAAAGGATCTCATACTTTTGTGGTACTTTTTGATCTACACACAAATACTCACATTTAAGTCCATTGCCGTCAATGACGGACTTTCCGTTAAGCGTCCAGGTGACGTCCGGTGGCGGCTCGCCCGATACTTTGACATCAAGCGCGATGGGTTCGCCCTCGTGCACTTTGATTGTGCGCAGGTTACGACGATCGATCTTCGGAGCCACTGAGGAGAAAACATAATATAAATTATGAGTCGTCATTCAAGTCGAGTTCTTGTCAATCCCTAGGTTCCCGTTCCTAAATATCTTGTATATTATATAATTACTATCTTTGCAAAGTAAAAAATGTATTGACATTGGTTAAATAAAGTACCTTTCTAAAGCCAGTAATTAAGAGTAATAATATCTCAGCTTAAATTCACATGTTTCCCGTACTAATACGGTTCATTTTGCTTGGCTCGAGCGGCAGAGACACTGGCGTTAATGTAGACTTTATTTTTTTACAAACGAATATTATACGTGTTCTATTTAGTTCAGTTGATATAAAAAAAACCTTGTACATGTAAAGTACCATATGTGTATATGTGATTTTTTTTTCTATAGTGAAAATTTTTATAAAACCGTATTTTCACAGTGTATAGTAATCAGTGTATATCCTGAATTGTACTATATATTTTTTCGAAAGTAATTGATTCGACGCTTTCACTGATATGCAGAATCAACCAAAGCCATTTAAGGTATAAGTATACACTGTTAAGGATACACGACAAATGAGCTCAAATACTTACATCTTCTGGGTTTGCAAATAACAGATTTGCTAGCGTCACTTGGCTCTCCAGGACCGGCTTCGTTGATTGCCTTCACTCTGAACTCGTACTCTGTTCCCTCGTCTAGATTCGGCACAGTCGCCTTCTCATTGTCGTTAGGACCAACCTGACGAAACAAACGATGCATTACATTCAGTACTAAAGTCTTGACTAGAGTAGTAAGTCAGATCGGGACTGGTCAGGAATAAAGACATACTAAAATCTTATTTAACCCACGTATGCATACGCGTACCACTAAGAAATATATGTATTCTTTCAAATATACTATTTTTTGATATTTGATATTTAATATTATTTCGTCTGTGTTTTATAGAAAGGCTGTAAACGCCATTTGGAAAAATTTTTCAGAGGAGCGTGTTTTAGATTTTAACGACTGTTAAAATTCAACTTCGGTTTTCATTAAATTTAAGTTTGAAAATTGATTTTTTTTTTTGTGATAATGCCCCATTACAGGGTTTCTCAACCCTTTCCTAGTTAGTCATGGACCGTTATCAAAATTTCAAAGACCCTAAAGGCCCTTTCTAAAAAATGAAGAAGAAGAAAGGCTCGAGGGTTGCAGTGACGTGCATCTCGCTCGCTCCAATAATGGATGGCCGTTAAAGGCGCTAAAATGCAAAAAGGTTACGCGCTCAGCACCCATTTAACCTATTTACTCCCAACATATTTTATATCAGTAGAGCTCCTTATGAAAGAGTTCATCCAGGGTAGTATTACCACCTTGCCTATTTGCCGCCAAGCAGTAATATTAGCATTACTGTGTTCCTGTTTTGAAGGGTAAGAGTGCTGGTGATATTACAGGCACATGGGACTTGTCAACTATGTCTCAGGGTGACGGGCGCAGTGGCAGTGCCCCTCAGATGTTTGCAATTTAAAGCGCTGAGTGGCCCTGCAACTGTTATGGATAGACGTGTAGCTTACATCAGACGCGCGACTCGTTCGTCCCGTCACTTAATACTATTTAAAAGAAATATTTTTCAAGTAATGCATTATATTATAGGTAGACTCCTCCCCCGGTGTCATTTCATGTACCCGTTAGGGGTCCATGGACCACAGGTTAAGAAACCCTGCTTTACTAGTTTGTTATTATTACTGACATAAAGATCGAACCAAAATAAAGAAAAATTCCTTCGACCAGACTGGGTTCGAACCAGCGATGGTTGCCTTATCGTGGCTACCGTTCTGCCGATTGAGCTACGGACAGAGCTTACGGAGTTCTTTATATGCCTGCTGCGGATCTTTGTACAGAGTTTAAGCGGTCGGATCGAAGGAATGTTTGGTTTGGGTAACCTATCACAAACTCGAATTTATTTTGTCCGAAATAACGTTTGTTGGAATTTTCATTACCCCGAAAACCGAATTATAACGAAACCGTTGTTCTTTCAGGATATGTTGGAAGTTTATCGCAAAGACACGATTAGGTTCGGTTAGGTTTAAAAGAAAAAACATTTTCCTCTCAAAATTACTTTCGAGGTTATGAAAATTCGAGCAAAAGTTATTTCAGGAAAATGTGATTTCGGACTTCTGATTAAGTAACCTTTGGTTTGTGTTTACTCGATCATGGTTCGATCTTTGTTTACATCTTGAGAACCGGATGAAGTCAGTGACAACGGACTGAGACTGTCTGACCCTATACACTGGCAGATCCAGGGTCAGAACCTGAACTAAGAAGGTTCCTGTGCACGCGCAGGTTATAGTGCACTTCCCGCTTTAACCAAGAGGTTGATAGGGAGGGTCACTAAAACTTATGTAGTAAAGATGGTGACGGTGAAAAGTGGGAGCTGTTCGATTTTTGTATCATTAATAATAACAGTTACATATTGCATAAAATTCCACAGATATATATAGGAATAATACAGGAACTATACATTTTTCTTCACGACAATACGTAAGTTCAAAAGTGCCGTCACTAACCTCGCAAGCTTTCACCCACTTAGGCGATCCGACTTCACGTTTCTCAATGATGTATCCGGAGATCGGGGCGCCGCCGTCGCTGATGGGTTTCTCCCACTTGAGATCCACATGGTCCTTGTCCCAATCGACAACTTCTGGCTTGCCGGGCTTACCGGGTTCGTCTGTAAAATATCAATAACATAACTGACTACAATTATATTGAACATACACTGGAACTTATCTTTTAATATTTTTATTGCTTATAATTTCCGCGTATAAAAACAAAAGTAGTTAACGAGATCAGGAACAGTTATTTGAATTTAAGAAAACGTCAATAGTCGTAGGAAATATACCTACTTTAAAAAAAACATATTATTAAATTTTACCAACTTAAGCTGTCTCAATTTCTTTCTTCTGATATAATAACAATGAAAGGATCCGTACAAAAAAACTGAATCGATAAGCATAAAAAAAGTGTGTGTCAATATTATTCATTTTTATGGACCAAAATACTGACTATGTCAAATTAACTTTCACAAAACAGAACTAATGGTTCGTAAGACAGTTTCCATGGTTTCGGATTTCCCTTACTGTCCCGTTTAAAAAAAGAACAATGTATAATATATTATATGATAACGCACTATAAGAAACTTCTCTTATCAGCAATAAGTCTTAAAAACTATAAAGTAAATAATAGTATTAAAAAAAGATGGTGTTGATTGACTGATTGAATTAAATTTGCCTTATTCCTCGATAATAAATCTCGTAAAATCATATAAATGATTCCTTACCGAAGGGATTTTTAGCAATGATGGAATGATCAGCCTCCAGTGGTTCAGAAACACCTTCATTATTTACAGCAGATACTCTGAACTTGTACTCATGTCCAGGCACTAGATTTTCAATTTCAGCCTTTGGATCTTTGGTCTTGAGTGCTGGCATCCAGCGCCCGGTTTCCGTGTCGAGTTTCTCTACTAAGTAGTGGTCTAGTGGAGCACCGCCGTCGTCTAGTGGCGGATTCCACTTCAGTGTGCAGCCCTCTTTGTGGACGTCCGAGATCTGGAACAACACCAAGAATCATGAAATGTGAAAATACTCTTGCAGCAGTAGAGTTCCTTGTGGAACGAGTTCGTCCAAGTTGTTCCGGTTTGGAAGGGTAAGGGTGCTGAAATTACACACACATGGAACTTGTCAACTTTTGACGGGCGCACTGTGACACGCATCTTTTCGATTTAAAGTTCTGAGTGGCACTGCAACTGTTAAGTATAGGCGTGTTGCTTACTCACGGCGCACGCCTTGTTCATCCCGTCACTGGTATTATAAAAAAACTTCAAATATTGCAGAAAACATTGCACATAAGGTAGTTTGCTTCATGGGGATATTATTTTAAAACCTAAGAATTTAAAAACTTTTAAAAAGTTGCTTGTCTCATCTGAGAATCGACTAACAAAATGTGAAAAAAAATCATGCATTTTTATTACACCGATCGAAAAGGTCAATTAATAAGGATATATTTTTATAAATAATATAGTATCTTAAATGAAAGGTACACCACGAAGTTTTACATTGAAGAATAATATCCTAAAGTAGTAATTTCCCCCCACTTTGCCGTGCGACGCCCTGTATATATCGCACTGCTGTTACAATAGAGTTATACCTCAAAATATGTGAAATTCAAGGTTATACCATTATTGAACGTAAAATTTGATTCTCTACACGTTAATAAAACCGTAGTTAGAATATTGTAAAAAAACAACTAAAAGATATCTACTTAACTCAAAATGAGACACGCTTTATGTGAGCTAGTTCTGGCCAAAATAGTCCTTATTCAAAAATTATTCTTTCTCTTTTATTTTTAAGTGTATTTGGTAAGTAGGAAATTGTCTGTAATAAACAGTAACCTGTACATACATTTTAATTATCTATCACAGGAAGCGAGTAATTAATTTTGAGTTAATACACTATTGTATTAACAATGCGATATACTCCTATATATTTAATGAACTCGATAGTTTTTATAAATTTTCCACAATTCAGACATAAATAAAGATTTTAAAAACTTACCTTCAAAGGTCCCTCAGGCTTAGCAGGCACATCCAGTACATTAACTTGAATGCTAGCCTCATCTTTGCCACTGCTGTTCTCAGCCTTCAACACATAAGTACCGCTGTGTTTCCTCGAAGCAACAACGACTGATAACTTAATCTTATAGTCTTCGGTGTCAATAGTGAGGTCGTCGCGTGTGGATAGGCGTTCTTTGTTATGGAACCAGGTCTTCGTTGGTGGTGGTTCACCGGACACCTTGATGTCCAGGCGAATGTTCTGACCAGCTTTGAGGGTCAGATCGCGCATGTTCGTGCGATCAATTTTGGGTGGAGCTGTATACAAAAATAAATACGTCATAATCTCAATACAGATTACTAAAAAAACCGACTTAAAAGTTCGTTTAATTACATCTATTTGCCAAGATTTTTTTGAAACCCTTAGAGGTGGAATATTTACTTCAAATTTAAATGGGACCATACTGAGGTACCCTCTTTCCAACAAAAATGAATCATAAACATCGGTTCATAAATTGCTGGAGTTATCACATAACGCACATACAAAAAAAACTCATTCTTTTAAGTCGATTAAAAACAAGAAAGAAATAGAAAGTACTACATAACTTTGGACTCCCAACTCCATATATGCTCTCCTATAGGTTCCCTGTGGGTTGACATAAACCACTTTGGGAATTATCAATCTACCCCATTGACTTACATTTATATGGACGTCGGGTCCGCGCTAAAAAGTGTCGGAACTTATAGGGCGTTAAAATCGTATACAGAGCGTCATTCACGATTTAGTCTTCGTTTGTTCGACTGACAGCGAAGCAAGCAAAATTAGACAGTACTGCGATGACATTACAATTTAAATTCAACGTTTTAGCTTTTTCATATTCCTTTACATGCCACTACGTTTAAATAGCTTGACTTGGGACATTTTTTCGTGGTTTTTGTATTAGACCCGTCGTCCATTTATTTGTAGGTCAATGATCTAACCAATTAATTAATTAAGTTTGAACTCCCTGTACTTACCGAATCTGTCTTTAGCCAGCAAATTATCAGATACCGCCGAGGGCTTGCCCGGGCCGGCCTTATTGACGGCCTTTACGCGGAACTGGTACGTCTTGCCTTCAATCAAGTCTGGAACGCGAGCTTCGGTCTTGTTTCCAGGGACCTATTCACAGAAACGTTTTTAAGGATAATACTGGGAATTTTGGCAGTTATTATTTGCACCTACTAAAGGGCGAATAAATTGCCATCACTATATGGGACTGTACGCAGGTGGGCTCTCCTCTATAATGCCTATCTAAATAGAGTCTGAGTCAGCATTGGAAGTTATTGAAACGTCCGTAATTCACAATTATTTAATCATATAAAATCTTAAAACGATAAGTTATCAAACCGAACTTCTCGCCCATACGTAATACCGCTGACTCTTACCTATACAAGTCTATTGTTATGCATGGAACCAGACTCCAATAAAGCAATATTAATGCCAATTATGACTCTACAACCAACATTTGAATTGAATTGAACTGAAAAGTCCAACACGCGTCCAGGCGTTAGACCGTGCATAGAGTAACGGGGTGCTGTTCATTCAATATAACAAAATAATGACGTATATTTTATTCGAAATAACGCTCACACTATATCGCTGATTTGGTGCTACATTGACGCAATTGTACTTCTTGTAATGTTACAGGAAATGGATTCGAAATTATTTTTTTAATTTTATTTAAAATTTATGACGTGTCAATAAAACTTCGTGTACATTTACAGTACTATAAATTTAAAATTACTACCAATTTTTCTTCAAATGTAAACACTAGACGATCAAACGAACTTCTTGAAGTGAAGTTCGATCACTATTATGTGAGTCGCTTCATTCGAAGATACAATATTTAACCAGGTAGTTGCCTTAACTTGCTAGGCAACTAAGAAAATGACGGTTGATGCCTGGTAGGGAGTGTCAACGTCAAAACATTTTATTTCTCTAAAAACCGTGCGGTGTTGCCTAGCAAGTTAAGGAAACTACCTGATTAAATATTATATCGAGAATGAAGCGACGAAATATAATTGTTATTTTACATTATGTGTTAATATACTTAATTAAATTTTGCCAAAATTACAGTCATGTTAATATAGCATCAAATGAACGATGTAATTAATTTATGATTTCACATAATATTCTTGCGTGATTTAAAATATATTTGGGCAGAAAATAGAGAATAAGAGAACGGATACTCTCCGCCCCTACCTAGTTTTAGATACCGCACCAAGCCCCGCACATTGCCGGTCACATTGACTGAACGACAACAAGGCTGCCGGCGAGCCGTTTTCGCGTGAAGACGGCTATGATATTTGAATATAGTTTTCATTTATTCATTACGAAACTTGTACGCTAATATAAAACATCATTTTTCGTTACTATTTATAATGGTCGTGAATTGTGCTGTGTACGGCTGTTTATCATTATTTTCCGAAAGATGAAATGAAGTAAGTAAAAAAACTTATGTCTGAGATTCATTCAATTATTGTTTTCTTCATTTATTTACTGCAGAGTAATATATGTGAGTATAAAAAATACGGATTTATTATATCAATATAATGAGACGCCATGACTTCGTGAGCTAGTAGACAAGGATTCGCAAATTTTCTATTCGTATTGCCGATAAATATTACGTAGGTAGTGAATATATCTAATTATTAACTAAACTTGGACACGTAATTTCAAATACCTTGGTTACCTTACCTAAAAGTACATGTCCGACATATAACATTTTAAGTGCTTTTAATATATTTTTGAAATAAATCTTCAATATTACTCTAGTTAGTGAATTAATGAAAAATTTAATAATATATCGATATAAATACCTAAGACATGTATAATTATTAGGATTCTATTAATAGAATCATAGATAACAGATTCGCGTTAGAATTTTTGCTATATAGCCGCTCTGACCACGTAACGTAATAGTGCGAGAAACGTAATAGTTTTCGATCGTATGCGTATATTTCGTTGCATGGAGTGTCCGGGGTGTGATTTGGGTATAATAAACGATTGAACTCAATTCATCTAATAAACCGATGCTATAATGTACATGTCATACAATCATTTCAGATATAACATTTGTTGAGTAAAGTATAATAAATATTAGTCCCAGAGTCAAATTTAGGAGAGAGGAGTATTAGGCGCATTAAAATAGATAGACTAGATCTTATAGAACTGATACTTCCCCTAGTTAGGTTAGGTTAGAAGTTTTTTTAAGATGCAATGACGTGTGACGCCCTAGATAGATTTCGTAATACTTGTGTGACGGTGTGACCTCCTTACACCGTCATCTCACCTCTTTGTATCGCCTCTCTCCGCTTGTATCCTATCATTTTTATTTTACATGTATTTAAATTTTAAATTTCAATTGTTCCATCTTCCTTCACTTTCTCATTTTGTTTTCGTACCACGGTCACTCCCAGCTCGACCGCCACAACAGTCGGAGCTGTTCCAAAATCCATCGCGAATAATCGCTAATTTTGGTCCTTTACTACGTTTATAATCATTTCATAAGCTAAATCATATGTAATAATTTATAAGTCCACAGCCTTCGTGTACCTATATCTGTAATTCAGTTACTCGGCCCATTTAGAGCCATTGTTTAAACTTTACTTCTTTAATAAATTTTGTGGTTTCCCGTTTCATTGCCGTGAACCTGTTCACGGCTAGTTAGGGTTACAACCCTTTCACTTAGTATTGTAAAAAGTTTTGGAGGTCCACACAAGGAACACCAGTTTTTTCATACTGACCTCGGCAGCTTTAACCCATTTGCCGGTATCTCGGTCCTTCTTCTCAACGATGTAAGCAGTGATGGGTGCACCGCCGTCGTTGGCGGGCTTCTCCCACTTGAGGTCCACGTGGTCTTTGCTCCAGTCCTTGAATTCTGGCTTACCTGGCGGGTCGGGCTCGCCTAGAAAATTAAAAACAGATTAGTGACTTTGCTACATTATTATCTATATAAAGGTGTTAAACAATATTACCCTTTAATAAGTGAGCCATAAAATACACTTTGATATGACTTACTTATTGCATCACGATTAGTGAACGATATTTTTAAAAACTTTTCAAGTCAATTTAATATTTCGTTACATTACATACAAATTTCAACCAAAAAGCTGGAATTCCCTTATACTTTTTTGTTGAATGCGTAAGACAGCTCTCAGAACCAAAAGGTCGGCCAGGGACATACAGGATAGCAACGTTGGTATGGAAGATTACGGAAATGGTCAATTTGAACAAATTAGGTACAATTTGATTTGCCTTTACTGTCGTAGTTGTATATTTACAGTTTGGGATTCGGGTATTATGTAGGACTCGTATTTTTTATACTAACAACCTAAAAAACAACTTACCATACGGATTCTTAGCAGTAGTAGCCTGCTCAGTAACAAGCGGCTCACTCTCTCCTTCAGGGTTAACAGCCTTAACCCTGAAGAGGTAGTCTTTCCCTTCGTTCAACCCTGTGACATCCGCCTCTGGGGTCTTGGTGGTGCAGACTGGCACCCATCGTCCGGACTCAGTGTCCATCCGTTCAACGACGTAGTTTTCAACAGGTTCACCACCGTCGTCTTCTGGTGGTTCCCATTTGAGCTTGCAGCCGTCGGCTTTGACATCGGAGACCTTATAAGGTTTTTCTTAATTAATAATTTGTCCTTTTGTACAAAGCTTTTTTATTACACGTAAAGTTCTCAACAGGTTTGGGATGAAATAGATAAAAGCCAGCAGCTGGCTATCTTCTCGTAGCTGTATTACAAAAAGTTTTACGTTATAATTGTAACTTTTTTTTATAAAAAAAAAACCGACCTCAAAAGTTCTTGGAATTACATCTATTTGCCAAGCTTCATTGAAATCGGTTACCGGAAAGGCGCGATTCACCGGATTCATCCCCTAGTTTGCCACCCATAGAGGTGAAATATTTTCTTCAAATTTAAATGGGACCACTGTTGAGGTATCCTCTTTACAAAAAAGAAAGAATCATCAATACCGATGCTAAAATCAGGCCGGAGTTATCGCGTTCCTTTTTTTTTTAAATCGGCCATAGATATAAAATGTAAATTTCACAATTATTTCTCAACGACTACTGTCAGTCACTCCAGACTTAACTCTGCACAAAACGAGACTATAATGAGTCTCGTCTCGGCAGAAGAAATTACATTATAAGGCCAACACACAGGCTCCTTGGTACAAAATTACTATATGCAAGTATATAATTACGTACCTTGAGCGGTCCCTTCGGCTTGGAAGGCTTGCTGACGACGTCAATTTCGATTTCAACTGAGTCAGTGCCAGAGTCATTTTTGGCTGTCACCACGTACTTGCCGGTGTCAGCGCGCGTGCACTTCAGCAACGCGAATGATGTGTGGTAATCTTTGTTTTCAATCTTCAACCTGTGAAGGATTCGTATGTTTATATTTAGATTTCTATATAAGTATAGTCTGTCTTTTTTGAAGACGGAGTAAAATGACCGTTCATTGCGCAAAAGTGTTGCCCGTTTGCGAGCAGCTAGTAATTGCAGTCGATAAATATTCTATCGACTATCGACTGAATGTTGGTCACGCATATGGAATAAATAGTCTAAAAACAGTCCTCGGCCTATCGTTTGTCCAATTACTGAGAACAGATGCAATTAAAATGTAAATTTTTATAAGTTGATACACACATTCACTGTACTGTATTTAGAATGATGTCTTTAAATAATACAAAGAGGAGACGTATTTTAATGTTTTTCATTTTAATACAAATTAGATAATCAAATCCGCTTATTGTTGTTAAAATGCATGTGAATAAAAATTTATTTTGGTTCTAGTAGGCCAACTGTCAAAATAAGAATAAAGATGGCAATAACGCAATTAGTAGTCATTATAACGTCGTAACATTCACAATTAAGTAATTTTTGGCAATATTTTATAATCTTTGACAATCTATCGACAAAACTATCGACAGCAACAACATGACTATTTAAAATTTTATGAAAACTGGCAACCTTGCAAATGTTATTTTACTTCGGACTATAGGTATTTCATAAAACGTCATATATAATATAGTTAGATAAGAAGTACCTATGGCGAATAAAGCATTTAAAAAATCCACCTGATATTAACCCGTATCCGCTTCTAAACTAGAAGCTTTTGTAAAAGCTATTTTAAAAGGTGTAATCAACAAAACAAAATATGACAGATATATACTGACCTCTCTTCAGGTTTAAGAGCATTGCCATTGAAAGTCCAAGTGATGGTGGGCTCTGGTTCACCCTTGACGTCGGCTTCGAACTTGAGCGGCTCACCGATCTTGATCTTCCTCTTTTGGAGGTTCTTGCGGTCGATCTTTGGAGCCACTGAAATTATAATCATTCCTTGGCTAGAAACTACTTTTGTTCTCTGAGATACAATTCTAAAATATATGTAAAGGCATTTGGAAAAGAAGAAGCCAAGTCAAGTAGACCGTTTATCGCAGCTGGATCGCCTTTGGACATTTGTGAATTTTCTTTCTTGAGTTAGAAGCTCGAAATACAAGATGGACTTCATAATACTCTAAGAAATCCCAAAGCATTTGTAAGTTATTTCGGACATTTAAGTAACTTTACGATATCATCTATATCGTAAACCTTATCAATTCAATTTCAAAGTTTCTTATTTTCTTAGGTATTAATACTTAACTGAACACTTAAAAATAATTAATATTACAAACAATAATTATACCTCTTTCCTATTAATCTGCATTCGAGTCCAGTTCTCATGAAACGAACTCTAGACCCTGAATGCAATAATACTCAGGAGGCCGTTACCGCTGCCGCGAATTCTGCGCATCAAGGAAGCCACTCTTTCGCCGCAAAGCCATCTACGTGCGAGTTAGCAAACATTCGGACTGCCACGCAGAGATCCCAGGTTCGATTCCCGGGCCGGGAGAAATATTTGTATGGCCTACATTTATTTCTCTCGTGAGTTTGGGTGTAATTTGTGGTTGTCTATGTGTGTGTGTCCATGGTACCCGCGACACAGTGTTTCCCTAATGTGGGGTTATGTTGAGTGTGTGCGTTATTATTATTCCCGATGCACTACAGAAGTGTGGCAGCTGCAACAGCATCCTGAATATATTATATAAAACTTATAGGGCGCTGAGATCTATATGGGTGTAGTTGACCCACAGGAAGACTGAGATTATCGGTCAAGGATTCAAAAAGACTCAGCATCTTTTACTGTACTTACAGAATCTTGGCTTAGCAATAACGGAGCGACTCGGGTCCGAGGGTTCGCCTGGACCTGCCTTATTGACGGCCATAACGCGGAATTCGTACTCGTGTCCTTCTTCTACGTCGGTCACGCGACCCGTTGGGCGATCGCCTGATGTACGGAGGCAGTCTTGCCATGACCTGGAAAGTTGGTCAGAAAAGTTAATAAATAAAACACATTCCTACAGTTTGTCATACTTTTATGGATCTTGACCCCCTCTTCCTCATCCATGTCACAAAATGTGCCATTTATGTCAACCAACAAAGCGTAAGAGTTATAAATATCACTATTTTTGACATTTTGACCAAATATCGTACTTTAAAATAAACATTTTTTAAATTGAGAACTACAGGACATTTGCTATTTTATTATCCGTTAATATTTTTAATAACTCAAACTAAATGGTTGGCCTTAATTTACAGTGCCGCGGAACGGAATGGAAGCGATGTTTGATAACGAAATTGGAGGTGGTGTAATGAACTTTCTGTCAATTGTGTAACGTACAAACTACAAGGGAATTCGCTTAGCGTTCATTATGCTTGTGTTGCTTTGTTGTTGAACCAACTTACACAAATCAGACATACTGGCTTCAATGTTGATATATCTATTAGTGTATCCTTGAAGAAATTGGACATACCTGCCACCTTTCTCTCTCTTCTGAATGATATATCCAGTGATGGGCGCACCACCGTCTTCCTTGGGTGGTGACCATTCCAGTTCCACGAAATCCTTGTCCCAGTTTCGGGGTTCTGGACGACCGGGCTTGCCGGGTTCGTCTGCAAATGTTAATCAGACATTGTCATCTCTATTATAACTAAATAATTAGATATAATATAGAGGAAGGAAATTAAATATTGAGCTCGTACAGGATAGAAATAGAAGTGACTCTATAACTAAAGAAGAATACTCACCGAAAGGATTTTTAGCAATGATCGGCTTTTCAGTCTCGAGTTCCTCGGATTCGCCCTCCTTGTTGACGGCCTTGACGCGGAACTTATATGGCTTGCCTTCTTGCAATCCCGTGATGTTGGCTTTGCAGTCTTTCGCCGTACCGCACGGTATCCATTGTCCTGAGAAAACGAAGCAGTTAGTAATTTAACAGCTATAAATTCAAATGAAATCTAGTGGTTTTTGTTCCTGGCAACGAAAAACGGATGTGTTTAAAATAAATTTCGTTTGCATTCGTGAGAATTGATACACAGAATTTGCGAATTCTTTGGGATCGATCTTTAGTTACATAGTAGGCAACAATAACGTGCGTGACTTGACGCATCTATGATAATCTCATGAAAATAGCTTATATAAAAATGAAAGAAGTGAATTTATGCTTGACCTAAAATTCTTTTGTTAATTTGAGAGAATGATACTTTTATTTATAACACAAACACAAAACTTACCAGAAACTGGATCAAGTTTCTCGATCTCATAGTATTCAATAGGCGATCCGCCGTCGTCTTCTGGTTTCTTCCATGAAAGCGTGCATCCGCTTTTTGTGACGTCCGCCACATCCAGTGGACCTTTCGGTTTGGATGGCTTGCCTGTAACAGATAATGGAATATTCAAAAGTAACGGTTTAAATAAAACGTATGCGCCAGTATTATAACGCGCTTGAGACGACTGTGTGGATGCTACGCACACACTAGCTGAAGTGGCAAAGTTAATTTAAAGGCGAATGGCCACTAAACCCCCTAAAGCATGGAATAGCACAGAATTGAACACACAATAGCAAATCAAGCTAAACGGTTTTGTTTGGATATCGCCTCCAGAAATCAGCAACAGAGACGCAGAGAGCAGCAGAGAAAGATCCAGCAATGTTTTGCTTGCTATGCTGCTGTCCGTACACAACACCCGTGTTAATACATCGCGGACAAAGTTTTTTTTTATAATAATTAGCGACGGGACCAACAAGTCATGCTGGTGGTAAGCGACACCAATCCATAACAGTTGCAGTGCCACTCAGAGCTTTTAATCGCAAAAATCTGAGGGGCTTTTTTAAATAGAAAACCAGTTGGTTATTAGATCTGAGGGGCACTTCCACTGTGTCTGTTACCCTAAGGCACAAGTTGACAAATCCCTTGCCTGTAATTTCACCAGCACCCCAAAATATATCCATCAGGAGAACTGTGTATAATTTACATAATTAAAACTGTATGAAACTTACCAAGAATAGTAATTTCAACTTCAGCCTCATCTTCACCAACCTCATTCTTAGCCTTAATCACGTATCTTCCACTGCTCGCTCGTTTACTCTTCGTCATCAAGAACTTGGTGTTGTAGTCCACATTAATGATTTCAAGATTATCTGCGGACTTGAGTTCCTGGTCTTTGAAATACCAGGTAACTGTTGCCGGTGGTTCACCGAAGACCTTGACGTCTAGAGAGACTGGCAGACCAGCCTTGACAGTGACGGGGTTCAGGTTTGTGCGATCGATCCTTGGTTTCACTGGATAATTTCAAATTAGTAATTAAAATAATAACGAAATAAAGCGTTATTTCGTAAATAATAACAATAAACAGTAAATAAACTTGGGTGCTTACAGAATCGAGGTTTAGCGGTATGCCAGTTGGTGTTCTCCGACGGCTCGGATTGGCCGGCCTTGTTGAGAGCACGGATGCGGAATTGGTATTGGTTACCTTCCTCCAGCTTTGGTACTGTGCCTTGGCAAACGTTGCCTTGAATTTCAGCCGCCTGGATAAACAATTCAAGAACTATGATCAGACGACCACACCCTGTCTCGTATATCCGTCGGTACGAGAAGATCTTTCAGTATTTTTATTATTATATATTTTATGTCATTTATTATTAATCATTTCTTTATGTTTCTCAGCCTGTTGGCTGTCTTGAATCACACTTACGGACCGAAATCAAATATTATTATCATGGGGAATTCTTCCGACGCACCTTAATGAGTGATAATACATGTAGTGTGAGCTTTAGTGGCCACACACTACCTGTCTGTTGCTTGCTAAGGTGGCGTACGATTAATGTCGTCCGGATTATAACGGCCTTTTGAATTTAGTACAAATTTTTGCCAGAAGGTCCAGCTTGTTTTTATTATTATTATAATCACTCACCTTAACAAACTCTCCTCTATCTCTGTCCATGACTTCGATAACATATCCCGTAATCGGAGCACCGTTATCCCGAATAGGCGGTTCCCATTTAAGCTTGGCAGATTTCTCGTCCCAATCGATGATTTCTGGTAAGCCAGGAGGTGCTGGCACATCGTATGGGTTCTTGGCCAATGTGCCATGATCAGTTTCTAGTGGTTCAGATTCACCCTCTTCATTGACTGCCTTGACACGGAATTGGTACGTGTGACCTTGTTCTAAGCCTGTGGAGGAATAAAATTATGTGTGTATTAAACAGATAAGTCACCTTTTTAGTAGGGACTTTTGTACTATAAGCAAGTGGAATACGAAATGCATTGTTATTGCATTAATGAAGGCATTTGTGCCTCTGCAAACATAAGTTCTTTGGTTCAAAATACCGTTGAGATAATGAGCGTTATTTAAAACAATGGATGCAATTTGCCTGAAATTCTATGTCAACCTCATAGCAAGTATTTGGATAGCAAAATACTAAACACCGGTCTCTTCGAAATTTCAAAATTGGTTTAGTATAAATACACTTACCAGTAACTGTAGCCTCAGTACTCTCCGGGTCCACAGTACCAGCAGGCACCCATTTGCCAGTGAGAGTATCCATCTTCTCAAGGGCATACGCCTGCAGCGGCAGTCCACCAGTGTGTTTGGGTTTCTTCCACTTTAGTTTGACGCGGTCCGCATGGACGTCGGCGACTTCCAGTGGGCCTTCAGGTTTACCTGGTTTGTCTGGAATCGAAGAAGATAAGTGTGATGAAAAAAGTAGAACGTTTACAATTGTATCTTTACAATTTGCAATCATGATCGTGTCAGAACGGATTCAAATTAAATTTGTAGCAATTCTTTCAAAACAGAAGTGTGGGCTACTTTAATGTCCTCAAAAATTTTTCTATAACGACGACAAGAGTTTGACTGTGATTATGAAAAATACAAGACTTTATAGTTTAGGATGTGACGAAACTTACCGAGAACAGTAATCTCAACCGTGGCTTCGTCGACGCCCGATTCGTTCACAGCCTTCAGCGTGTACACTCCAGAGTTTTGCCACGTCGAGTCGAAGATCTGCATTTTTGTGTTGTAGTCTTCGTTCTCGATCTTGATACCTGGACCTGTTTCCAGGGTCTGTTGGGGAATAAGAGGTTTTAAACAGTGTTTCATTAATAAAGAAAAATTTTTAATTGGTTTCTTAGACCATCGTAGAATTAAATGCCGCATTCAGGTAGCATAGAAATAATGTTAACTGGAAATGGGAAAATACAGGGTAAATAATGCATATTTTTCCATCGGCCAGCTCTTAGTGATGCCCCATTATAGTAAATAATTGTATATAGTTGTATGTAAATAGTTTGCATGTAAAATGTGACAAAAATGTTGTTTACCACTTACGTGTCAATATCGCATAAACTAAGACTTCGAATATTGAAAATAATGCGATGTATTATGGAAAACTATACTCGCCTTGTTGGCGAATGTCCAAGTCTTGGTCGGTGGAGGTTCGCCCTTGATGTCCACGTCTAGCTTGATCGTGGCGCCCGCGCGCACTCGAATGGCCACCATCTTGTCGCGGTTGATGTGCGGTTTTACTGAGAGTAGATTTCATGATTCATTTATAAGATTTCATTAATGTAGGGCATGCCACATGACACTATTGTGCGATAGTTACTATTGTAAATCATTACTGTTGTTAGTAAGCAATCTTCGTAAATGCCTTACAGTAGTCAACTTCTTCGATTTTTTTTATACTTATAGACGGCTTACAATTTCTTTTACTTTTCCAGGTACCTTGTGTTTTAAATTGAAATAAAAATGCTTATGTACTGGACGAATCTTTCACAAGGTGCTCTACTGCTACTAAAACTTCTACACTTAAGTGTTTTAATAAATAATTAAAAATCTTACAGAATCTAGCCTTAGCGACGTGCGGTTGGGTAGGTTCACCAGGTTCACCCGGACCGGCTTTGTTGACGGCTCGTACACGGAATTGGTATGTGTTGCCTTCCTTCAAGTCAGGGACACGCCCTTTGCATTCTGGCGTCTGTTGGGAAAAGGACTTTTAGGATTGTCATTCACAATGGTTGTGACTGTAATAAAGAGAGGGGTTTCGCTTGCCATGTCTAGATCTCTCAAAAAGGTGCACACAATCATAAGATCCATCGTAAATGTTCTACTCACATCGGTAACGAGCGCCTCTTGCCAGCTACCGAACTTTTCCTTCTTCTCAATAATATAACCAGTGATAGGTGCGCCGCCGTTGTTCTTTGGCGCCTCCCATTTCAGGTCCACACGGTCCACGTCCCAGTCATCGATTATTGGCACGGATGGTTTACCAGGAGCATCTGCACAAGCACAGGTCGTATTAGCTTTAGAATAGCCTCCAAGAACCAGCAAACTAAAATGGGAAAAGTACTAGGGCCTAATGTGCATTAAAATATAATTACATGCTTCAGGCCCGAGCAAGTATACCCAAAGCGCCACATCTATCTTGTTATATAATGCTTGTGGCTTTGATGAGGTTTCAACAAAAATTTTAAAACAATGCAGGAATGAATTGGCACCAGTCTTAACGTATTTAATAAATTTATCATTTGAAAGGGGCATGTTTCCAGATCTATTAAAGTTATCGATAGTGAAGCCAACCTATAAGAAAGGGGCAAAGTCTGAGCTATCGAACTACCGCCCAATTACTCTCATCCCGATTTTAGCCAAAGTTTTTGAAAAATGCATGTACATTAGAATAATGGACTATTGCACAAAATTTAACATTATAAGACCAGAACAATTTGGATTCCAAAAGGGAAAATCGACAGCTGAGGCTGTCTTCCATATTGTCGACATGGTCACTAAAGCTCTTGACACAAAAAAGCATAGCACGGTATTGTTTCTAGACATGTCTCAAGCTTTCGATTTTTGTGGCACATGACAGACTGTTGACAAAATTAGAAAAGTATGGCATTAGGGGCATAACACTGAGTTGGTTTAGGTCATACCTATATAACAGACAGCAACGGGTGGAGTTAAACTACCTAGACCAAAATAAAAATGTCAACACATGCTGTTCGGATTATGAATGCAATATGTTTGGTGTTCCTCAAGGAAGCATACTCGGAACATTATTATTCTTATTATATATTAATGACCTGGCATTGATAACTCAGCACAAAATTATTATGTTTGCAGATGACATTGCAATAGTTATAAATTCAGATAATAACGACATCAATCATTATGAAGCAGAAATTAATGACACACTGAAATCCGTAATTGACTGGTTAAATATGAACAATCTACATGTAAATTTAGAAAAAACTAAATATGTTCAATTTGCTGTTAAAGGACGTACACCAATCAATATAAATATAAAATATGATGGAAAGACTCTACAAAAGTTAGACATGGTAAAATTTTTGGGTATCTTAATAGATAAAAATCTGAGCTTTACAAATCACATCGACAGTGTCTGCAGCAAAATAAACAGATTTGTATACGTCCTTCGTAGACTAAGACGAATTACTTCGATAAAAATTTGTTTATTTGCCTATCATGGTTACATTGCGTCGGTACTTCGTTACGGATTAGTTATATGGGGCAATGGAACATATGTTGAACGAGCTTTCATAACTCAAAAAAAAGTGTATTCGAGCAATGTGCGGCTTTGGCCCACGGGAATCTTGTAAGCCACTATTTAAGGATTTGAACATTTTAACTTTGCCTTCTTTGTATATATATGAAGTTTGTAAATTTGTCAAATGCCATTTACAATTGTTCAAGAAATCTATAGAGGTTAATCCACGCGCGAAAAGACACCCAAATAGACTTGTTGTAGAAAACATACCCAAGACTACACTTTATTTAAAAAGTCCATATCATATGTGTATGAAAATTTATAATAGGTTGCCCAACGAAATTAAAAATCTGACGTATAATAGAATGACAACTGAATTATATAAATATTTAATTAAAAAATGTTATTATACTGTAAGTGAATATCTAAGTGACTAAATTTTTGCATGCTATTGTATAATGGCTGAATAGAAGGACTATAATATAACAAACTACCATCCTGTATACTAACCCTATTCAGTGCAAATAAACTTTATTTCATTTCATATTTAATTTCATTCATTTCATATAGTTCTAGGCAACACTGACAGACCTCCTTGTCCGTTTTTCAATGAACTTGTCCAAGTATATCTTAGTCTTACTTACCATAAGGATTCTTAGCAATAATCGAGTGGTCAGTCTTCAACGGCTCCGACTCGCCCTCCTCGTTGACAGCTTTGACCCTAAACTCGTATTCTTCTCCCTCCTGAAGACCTTTGATGTCCATCTCTGTGTCATCGGTCTTTCCAACTGGGACCCAGCGGCCGGTGGCTTTGTTAAGCTTCTCGACCACATAACCGGTAACGGGCTTGCCTGGGGAAGTAAGATATGATCACTAAAGACCAAAAATACCTTCATCTACTCGTCGTGAGGTCGATAGAGACGTTGGACCTACAATAATAATGTGCCAGACAATCACACCAATTGCCTGGTCTCAAACTAAGGAATTCCCTGTACTATGGGTACCGGAGCAAAGGAATTCACTCTGGGGCATTATCCGGAACACCAAACCAGAACGACAATTTTGAAAAGTCATTTCCCAAATTGGTCCTACCAGGAATCGTACCCGGGACTTATGCATCCATCGCCCACAGTGCAAACCGTTGCGTCACCGAGGTCATCTACACTAAATCGTAAAGTAATCCACATTTTTTGTTAATAATAACCCAAATGACCAAGACCATCGTAAAAATGGCCGATCAAGGAGCTATGGAAAGCCCAATAGGCTACGAAGGCCAGTAAAAGAACGGATGGTAAGAAAGTAAAATATGTTTAAATTATTACTAAAACCATGTCTTTCTACGTTTGGACACCACATTTTAAGCAGCAGTCGACACTTACCACCATCGTCTTCGGGTTTCTTCCAAGCCAGTTTACATCCAGCCTTGGTAACATCAGACACCTTAAGTGGACCTCCAGGTTTGCCAGGAGCGGAAAGTACTGTGATCTCAACATCCGCCTCATCCTTGCCATGTTCGTTGGTAGCCAGGATACGGTAAGTGCCGGTCATTGCACGCACTGCTTCCTTGACGTCTAGTTTAGTGTTATAATCTACATTGATTACGTTTTCTGTGACCTGCGAATAAAAATGGCGTTGAAATAAGTTTATATATCATACAATCATTCTAAATAAAACTCCGGGTGCAGGTTTCTGAAATAAATTGAATTTGTAGAGCGTCGTCTCTTTCACACATACTGTGTGACGTTGTCGTTAATTTATGAGTTATGGCCAATAGTGTTTTTGTAAAGCTTGATGAGGAAAATTTATGGCCTGGTATTATAAGTACTATATCCTAAATTTCAAGTTACTCAGCAACATTACTATTCTGACATGGAATATCCTGTATTTGGCACATAATGAGTGTGTACTTTCAACTTTTATATCTTTCTGTAAAAGATCTCGATACTTCAAAGACAATTCCCAGTGAACTTAACTATTTATCCATGAGGTCGCCATAAAGGAGTACCGTTTTATTCACGGTCACGATTTTTGATAATAAATTACTTTGAGATCTCCAAGAAGCATTTCACCAAATCTGAAGTTTAAGAAATTTTTACCTCTTTTTCTTCTCCCTTCCATTTCTGGAACCACTGCACTTTGGGTGCAGGTTCACCCTTGACATTGACATCGAAGAAGATCGGCTTGCCAGCGCGGACGGCAAGCGCCTTTAGGTTGGTGCGATCGATGCGTGGTTTCACTGAAGATGTACATTGTAGTGGTTAAAAGGGTTGGTAGCTAAAAAGTTGGTGGTTAAAATTGTTGGCAATTGAGAAGCAATTGTTCAGCCAACCACATTCCACAAAAGCAAGTCGTCCGTAACAAATCCTTATAATGAAACCAGCATATCGAAGAAGGAACACTTCGAAAACGTGAAAGAAGTTCCCAACCCAAGTACAGCCTGTGTGGTGACCCATGGCTAAACCTCGTCAAGGGTTGATGATCAAGGTTCTTTTACGCAGAGGTCACGTAATAATAGTCGTTATTCCTTCCCATTACCTATCAGACAGTGACCATTCTTGATAACGCGTTAGCGTGGCTGATCGTGAGTCGTAAATTTTAGCACTCCTATGGAATTGAAGCGCTGACTCACCTTGAGCTTTTGAGCTTATCTAGATCCGGACTCAGTAAAACAAGTACTGTTGCTTTGCGTTAGAACATCCACTCATGCGGATTTTTAAATACAGATACATAAAGTAGAACAGTAATACTCACAAGCCTTATGCCTAATAGTGGTCATCTTGGTAGGATCTGAAGGCTCAGACTGTCCGGCCTTATTGACGGCAATCACGCGGAACTGATACTCGCTGCCTTCAGGCAGACCATCCACTTTGCCGGAGGTTGCGGTACCAGGCACCTGTGGGTGGTATTTTCGTTTATATTTGGTATCAAAATCTCTATAAATACTGATTCACGGACAATGCTCTCTGGTTACTTTTGTCTTTACTATATTAAGTAACCTTTAAGTTAAGATTTATATTTAAATGTAAGATATTGGCAGAAGTTTGTCACTATGATTTTAGTGCAAAGTCCAGATGCCACGGAGTCGCGGCTATATTCAAACTGCTCTACGCCTGCGTCTCAAGTGGCGTATTTTTGCATTTAGAATGCAGCTCATGCGATCACAAATTCACAAGACAAAGAATAAGTTAAATATTTTATTAACTTAGTAATTACATTGTAAGTTTTGAGCATTGCAAAATCTGACCTCCTGAAAGAATATTCTGTGAAGAAAAATCATTGAATAAAATTAAGGTACCTCTGCAGCATTCTCCCATTCGCCGCCTTTGGGTTTCTTCTGGATGATGTACTTCTGTATGGGCGCTCCGCCGTCGGACTTGGGTGGATCCCATTTGATCTCCGCGCTTTGGTTGTCATGGTCAGCGACTTCCACGTTCGCCGGCTTGTCTGATATGTCTGTAGCAATACAGAAGGGTTTGTTAGTAATCTATACACCTATTGGTAGCAGGTTCGATTCCTAAGATTATCCTATAATTCAATATTCGACCTCTGCACGATTCAGTACAGAAAATTAGTCAGTGATGAAATCTGTCGCTCTCAGAAACATGTAAAATTTTCAAGTTGCAAGAATTGAAGGTAACATTGTACTTCGTAGTTTTCGAATTCTGCACAAATGCAGGCATAAAAAATTGTCATGAGGATAGGAACCAGCCTAAAAAAGTAACTATTAGAAGACATGTCAACTGAAGGATGAAGGCAGCAAGAAATTAACCCAGGTTTATAAAGCCTATTTCTCTTTGATTCCTAGCAAGTTTTTTTTCCTAGCAAGATTTGAGGGGCACCTCCACTGCACCCGTCTTGCGACAAAACTTAATAAGCCCCCTGTGACCATAGTATCACCAGCACCCCAAACCGGATCACATTACTGCTAGGCGGCAAAACTAGATATGGTGGCAGTGTTTCCCCGGAAGAACTCTTTCACAAGGACCAGAAGAAGTTTAGATGTTAATTACAATTACATTAGAATTAGCTTGACGTATCCTACTGCTTGGCAAAGGCCTCCCCCTCCACGCAACTCAATCCTGAGCTAACAGGTTTTCATAATATACGATAATAATACTTGTACTTTACTGACCGAATGGATTCTTGGCAAGCGTCGCACGTTCAGTTTCGAGCGGCTCAGAGTCACCCTCATCATTGACAGCTGTCACTCTGAACTTGTATTGGTGACCTGGCTCCAGACCTGTAACTTCCATTTCTAGGGGCTTCTTGTCACCGGCCACTCTGAAAAAGTAAATCGTTTATAAAATGTTATTATTATATAAAATGTTATTATATTATATTGTTATATAAATTTGTAAATTAACATTTTTAATAGTTGACAAATTAACAGTGACTATTGAGGTAAACATTTCTAGTAACTATGTCAGCAATCACGTTTTATAAAACCCCTCTTAAAATTTTTAACCAATTTTGTGTTAACAAATTTAAATCATACTAATATATATAATACTAATATATACATAATACTATTAATTACTGTATTTATGGAACCATTTATAATGCAATAATCTATAATGCATACCTGCCAACTCTAACCCATTTGCCGGTAGCGAGGTCCATCTTTTCGAGCTCGTACTCCTTGATGGGTGAGCCACCATCGTCTTCCGGCTTCTCCCATTTGACTTTGCAGCCCTCGGCATGCACATCGAAAACGTCCAATGGGCCTATTGTAAGAAATCAATCTAATTACAACAGAACATAATCGTACAAACTAACAATTCTGAAAAAAAGTCTGTAGTAATATAATATTTTTGCATTGTTTTTTTTTTATTATTTTATTATATAGTTTAATTTTGTTTTGTTGTGCACCTAAACCCGTTATTTTTTTTTTTTTTTTTTAATAACGCACACACTCAACATAGCCCCTCACTAGGGAAATCCTGTGTCGCGGGTGCTATGGACACACAAATAGACAACCACAAATTACACTGAAACTCACGAGACTCAAACTCACTCCCGGCCCGGGAATCGAACCTGGGACCTCTGCGTGGCAGTCCGGCATGGTAACCGTTCGGCCACGGAGGCAGTCAATTCTTTTTGGTGTTATTGTCAGTTATTGCAATTATTGTGTCCTGTATTTTGGTCTGCAGTAAGAAATTTCTTTGAGAAATAAGCAGTACCTTTTGTTTATGTATTCCGTTTTACTAAATGTTATTTGTGTTTTCCTATGCAATAAATAATTAAATAAACAATTATATATATCTGCACCATCAAGGAAAGCGCGTATAGTTAAGAAAACTTCTAATGAATGTTTTCGAAAAGGACCAATTTTATATTTAAAAAAACCACTTTCTCCATCATTGACCACATTGCACTTTTCTTTTGACGTATAAAAAGCTACTGTTATTGAACTATATGAGCTACTAAAGCGGTGACGTACTCGCTCTCATACGCTAAAATGTGCACTCACAAAATTTACTTCTATAGTCTGGCGATTGATTGAAGTTAAAAAAACATACCTTTAGGCGCACTAGGTTTGCTGAGGACAGTAAGTTCAACGGTTTCCTCGTCGAATCCATTGCAATTCTCGGCACGCAGCGTGTATTTGCCTGTGTCACGGCGCACGGTGTTGACGATGGTGAAGTCAGTATGGTACTCTTTGTTCTCGATTTTGATGCGCTCAGTATTCACTAGCTTAATGTTCTCGCGCCATGACCTGATATTAACGTATTATAATTAAATAGGGGGTTGGGGTTGGGGGGTCTTTGCATGTGAATGTTTCAAATGGACTCCAGCTACCACCATTACAGTGAAAGCATCACAGATATTCTATATTGCACTAGACAATGATATTATTAACTAGTCCAAACTAAAGAATTACCATGTGAGTATTAGAGCAATAGAAATTATCTCAAAAGATACAGTGCACCCAGAATAAATTTAAGAGATTAATTGAAAGAACTTGCGTCCTCTTTTTCTTTTCTGCACCTCCAAGATATATTAATTATAAACAACTTCATAACACTGGTATAAACACTTAATACCCTTTAATAGATACTCTGTCCCTGACTATTATATTGCATACTACAATTTTTAAAAATAAAACTTACCAAGTTGTCTCTGGTGGAGGTTCACCAATCACATCCACAGACCATTTGTGGGTGCGACCAGCTTTGATGATGACCGATTTGAATGTGCTGCGCTCAATGCGTGGTCTCACTATAAAAATCACAATATAATTGTCACAACTAGACACATTTACATGAATTGCAAAACTTGTAAAAATCAAAGGTATTAGTCCTCGATCACACTAGAAGTGGCAATCGGTTTGTGTCCATATGATATGGAGAAATTTACTTTTTCTCTCGCTCATCAGCTTTCAAATTAGCCACATACACTCTATCGACAGACAACTAAAATTATTTAAAACTAGCAGAATTCAGTTCCAGATGGAGATTGGAGTTTGAAAATTTAAGGCAATTACTTTAATAGATTCCTTTTGAAAAATTGGCTATTACCCCTATTCTTGACTGAGGTATCAACAGTCTTTTAGCTTAGCAAGCTTTAGGGTAAATAGATTGAGAATGTAACCAGAAATAGAGACGAAATAAGGGCCATCCGTCTCTGGCAACTCATCAGGCAAATGAGCCTTATATCACTTTTAAATATAATAATAATAATAACGTACAAACTCAACATAGCCCCGCACTAGGGAAACCCTGTGTCGCGAGTGCCATGGACACACACATAGACAACCACAAACTACACACGAACTCACGAGAGAAATAAATGAAGACAATATATATATTTCTCCCGGCCCGGGAATCGAACCTGGGACATCTGTGTGGCAGTCCATGGTAACCGTTCAACCACGGAGGCAGTTATCAATATATCAACTCTCATTTGCGCTGAAATCTCAAATTAGAAATCTGAAATAGTACAGCACTAACAACTAACCTGTGTGTACGTCTCCATATATTCCAAAAATATTCTGTATCTATTGTAATAAAGATAATATCTGTAACCTTGGGGCTGTTCCAATCGGTAGTGTGGGAAAAACAGCAAAACTTCTAATTGCAAAACAAACGGAATCACATTTCATAGGTAATTAAATATTAAATATGTAATTTAGCAATTTTCGCCCATTATAGCAAATCTCAAGTTAAACTGGTCGATTTAAAGTGAAACAATTGACGGCATCCATCAATTGTTTGGAATTCGGGCTGATCAATCGGAGCGCTGTTGTCACAGTAATGATTGGGCAGAACAGTTTTCTAACAAATTAAATGATATTTCATCTCTATTTCTGGTTATATACTCGGTGGGTAAATACTACAAATAATACACTGATATTAGTCTCTTAGTGAAAGGTGGATTTATTTTATATTAATAAATTACTTTACTGCATTTGCTCTCGTTATGATCTAGCTATATTTATTTTATTTCAGTTACTCTCATAAGTAATTTTTAATGTGCTCTTTTATACTGGAAACTTATGATCAGGCTTCATTAAGCAAAGGTAGTAAAATGTGACTAAAAATATACTTACAGTTCCTATGTTTGCAGAGATGGTTGTCAGTGGGCTGTGAAGCTTCACCAACACCTGCCTTGTTGTATGCCTTCACTCGGAACTGGTACACTACTTTTTCTTTAAGGCCCTCAACTTTGTATTCTGTCTTGGTGTCTTCTGTCTTTACCACCTGGAAATATAGTACAATAAATAAGAGGGCTGTTACAGACAAATAAACATTATCAGACTTACTTGAACAATATCTATAAACTGCAGCTATGTTTATTAAAGTTAATTGTTCCTTACAATGTAAAATCAAAATTTAAGGATAACTACATTGACCTACCAATAAATGGACATCGGGTTCGCGCTTAAAAGTGTCCGCATCTATAGGGCGTTAAAACCACATACAGAGCGTCAATCGCGCAACAGTCTTCGTTTGTTCGACTGTCAGCGCAATTGTTAATTATTCAGTACCACATAATAATAACTTGTAAAAATTACTGCAGTAAAGTGTAAAAACAGGGTTTTCTATCATATTTTCACTAAACAATTATATTGTGTTATCATAGTTCTCATTTCAAAATGTTATTTTGTACAGTTTTATAGTATTTAATTTATATATAAATGAATCGTAAATATAAATTACAAAAACACACAAAATAATCAAATAGCTAACTGTCCTTTTTCTATACATTGCATGCGCCAAAAGATGGAAAGAGACCCATTGTGTCAATTTCAAGAAGCTTATATATAAACTTCTTGTTCATTTTCAATTGTTTGAACCACAAGCGATTGAAATATTTAGAACAAAGAAACTATAGTAGAGTCGCTTTGATTTTAATCTTATTTTTAAAATGATTTTTAATTAAACATTAGTAATAACTAACAAAATATTGTTGTACTCGTTTTACGGCTTGGGATTACCTATTAGAAGTCAGAAAATACATTTGCCCGAAATAACGTTACATCGAATTTTCATAATGTCAAATGTATTTTTTTAGGAAGATTACAAAATAAAAACTAATTTTGTCTTTGTGAAAAGCATTAAAATTACACGAAAGCGTAACGGTTTTATTATAAATCGGTTTTCGGTATTACGGATATTTGAGTTTACGTTTAGTTGGACTATCGGTACATTTCTTATAGTACATGCTTATTTTCACATTTGTAGTAATATTTTTGTATGTATGTATCTGCCCAACTCTTTATTATTTCTTTAAGTGAATTTGTACAAAATTCGCCATAATAATATACATAAAAATTAATTAATATTTACGATAAAGGCTACTCCATTACTCTTGTGTTCGAGTAATTTTCAGTCGAAGCTAAATATGGTGCATTTGGTTAAATTTCCAGTAGAAACTGAATATGTGGTTTTTGGGCCCTTAAATTGTTGCAAGCAAAATTAAGCAGTACTGCAATGATGTTACAATTTAAATTAAAAAATTAAAAAATTAAAACAATTTTTTATATTTCGTTATACGTTTGTATAGGTTAACTTGGGACATTTTTTTCGTGGTTTTTGTAATAGACCTGACATCCATTTATTGGTAGGTCTATGGATAACTATAATAAATTATTTGGTTACTGTAGAGTTTTAAATGTAGGTATTTGACAAAGCTAAAATGCTATCTAAGAGAGTGAATGCGTTCTGAACATTTGAGCTCACTTTCATACATACCAACGTATACTTTGCCGGGATACAACAATGTATATGAAATGAGCAGGTCGGACTACATGCTACCAGAAATTCTGAACAATCTACCAGGCACAGTGCTAAGTAACACTGAGGGTAATGTCAAGAAATGCAAAACTGTTTTAAAGAGACACTATCTTGGTTTGTAGTATAGTATCTATAGAACTTATGTAAATGTAGACATATACTATAGAATTAATTAATATTACAGTGAATTAAGTTAATTTAAGTGTCAAGCTTGTTAACTCATCGCTAGGTGGTTAAACCACTACGTTTTTATCTAGCGATACAGAAGAATAGTTTTTTTATAAAATTTGCTTGAAATTTAATAAATAAAAAAAAAAGATGATGAAAAATGTCTAATTTTTAGAGCCTATCTAGATTGTCTACAACATAGTAAATATGAGGGGAAGCAAAGATTAAATCTTCACTTTGCATACTAGCTAAATGTTCTATAAGATCACTTTATTACGCAGGTAAATAACTTAAAAGTTCTATAAAATTCACAAGGGGATGAAAACTTCTAAACGTCGTTCTAATTCGATCTACACTTTCAACAATAAATAATATTATAGAATAGTTTTCTACATACCTCAACCCAGTCAGCGGAGAATTTGTCCTTCTTCTCCACGACGTATCCGAGAATTGGTCTACCACCATTATCAGTAGGAGGTTCCCATTGTAAAGTGACAGACATATTGTCATAATCAATGATGTTCGGCTTGCCTGGCGCTTTTGGTGGATCTGGAGACGAAATTCACACATTTTTGTCAAGTCTTATTATCTTCTATTTCTCAAAAACAAGTGCACATGACCGGCAATTGTTTGCAAACAAAACAAAAATACCGCCTTGACTTTGACGGAATTTATTTCGTTCAAAAATATTTGACAGTTTTAACAATTTACATTTTTTTTATGCAGTTAGTGTCATGGAAAAATTTCCATTTTGAAAAACTCAAATTTTTTTCATAAACGTAATTATTTTTCCGGATATTCATCCAATATTTTTCCTATAATTTTCCACATATTTGACGTTGACCCTGTCAAAGTTGAAGTTACTGAACGAAAACAATGGAGCTACTAAAAAGGCTTTTTTAGCAGTTATGAATTAATTTTAAATTTTGTTTTTCTTTGTGGCTTTTAGACAAGTTTATTTTATAATTCACAATAAAACTTCAAAAATATTTCTAAACTTAACATAACAACACTAAACTATATTTTTCCAATTTTTCGGGAATTTTTCCGGAATAATTTCCACTACTTGAATTTACACAGTACACACAATATCGTTGTCGTTATGAGACAAGACATTTATTGACATGACAACGTCGGTTAGAAAAAACTTAGGATCGTATTCCAGAACTCTACTCAATGCTCAAGTCAGGATTTGAGCAGACTTGAGTGTGATTTCAAGCGCTAGAAATACAACTCTAATGGCAAGGACTTGAGTATGATTTCTAGTCCTTTGAATCATACTTAAGTCCTGACTTGAGCTAAACGTTCTATTCGGGTTCGGATACGATATCGTTATCCAACAGCGTTTACGGAGTTAGTCGGTGAAATAGATTATAAGAAAAATGAAAATCCTTATAAATACATTTTTTAAACTTTAAAGGCCTAAAATATAGGAATGCATTAGTTTTTTTTTAATTATACTCAAGTCCTTGCGTTTAGGGTCGTATTTCCAGTGCTTGAAATCATACTCAAATCCAGACTTGAGCAATGAGTAGAGTTCTAGACTACGAACCTGAATTATTTATTTATTTAAACATTTTAGGAAAATTCACGGACAAATAATACAATTATAGTAATTCTAAAAAGTAAAATAAGAATGTTCTGAATAGCTCGGAAAGCGCCCTTCGATTCGAGAACGATATCCAATCGAACGATTCGGTTAAAATATCGAGAGTTCAGAATCGGGGGCCTGACTTGAAAAATAGACACTGCATATAAGTTTCCGCGAAAAAATTTTAGAAAATTAAATGATTGAAGAAAATTTCAATATAAGATAGTAGGTATGGCTAATTAGACGATGTAGCTACTCCCATTCTCCGTCTGTTATACGTACGAAATAATTGCTGTCAAATAAGTAATACTCGACCAAATTCACGACGCATGATGCGAATGAAGCTACATACTTGATTGTACAGTGTACAGGTGATAAAAAAACCACTGACCATTTTCAAGGAGCATACTGTATAATGGAAATAAAAAATACCTGTTTGGTTTTCAAATACTTAGCAAAGAATAAGTTATGACGTCTCAAAGTTTTCCGAAAAATTGTGAACAATATGAACACCCGATGATTAGCAGACGCTGTTACTATAGCAACAAGAACGGTGGGCGGGGTCAGCTCGCGAATTCATGTAATTTGACAGAGAACAAAGTATTAAACTAAAGCGCGATGCGTTAGCGCAGGTCTGTCGTCGCGCAGCGCGACGTGCTGACGCCTAGGCGTCTAGACAACTCGTCGCCGATCGCTCAATTTTATGTACTATTTTGAGGTAGCGTTTAGAAATTATTGGAAAAAAATGACCAGTGATTTTTTTTATCAACCTGTGTAATAATTGTTTCGGACTGATGTCTGACGAAGAACGGGAGTACACTCCCTGTTCCGAACGATGAAAAATTTTACTACCAATACATTAAAGAAATCTTCAAAAAAATATTTACCGTAAGGATTTTTAGCTACAATAAATCCGTCGGTCTCAAGTGGCTCAGACTCGCCCTCCTTGTTGACGGCGCGAACCCTGAACTTGTATTTGTGATTGGGCGTCAGGCCTTTGACCGTGAACTCTGTTGGCTCGGGACCAGTTTCACCACATGGTACCCAGTTACCGGTGTCCTGTTAGTAAAAAAAATGTTTTAGTATCAATGAGAAAAGGGATTGTCCTTTTTAAAAGTTCGTAAGGCGTAACTTTCTTTAGGTGACGTAAACTGTTTCGTCACTGTTGTGTCACTGGACAACCGATATAATATAACTGACATTGGATGCGAGGTAGCTCAAGACTCGTTGATGAGACTTAGTCATGCAGATTTTACTTACCATGTCCATCTTCTCAAGTGTGTAGCCAGTGATATCTGATCCTTGCCAGTCATCGGGTTTCTTCCATTTGACTGTGGCCTTCTCAGCGCGAATGTCCACAACTTCGATAGGGCCATTAGGACGGTTAGGTTTGTCTAAAAAGAAATTGATTCAACCGTAATTTATAGCTCGAAAAATTATTTAATTGCATAAAGACTCTCCCTATCTCTCTCACACTCGTGACGTCGAGGTGTGATTTATAAGAGGTGATAACTAGTTTTCTTATACATCATTACCATTACTTACATTACCTACTTAATACCTTTAAAATCCAACTTAGGTATCAATGTAATGAGTAAAAGTAATACAACTAAAGTAAACATGAAAGATGTAATGAAGCATTTATGACTAATGAAACCCAAAAATTCCTTACCAAGCACAACGACATCGGCAATACTCTCGCAAGTGCCCGATGAGTTGGTAAGCACCAGTTTGTACTTTCCACTGTCAGGTCTTGTCGTCTTTCTGACAGTGAGAACTGTGTTCCTCTCATATTTGTCAATTGTAATACGGTCACCGTCGTCTTTGATATCCTAGAATTTCGAGATAGTGAGAAATATGATGAAGGCTAAGAAGCATCTGGAGTTATGTTATAAGTGGTGACAGTAATGGTAGAAGTGAAAGAGTTGGAGTGAAAATGTAGACTTTGAGATAACTGACGCATGTTATATTCAGTGATAAAAGAATAGTGTGAGATACCGATAAGTATATTCAAAGTACGGAAGTCAAATATTGCATGATTTCTAATTTAATTTAAAAAAGACAGAGTTTAAAAACTCTTAGAAAGTTAACAAAAAAAAACGGAAAAGAACACGCATGTCGTCGGTAAGACGTTCTCATCAAGATTACATAAAAAGTAAAAACGAAGAAGAAATAGGAATCTTTCAGAAAAGTAAAAGAAATAATGAACGGAGATCGATAATATTTAGAGAAATAGGAATAATGTAAGAAAACAAGTCGTAGGGCGACATCATGATGAGATAACGATTCTCAGACGCTTGTCTTTGATATGCAAACATAAAATATTTAGTAACAATTATACTTTCGGTGTTAGCATTTTTTAATAACAGTGCTCGGTTAAAAGTGCACTGTCAATGGAGTTACCACAAAAGTACAAATAAAGCAAAATAACTGAAGTAGTCAATGACTTGACTAAAACGGGAAGTAGACAGTTTTGTGCATGTAGAAAATATTTGTGAGTTTGGTACTTTAACACCAGTACGTTTACGATGTGTTACTACATATAAAGCAATATTTAATTAAGTAATTAGATAAAATACTTGTCAAAAATCGCGTCCAATGCGAATATTTGAAACCAATGAATATACTGTTGCATAGTATCTATTTATATAGTATTTCTGCATTTAATATCATGCCAATCAATGCTAGTGTTACAATTTGTAATAATTAGGTAGTATCTCAAATTATTAATTTTTGCATTAAGGACAGGTAGACTGCCTTCATAGTCCATAGTAGTCTTATGAAACTGGTAGATTTCTTATTCAATTTGACTATGCAACAATATACTTTGTAACCATCAAGTGTTTCTGTATTGTAGTTGTGTTAGCAATATTGAAAGTGTAAAGTAGAAGAGTCAATTTAGATTGTTTAGAACATATAAGACAACATCAAGTTTTATTGTTCCTGTACCTTCTCCGTTAACGGCTTTCCGCGTTTCTTTTTGGAAAAAATAAGATTTGTTAATAAGGCAATAATTTTAAAGACATCATTTACAACTTTAGCCAAATGATTACAATGTCTTTGTTATGAAACATCTTTATTTTGTAATATTATATTTCTCAATAAATCTTACATATTTTCGGCATTATGATAAAATATTAATATTATTTTATTACGTACCTCCTCTCCCTTGATCCACTTGACTTCGGGTTCAGGTTCACCACCATATTTGATGTCAAAGGTGATCACTTGTCCCTTTTTGATGATCATGTTCTGTAGACCCTCGCCAATGATATATGGTTTAACTGTTTGAAGGTTAAAATAGTTTAACTATGCATATTTGACATTTGAAAAGTATTAGCGATTAACTTTGTATACTACAGGTAATAACTCTAGTACTTGAACCCACATAAGTATTACTGTACTCACCAAATCTACACTTAGCAACAATTGGTTTAGTGGTATCACTGGGTTCACCGGGACCGGCCTTGTTGATAGCACGGACCCTGAATTCATAAGTACCGCCCTCCTTTAGACCATCCTGAGTGGCAGCTAGGCAGTCACCAGGCACTTCAACTCCTTTCACCCAGTCTTTTCCGAATTTCTCCTAAAAAAATCGTTAAAAAAGTATGTTTAAATTTTTATCTGTCATCCATCTTTTTAAAGTATTCCCTTACCTTGTATTCAATAACGTAGCCAGTGATTGGTGCACCACCGTCGTTATCCGGCTTCTGCCATTTGAGATCTGCGTGATCTTTGTCCCAGTCCACGAGCTCCACTCCCTTGGGCTTTCCAGGTTCGTCTAGGAAGCACAAGAAAAGATTATTCTGGTACTTATGATTCTGTATTAGAGATGTGCGCCGACCGTAAAATCGTCGGCGGCGGAATGGTCGACGTGAATACGCGTGGCATTCAACCTTTGTGTTAATTTTCAACGCTTTTTACAGATTAACAAGTATTTTAGTAGAAATGTATGTACATAAAAAAACATAAAAACTATCTATATAGATATATATCTTGTATGAATAGGGACGCAATTAATTGTAATAGTACGCAAATACTGTATTGAAATATAGTAAATAATTAACAAAGAAGCTGATCACGCCGAATTTACGCAGGTCTAGTTTATCGGCGGCGGGATATCTATTCCGTACTTAAAAACAATATAGCAATATCGCACCGCTTTCTTGAATCCCCAATTCAATGACTCTAAAATAAAATAAATAATTATAATTGCAAATATGTATACCTTATCTAATTCATCGTTAGCTAAATGGGAACTCCTTTTGTTAAATATATGTTAAGTAATTTTGTTGTCATTTAGTATACGAGTATATATTATAATATAATTAATCTGAAATGTCACAGGGATCAATTTATTCCTAGGTACAAGCGATATTCGTGTTTTCTAGGATTCGAATTGTACTTATTGCACAAACGACATCCGAAGTTGAGCCGAGTTTTATAGATTTGTATAATATCGGATTCGGGTGGCTACTCTCGATCTCCGTCCGACATCCGTCCGAAACAATTACTGTGAAATTAGTAATTTTCGACATAATTAAAAGACAAGTATCCAGTAAGAAGCTTCATTCGCATCACGCGTCTTTTCATTTGGTCAAGTATTGTTTATTTGGCAGTAATTGTTTCGGACGGATGTCGGACGGACCCGCTACAAAAAATCAACCGCTTCAATTTGTTAGCAAGGATGACTGGAATTAACTAGGTTGTCTGTTTTTGACTGTAGCTTGTTCCATGACCCTAATATATTATTTACTAGAAGGATAATTGTCACTTACCCCAGGGGTCCTTGGCCAATACAGGCTTGCCAAAGAGACCAGGTTCACTGGAACCAATCTTGTTCACAGCACGAATCCTGAATTTGTACGTCTTCTTCGCAATGAGATCATCAACTTTGTATTTCAAGGGTTCACCAAGTGGCACTTCAGCCACGTTATCCCATCCAGCCTTGAGAGACATATCCTGAAGGAAATAATGGAAAATAATTATTATTGATCCATGAATACTTAGGCTGATTTAGTATACAAATGGCTACGTACCTGTCTTTCAATAACGTATTTGATGATGGCCGAACCACCATCGTCTTGTGGTGTCTTCCACGAAACTACGCATGAGGTCTGGAATACTTCTGTAACTTCCACATCTTGTGGAGGAGTTGGCGCAGTCTGCATGTTGATATGTACATCTTTACCATCTTCGCCTTGGGCATTTGACAGTTTGATCTGGTATTTGCCTGTTCCTTCCCTGGTCGGCTTTTTAATTTTAAAGAGGATCTTTTCTTGTTCCACCACAGTTTCAACCTCTTTGACGGGGAGGGCTTTTCCATCCTTGAACAGTTTCGCCTCGATTGGGGTTTGGCGCGTGCCGGTAACTAATCAAAACATTTACACATTTCTACATTAATTATAAAAGTTACAAGAAAAGTTATTATTTTTTTTTATAACATCAAGTGACGGGGCGAACAAGTCGTCAAGTTACACGCCTGTCAATGACAATTATAGATTAGATTTAATTACCTTTATAAGGCACCTCGATGACGAAAGGCTGTCCAGCGGGTCCGTTGAACTCATCCGGACATTCGATAGTAGGTTTGGACTCTCCTTTCTTAACGGTCAGTTTGCAGGAAGAACTGAGCTTGCCGGACTCGCAAAGGATTTCACCATCGTCCTCCATCTCCAACTTGTTGAAGATTAGTTGATGTTTACCGCCGCCCAGGTTCTTGATTTCAACCCTACGAATTTTAGCACGTAGTTATCGTTACATAATAGGTGTTCAGTTTATTGAATTCTAATCTAGTCACCATGTCACCACCTTCAATTGTTCAGTACCGATAATAAAAATTCGGCCTGTAACAGGTAATCTTACCTTTCATCAGGCACAATAGGCGTTCCATTGAAAGACCATACGGCCTCCGCAGTCTGATCTTGAAGTTCCACCTCTAGCACCACCTTATCCCTCTCAATTGCTTCGGTGTCCTTCAACTTCTTATTGAAGCGATTCGAGTCTGTACATGAAAGGAGTTCCACGCTTTAAACGCAATGAAAATAAACATGGAGTCTAATGTTTTCAACGTTTCAAAACAAACTAAGAATTGATTTGTTTCGATTGGGACGATTAATTTTGAGCAATGAATTCAACCTTATTTGCATAATTATCCTACTACATAATTATACATTCAGACAAATATTACGTAGGTATCTAGTTCGAATCAAAGATATAAAAAAGGAGGATCATGAAAGTAGATTGCTATTGCCATATTTTGTCCAGCGCGTGTACAAAATGTATAGAATCAAGTGAAAACAAAAAATTAAACAGGTAAATATATTCTTACAATTGACAATCAATTCGCATGCGGTTTCATCGGCATTACTGACGCACTTGAAGTTGCCAGCATCAGTGACTTTAGCGTCCTTGATCACTACCTTGCGTTTGCGACCTTCCTTCACGATTGAGATACGCTTGTCTGCTTTCACTGGTTCATCATTCTTAAACCTGAACAAATATAATTTGTTAGCAATTTTTTATCTAGTACGATTTTCCTGTTATTTCTAGTTTCAACGTCTTCTTATACGGTATATTTAATAAAGACTATTAGAAGATAGGACAGTGTGCCATACCAAGTCATGCTATATAGTAGACATAGGTGAACCACGGAAAGAAATAACTGCTCGTGGCCCACCGAGTGAACCAGTCGGGTGGTCCACGGGCAAAAAGTGGTATTAGTTGTACATTACCCAAATTAAAAAAAAAAGTCAAATTTACCATTTTACGTCACCAGCAGCATCGTCCAACTCGCAAAGCAGAGTGATGGTATCTTTTTCGATGGCCTGCTGTGATTTTAGAACCTTCGTGAATTTGTATGGGTATTCTGAAAAAAGAAATATCGTATTTTGTACCTTTGTTCATGATTATAAAGTATGTCTAAACTATCATTTGCTTAGGAAATAAAACTATTTTTCCGGATTTAAATCGCGTATATTTGTTTTTTCAAACAAACCGACGTTTCGGGCCCTTTACAGGTCCCATGGTCACGGTTGACTGGTCAGTCACAAAATCAAAACAAATATACGCGATTTAAATCCGGAAAAATAGTTTCATTTCCTATGTGTAACAATCGCGAAAACCTAAGAACTCGATATATCATTTGCTTTTTCAATAACATACTTACCAACAATTTTAACATCAGTCTCTGTCTTGTCAGGTTGCTTTTCAATCCTACATGAGTATTTTCCTGCGTCTTCCATTTTAGCACTCTTAATAACAAGTGTACATTTGCCAGATAGGTCTTTAGAGATAGAAAATTCGTCACCATCTTCCAGTTTTGTATCTTCTTTCCACCAAGAAACAATGGCCAAGTTGCTTGAAACAGCGCACTCCAATACCGTCTCGTGTCTTGTATAACCGCTAATAGATTTCTTTAACGGTTTCGTGAAAGTGTACACTGGATCAGGTTCGTCAACTTGTAAGAAGGCAGTGCAAGTAACGCCACCGATTTCGACTGTGATTTTACCCGTATCTTCTACTTTGGGATTCATGATGATGAGTTTGTACGAGTCTTGTTCGCTCGTCATCTTGTATTTAGAGCCGGGGAATAATTCCTGGAGAAATACAATGTTTTTTGCATTACTTGCTCATGAAAAGGTTACGTAATTACAACTGAGTTTCTACTTACATCCTTACGGAAGTACCACTTCGGCTTGGAATTGGGTTTCGTGAAGATGGCCTCGAAAACCACCTTCTTATCCTTGCCTTCTTTTGCGAATTGATCTACGAGGGGCTTCAGGAAAGATTCTTGTTTCTGAAACATGGCCAGTGCTATTAACGTACCTATTCCACGTAGAATATAAAAAAGTGCAGTCACAGAAAAAGTGCTCTTCATACAAAAAGCTGACAGGTGCTGACAAGAAACCCTCAGTTTGTCTTAGACTTTCCCAATGGTCAAATGCAAGAAATCAAAACAGTAGAAATCTATAATAACCGAGGCGTTAGGTTCTTCAGCCATTCATTCATCATTCTCGTTGTTTGAAAATCCATGCTTTTGTACAGAAATTGGAATTTCCAAATTGATGTTTGAAAGAAAAATTTTGTGCATTTAATTCTATTTTAAATTTTGACCAATCTAAACAACTGATTGTTAAGATTCTTACGTGTAGGTGAGTAGATCAAAAATGATGAATTTAAAAAATCACGTTGCATTTTTTACTTTCACTTTTGTATATATTTTTTTGTCTAAAATAAAATTCACCAGTTTTGAAATCATCAATATATATATATATCCTAAAACATCGAAATCACAGTGCAAAACTGTGCTCTATTTTTGAAAGTGCACAGAAAATTTGCTGTTTGAGAAGAGAACAAAAGATAGAGTGAACGTATAAGTGCTATCTATAGACGTGAAGAAATGGTGAACTAAGAGTGACCGACGACGTTGCTTCAGAGAGTCTGGCGTGAGGTAGATCTCTAACCTTGCATCTTTCCGTGATGTGTATACAATTAAAATGAAAATAACAATAATTTTATCAAAACAATATACGGAAACCAAAATTTAAGAACATATTCATCATCATTGAATTTAGTTCCGATATTGGAAATACCGTATGAAAGAAATTGTGATCTAGGTAAAGAAAAACGAAACGTTGAAATCTTTGATGCAAAATTAGATGCCTGTTCGCTTTTGATTAAGTGAAGTGCTTTTAATATTGATTTTGTGACACAGTGACACATAATATTTTGTGCGTAGTGCTTTCAGTGTCCCACAGAGATACTGTGCCGAATGTTTGTTTCTTTGTCAAACCTCATCTTTTTTGAACGAATGCAGCACTGGCCAATCTGGTATGAGTTCAGCAAGTGACGGTCTTCTGTTATGGATTCTCTATAAAACAGCCATTTCTCTTAATCTCTGATCCCGTTAAGCCAAATAAACTGAGTATTGTATCAAATTTCCCATATCAATGTTTGGTTATTTCAAAACCAAATAGTTTTAAATGACGTCAATATGTTCAATGAAATAAATCGTATTGTAATGAAAAGTTTTAAAAATTACTTATTACAACTACTTTAAAGCCAATTGATGATAATAATGTTTGAGAATAATAAATTTGTTCAGTCTTAAGCTAATTTATATAGAGACCATATTACTGATATACTAAATGTAATGTAAGTAACATATTCCAAAAAATATGACAAACATTAAAAAATTCCAACATCTGCAAAACACCGGATGCATCAGCTGAAATTAATTGTAATGAAAGTAAATGAAGACAGAAACATAATTTTTAATAATGACGTGCCAGAAGCTCCTCAATCCGACGTCAAAGACCTGTGAAATATACGACATAACAATCCAAAAATAGACAATTGTCACCAAATTCATTCCACTTACATTCCCTGTAAATCATGTTCAAGTTAAAGAAGTGAAGTGGTGATACAAAAACCTTGTGCGAGTTATTTTAAAATTCAAGTTTTATGCATTCGCTTTATTTAAATCGCTCAAAAATTAGCATCTTCAATTTGGTTTACCCTATTTATAATTAGCAAATCACATTTTATTACATTTGCTTTGATTTCAAAAATATTGAAGATACTAATTTAGGAGGATAAATTTAGTTTAGTTTTTTATTATTTATCAATTTATTTCATTCATTCATTTAAAAGACCACTACTGTCACTTTGAAACATTTACTTTCAATATCGTTGGTGTTTTAAATATTATTATTCTTAAAGTCTTTTACTTTCTCATGTTTGTATACTTGGTTAACAAAGCTGACTAAGTTACAGATGGAACCCCATCAACAATCTAGAAAACTTTCAAATAACAAGTTCGTTCTGACTATTGTAGGATTCTAACATGTAAACTGTTTAAAGTTTCAAAAAGGCAGTAAGTGACTCTTAGGCTTATACTTTAACTTTTATCCTTCCATTTTATCGAACCTTTATTTTGACAGCCTCCATCAAAGTGGGCCAATCAGGTAACATTTCGCACAGAGACAGTCGTCTCCGATTGTCAAATATATCCTACAATTTATAATTTAACGTTAAACAATCAATTATCGCACAAGACTATAAGTTAGATGATATAACTGTTCCACTTTGTATAAAAAGATACCAATCTCTACTCAACTTTGTCGCGTAAGATCATGCAACTAAACGCCTAAAAGACGTCGTTTACGTTTTTTGGCTAAATAGCTTTGTTATGCCGTATTATTTTTCTAACAAAGTTCAAGAACTTTAACGGCTAGTACATGAATATCGTCAAAAACTAAAAAGTTGGAACCAGTATATCTCTGTCTAACTTTCAAAACTTTTTAAGCCAGTGCTAATGATTTAAGCGAAGTTAATAGAAAGCTTGATTTATATCATGCCATTTAGAAGTTTATGGGAAGGTGAACCTTATAAAAATAGTTTTCACAGAAGACATAATTTAAATGTTCAAATGATCACATAAGACATTCACAAAATGTACGTCGATGAGTTCTGTGTATGTCAACTAAACGTGAACCAAAGCGTAAAGGCTGTATTGACTATTTAAATAAAGGCCAATGATCTATGAGATCACTGATAAAGGCTTTGTTTTAAAATAGCACGTACCTAAAGACTTTTCATTCCAAATGCAAATGTAAGAGAAGAAAAAACATTTTGGATATATCCAACAAGTATTTTAAAACTTTTTGAAATAGGCTTGTTTTATTTTTCAAACTATTGCTATCACCTTTCGAGCGGTTACACACGGTCACTTTTAGCAGGGATACAAACGCGATGCTTTCGCTAATCGTCTACCTTTACACACGCACGCGATTTTAAGCAGCGATGCAAACGCGATGCAAGCACGCTACTGCATCGATACAAAGGCGCGATTGTATCGGCACACTTGGGATTTATAGGCGATTACATCGATGCAATCATACGTTTGAATCGATGCAAAGGAGCCGTGTGTAACCACTCATACATGTAAGCGAGAGTATAGCGGTAAGTTACTAACGCTTATTATATATAATAAAACAGTGCATTACTAACACGAAATAAACCAATTATCCTTCTAAACATCCATCCAGCCATATCTATAACTATCGTTATCTTATTATCAACAAATATAGTTTTGTAAACATCCATGACACAAAATTTTTGACAGCCTTGTCAGTGTAATTTCCTTTTTCGAAACATTTTTTTACCAAAGTGTTTATACTATTGAAAGCAATCTTTTTTGTCATTTTTTATTCCTTTTTTCTATTTACGTTTTTTTATGATATGTAGTGAAGGGATGAACAAATCATGTGCATGGCGATAAACGACTTGCCGATCCATAAGTAGTTAAGATCTGAAGTCCACTGCCATTGGACCCGACACTCTGAGACATAAAGTTGACAAATCCCACAGGCCTTTAATTTCACTAGAACTCAGTAGCTGTAGCGCTCATGTGAACGAGTTCGTCCAAGGAAGTACTGGCACCTCACCAATTTCTGCCGTCAAGTAGTAATATGAGCATTATCGCGTTCCGTTTTCAACTTATGTATCAGGGTGATGGGCGCAGTGGCAGTGCTCCTAAGATCTTTACGATTTAAAGCTCTGAGCGGTACTGTAACTTTATGGACAGGCATGTCGCTTACCACCAGGCGCATGTCTTGGTACAAAAACTATTACCCTTCAAACAAAACGTAATGGTCACTATAGCTCTTGAAAATAGTAAAAAAGAAACAAAAAATTACAAAAGACAGAACACTCTAATTCGGAATAAAGATTAGTGTAAAATTTAAAGTAATCTCTTTTAGGATATAACGAATGATAGGTGCTTTAAGAAATAATTTTAAAGCAACCAAAGCTTTATATACAATCGCAATTATGGCTCGAATTCAACAATGCGTTTGACAATGTCCATGATGTAATTAAAAAATGATAGAAATGCAAAATGGAATGAACTATGATATAGTCTAAAATACCGAGGACCTTGACCCAAGACCAGTTTGAGGAGTTCCTGCGATTGTCAGCTGGGAATCTACAAATCTCGACACCTTCAGAGACCACCACAACGTAGCCGTCCTCTTCGAAATATCCAGTTTCTAAACCCTATGGACCAATGATGAAGACGATGTTTTACTGATTCATAAAATGAAACAGGTTGCTAGTGATTGTATTCGTAGTAACATCGCGTAATGAAATGAATAGCATCGTTTTCGTCCTAATGCCAAAAAATCTAATTTATATGAACATATCGAATTCAATTCGGCATGTCTCGATGCATGGTCTAAGATAGATTCAGGATATTTCGTATCCATGTTATAATGGTAAAAGCACATGTGGTCATTCACCAAAAGTGCTTTTATCACATGAAAGTCATATAAATAACACGAACTACATGAAACAAAATAACTCTAACTCTAAACTCTCCTATTTAAGAATAAAAATGCTATCGGTTAATTGCGTTCGTAGTAATTTTAAGATTCTGTACCGAAAAGTTGTCATTTCGGCAGATGTGGCTTTTTTACATCAAAGATGCGATTTATTTTAATATATATTTCCAGCATTGGGGACATAACGATCGATTATTGTCTGAAATCCTAAGATTCCAAACAATGAACTCAATAACGTTTTTTATTAAAAAAAATGCCGACTTCAAAAGTTCCATTACATCTATTTGCCAAGTTTTCTTTAAATCAGTTACCGGAAAGTACGCAAAACGAGATTTATCCCTTAGTTTGCCATCCATAAAGCTGGAAAATTTTCTTTAAATTTAAACGGAACCAATTCTAAGGTACCCTCTTTCCAACAAAAGTAATTGCATAACATACACAAAACAAAATCTCCTTTTTTTGAAATCGTTTGATACCGATACGCGATATACAGGGTTTTACAAAGCTCGCAGGACTATATTATTTCTAACATCACAAACAATAACTGTTCTATGACTTAATAATTCATCACGTTAACTTTCGTGCAAAAATAACAACTGTGATACTCTGCCCGATACGACGCAAAACGCAGGAGCATTTGAACTTACAACATTACTACCAAATAAAGATCTAAAAAGTCTTAGCTAGTACAACAAAATTGAAAGTTCATTTTTGGTAATTTCATTACATTGTTGTTTATGACGTTTTATTTTAGTAGTATAGTCCTCCGTAGTTATACGTACTTGACAAATAACCCTATAATATAGCAATTTTTAACTACAAACAAATAGTTACGCAAAACTGCTAGACAAATGACACATAATGTTAACATAACGTATGTGAAGTATTCTTGTTTAGTCAAAATATCAATGTTATTTGCCCGATGGAGCTGTCTATTGTCCAATTTAAGCTGCTTTTTAGAATCTTGATAGACACTGAAACTAATTTGTTTGGATTTTGAAATTTAGTTCATTTTTTTAACTAAAATATTTTTTTCCTTATACATTGTTTCATTATTTTTGAATTCCTTATTCTTTTTACATTGGTTTCAGTATCAATCTTGTTTCATTAAAGTTTATTTACACTTTTATATAGAATTTTATATCACCATCTTCAGAACCATTTTTAAATATTTCTTTAGCTTCATCATCGTTTTCTTATAGTAGTGCATATTTACCTTTTCGACTTTCTTTAGTGGTGGAATAGGTTTTTCGGTCTCTTTGAGGTCTCCCCAATCAGGGTCTTCTTTTTTCTCACCCCATTTGGCGTATTTCCTCTTCTTGAGCATAGCTCGGAAGTCCATGCCACTGGAGTCTATAGAACAATGTTATTATCAGGAATTGTCACATCATAGAAATCTTCTCACCTATCTTGATAACAATATTCGACAACAATATATTCTTGGGACATTATTATAGGAACATTTGTTTATAATAACCAATAATTAAAAAAGTATTTTAATTGTGTCTTAGATGTTGACTACACGGTAACACTGAATAATTATATTTACAAATTTGAACGATATGCATCATTACTGCTTTCAAATAGTTCAGAAGATTATTAAAGCTTTTTCAAAAACTTACCAGACACGTAAAGCTGCATCTCAGCGGAGTCTTCTCCATGGATGTTGCTGACCACAACCTTGTATTTGCCTTCATCATTGGGCTTGACTTTCCTCATGCAAAGGGTGATGAGACCATTTTCGCCATCTGTGACGAACTTGAAACGACCACCTTCGATGATTTCAGTGATACCCTTATAGAACTTGAAAGTTGGTGCTGGATTGCCCTCCACTTGAACGGTGAGGTAGCCAGTTTGATCTGGGGAGAAATAATCATATCTTTTATATCTATTGTAATTAGGCTGTTATTTAATTGTTTCAACTGGTGTTGTTAACGTTTTTCGTCAAGTTTTTGTGATCTACAGGTATTGCTTTGTTATCTATTGGCATTTTAGTTGATTACTTGGCGTGTTCTTGAATTACTTATAATAATCTTCTTTTGTTAGCATTTTATAAAACTTTCTATTTATTTCTATTTTTCGTTCAAGAGGCTACAAACAAACAAACCGTTACATAACCGCAAACAGTTACATAAACAAACTCTTCGTAAGCTTACCTTCAACTGCAGAATAGCTCTCCTGTACATCAACGATGACTGGCGGGCCCTCATTTCCATAAGGCTTTAGAGGCACTGAAGGCTTGTTGATCAGATCTTCCAAGTCCTGGATTGAAGGTCTTCTCGCGTCCGAGGACTTGCGACGCTATATTATCAAGTTAAAGTTAGAGAACGATCACGAAATTTGAAGTTTTTTGAAGCTTATGTATGAACCTAAACTTTTAAACTGCTCCTTTTCTTTCTTTTTTTATATATTTTACTTAAAAAGAGACCATTACTATGATTTCATCGAAATTAATTAAAAAGACGTCTTTGCAGTAAGTGCAATCTAAAATTTTAATATCTCAAATAAAATGCCATCGAAATATTCGCAAATAGCTACATTACATAGTAACCAAAAGGATTATGCTAAAAAAGACACAAATAATAATAAATTTAACCCAATGATAGATGTTCGTAATCAAGAGACTTGCCAAATGTACTCACCAAACTTATATTTCTTAACAAATGCCGCACAAGTGTTGCAATATGAAATTATGACAATGGCAAATCAGCATACATTAATATCGCAGTCGTAATAAATGTCAATTAACGCTTAGTTGATATGTGCGAAGATGATTTAGATAAGCGCGAATGTAATACTTCTTTTATACTTATATTAAATATTGTAGAGAACACACTTTGTTGTCTGTAAATTCAAAGTCGCTCGAATAGCATCTGTCTATAAAAAGATATTTCATCATCATCATCAACCCATTTATACGTCCTACTGCTGGGCACGGGTCTCCTCCATGTCTCCTCTCTGTTAAGGATTTAGGCTTTAGTCCGCCACTCTGACCCAGTGTGGATTCCTTCTCGATACCTCCAATGAACACCAACTTAATGTTTTGGTCATTTTCTGTTTTAACGTAAACAGCCTTATTTTATTTACTTATCCTCCCCGAATTTTGTGGAAAAAAAGAAACAAAAACGAAATTCGAAAAAAAAAACATAAAAAAACATAAATTTCAAATTATCATTAGCACATATTTTCCCAAAAACTTGGAGGTGCGAGGCCGCATTTGAACCCACGGCCTCTGCTTGAGAGGAGGTAGGTCAAACCATAAGATTATCACGCTTCAAAAGAAATTTTGATAAAGTTTGACTTAACAACGACTATTGTTATTAGTCGGGCACCGCATTGTTTTTTATTATTAATAATTTTTATTTCTCCTATTACACTCACCTCTATTATTTAGTTTTCATAGTTTACTTTAAATTTTTATTTTATTTGTATTTTATTTCACTTCATTGTAGTTGCTATTAATTTTCTGATTGCAATTATAATCTTGTAAAACTGCAACATTTGTAACATATTAACATTATAATGCTGCCTTTCTATACATCATAATTATCCGGTTGGGTGAGAGCCTGGAGATCCGTCACACAGGTCAATTCCTAGTATGGACTCCAGTCTCTTGCAAAGGTATCTAAATAATTAGGCACTATCCAGTAAATCATTTTAGCACTTTATAACCGTTGTAAAGAAAATTAAACATTTATGATTATAACAAATAATGTATATGTGAAATTTTAAGAATAAAATGCTATCGACTAATTTCGTTCACAGAATCTTGAAACCTTTCTTTTGAATTGTTCGTTGTCAATTTACAGTGAGCTTATTACACCAAGGGAGCGAATTCTCATTGTACAGTCGATTCTTATTCTTTCAAATAGGTAATTCTAAATTCTGAAACAACATAATTATTTTTACATAAATCATGTCACTTTACTCTGCAGTAGTTATCAAATTTGTACCACAACATTTGGTAATAATAATATAATAATAATAATAATATTTAATAATAGTTCAAAATAATTAGCCGTATCGTCGATTGAGCAAATTTGTCTACTCCTACGCGCTTTATTTACAGTACTTATCACCGAGGTGGAAAAATTACTAATTTAAATTAGTCTAGGTACGTTATGTTCCAGTTGAACGATCTTGATATACCAATGTAAAAAAAAAGGATAAAAGATGTTGCCAAAAAATTAAGAAACAATTATAATACATAAAACAATACAAAATAAATACTAGAATGTTCCCCTTTTACGAATATTTCACTTAAAAAGCAATGTGCGCTTTAAAATATAGCAAATCCATTAAAATGATCAAAGATGGTAAAGTTTAAAATCCATAATATAATATTAAGTAATCTGAATTTCTATTACATAATTTCACGATCGTTAGCAACGGTGTGTTTTTTTATATAAGGGATAATTAGGCTGAATGTCATTGCCAGGCAAAATAAGGTTTGTACCCAGAGTCTTTGAAGCTAATTCGAAGTTACAGGTAGCAACAATATCTTGACATCAATCAGGAACAATTTATATCTCTTCTCTTTGAAGTTTGCATTGTCCTGTTTTGCTAGCTAAGACTAGACTTAAAATTAATGGTCCTAGACAAAATTAAGATCAAGGAAGGAAGAAAAGTATTATTTCAGCAAGACTCATCATATTATTGAAATAGCATTACTCCTTTATTTGTGTTGGTTATTTTATTTACCGAAGCTATAAAATTGAAAATATTTCGATGACTTTTCTTCTTTTTTAAACAGTCTTCATCTTTATAACATAAAAATTGTGTACTTACCGAATCATCTTTAGGTTTACGTTTAGCAACTGGTTTTTTAGCCACAGTCGCCATTGTTAAATTCTAAGAAGCCACAATACTATTTATAACTTTTAATTTCAAAAAATAACAATTATTTAGACAGATTTAACAATCACAGTAATTATCACAGTTGCATCATAAACTCACACAAAATACAGTTTAATAAAATTTTCGTCTTAAATATTTATTTTTTTCACTATATCTTTCATCATCCATTTCAGGTTTAATTTTTTAAATGCTTTTATTATTCTTTTTTATTTTGTATTTTTTTAAAGTTACACCCCGTTTTATTATTTATTTAATTAGTTTTTTATCGTTAGTATTTCGCAGTATCGATTTGAGATATTCGTGTCGTTCCATCTAAAAATGGGAGCGAATGTCAAAAGACTGAGTATGGGGTCGAACTGTTGCAAACCAGGGAGACGAAGGGAGAAGGGGAATCTATTTATGCACAGCACAAATCAGTGGACCAATTCAATTAATAATCAGATTAAGGTGAGCCAGGCATGTACCGTTCACGTCAGAGGGTAATATATGTGTGAAAACGTCGCCCAGAGCAAGAGTACTTTCAGTCGTAAATTCTGCGTTATCTTTAGCTCCAGGTGTTTTAGATTTATTAGTAATATTAATGACATTATTATAGATTTTAACTCGCGAAATTCTGTATTAAATTAGCCCCATGACATTTAATGTAATTGATTAAAATTGATCGTAACGAATCACTAATATTTAAACTTTATTTTGGTGTAAATATCGTTAATTTAGTCTGTCGTTTTGTTGAGATAATATTTAGGAGTGAATTTCCATCTCTAATAGTCAACTTCAATTAGTATTAGTCATTCAAGGCAACAATAAAATTAGCCAAAGAGTCAATTTCATTATCAATTTCGCTGTTCATGTGACTAATCGATAGTGGCGTTTGAACCTTGGATAATCGTACCGCCTCATGAGCTCTGAAAGATTTTATTGACACGATGAACGATGTCGAGGGTTGAAGCCAACATGTCTTCAGAAGACAGATTCGAAACATCTGTGTCTGAATGCTGAGTGATCATTTGATCTACGATCATTTGATCGTAGAGATCTAGTTTGAAGATGACAATAGAGGGTAACAAGATTAATTAATGTGTCGCTTTTGTGTTTTGTTTCATTCATTACAATATTTTTGTTTTGAATGGAATATGCTATTATTTTAGGTTAGTATAGTCCGTCTTGGTGTTAATTGATATCTTCTGTTTTCAAAAGAGATATCAATAACTCATGAAAATAACACGAACTATATGAAACAAATTATGTATATTATATCATATTTTATACCTCTCGTAAATCTTATAAATCTTGTAAACTTCTCTCCTGAAAGTAGTAATTTTGAAGATGTGGCCTTATTATACAAAGGGCGCGATTTTATTTAACTATAGTGTTAACTGTTATATTTAAAAGAAGTTGTTCTTCTACGAAACAACATACAAAGCTAATTGAATATAGTGCTTTTATTAAATTAGCTTTGTAACGTAATAGCTATTAGAGAATCGGTTATCGGAATTTGTATTTGAATTTGTTCTCAGAAGTATGAAGACATCTATCTTGTTTATCCTCTTGATCACGATTACTCACAAATAAACTGTAGATGCTCCTAGTAGATAGCTTCAGATAGATATCTTCCTATTGTCTTCTCGTGTTTAATAATATAAATAGCCTTATTGTATTTTGTAATAGACGTCTGATATAATCTTTTTGAATAAGTTGCGACGTGACCTTTCTAAGGAGGCCTCATTTGATTCCTGTACAAAAACGTCGCCGATGTATGTCCGAACTAATATATTGAGGGTTTATACAAGTGGAGTGAAAGATTGATTGGGTCTATGAATGCTATAATCTGATATGACTGTAAGTGCTGGCAAGTTACCCACTCGTAGCACCAACATACTTGCCGAGGCGACAAATTCTTTGGTTTGTCGATGACGGGTTTGTTCTTAGGTTTGTTACTTAACTCGTATCGTTTGTGTTATTTTTAGACTTGCTTGTTGAACTAGTATAGATGTAGATGGTGTTATGTTTCCCTAATTAGCCGGAAGAGGATAATTGTAAATTATTCCTTAACAGCTTTAAGTCTTTTACCATATCTTTGCTATAACTTTGGCAAATAATTTTCACTGCCTTTAATACAAAGTTATTGATATCAATAATTTGTAATTTTCTTTCAAATTATATTTAAGATCACAAACTAATTAAATAAATGTAAATATATATGTAATCATTGAAGTAATACCCAAATATTACCATTTTTGGTCGGTCATGTCTACCAGTTTGTAATCATCAACGTGTGTCATACCGTCGTCACTTCTATAATTACAATTCTTTTTCAATCTGCCTGATTCAAAATAGCATTTAACTGTCAATATACTGATAAATAGATGCACTTTTAGCCAATAGTCTACTTGCCAAAGCTTTCGACTGCGATGTAGCAGCATTCTCGCTAGTATATTCATCGAGTGCCCACGCGCATCTCAGAGGTATACCTTATTTTTGCATGTCAATCACACATCATTACATCTATTTGTGATTTGTCTTTTTTATTGCTTTTATTTATTGCACATTTAGTTGCTACGGTTCATTAGTTTTATGTGGAGTGATATCATCATCAATTTTTTTAGAAGTTTATCTATTTTATTTTAGACTTAATAGGTAGATTGAGTATTCCATTTTAATCTTGTTTTCGATTTCAATACTTCACCTACACATTTCACCCTAGAATATCAAATTTTATTTTTATATTTCTCACTCTAACGTTGGTTTCAATATTTTTCAAGTGTGATTCATCGACAATGTTGCCCGATTTTTCTGGGAAGTCATATATCTTCTTAACAATACATTTCATTCCAATAATTCATACGACCTGGCAACGGGTCGTAGTTAGTACTGATAAAGTTTCAAGATCATGCTCTTGGCCTATATCGCTATGATCCAGCGTCATATTTGTAAGAATTACCATCAATCATAAAGCTGGCTTCGACTCTTGCTTCGGTTCATTTGCTTCATTAAACTTTATGACGTTCTCCGTTAAGAACAGGTGCGTTAGTTATATATTTTCATTGTTGATTGAATTAATTAATCTTGTTTTGTTTGGTGAGATTGGTATTTATATTACTTAGGAGTTTTTAATATGGAGCAAAGTAAAAAACAAGTATTTCACTCTTTTGTAATTATTGCCGATCAGTCACATCCGAGGAATTTTTCTTTGTGTTCTTGAACCAGTAGACTTGAACCAGTATCTATTGTTATACCAGGGCTTTAACCGTCCGTGTCAACAAATCTTGCAAATTTCTTTGTGTTTGTTATACATATATAGATCTTTGTATTGCTTTTAAACGGTTTTTTCTTCGTCTGCGTACATGTCAGTAACTCGTGATGTTACTTATGATAGGGTTATTTGTAAAATACTAACACCAGGACTGTATTACTAGCATCATAAACATTTTTTGTTCCGTGACTTTTTACAAAACATAATAAATTTACCAAAAGCAAATTTTCAAGTTTTTGTTGTGCTATCTGTCATGTTTTAGATCTGTATTTTTAGCAGCGGCTGTATAGTTATTTTTATTATTATTGTCATTTTCAGAGCATTTTTATTTATCTCCTTTGATGGGGCCTTTTACATGAAGGTTTGTAGTTTTGTATGCAAAACTTAAAAAAATTGTAGGCTTTTTTACGTTTTCAATTAAGATCAGGTTGTAGATTTCTTCATATGGTGTTTTAAACCGTTATGTTTGAACTCTACGAGTAGTTTGGCAGTCTTCCATGAACTGAGTATTTATTTCATTTTTTAATACAGTTTATATAGATTTTATAAAGTTCATAACCAACGTTTACAAGTTTGTCGGCATACATGAACATCTGAAGTCTCAAAATTACCACTAGTGTTAAAGACTGTGCGTCATTGATACAAAAGTTTGGCTCCAAACCTATATCACGCTCATGTAATTATAGAATCTTTGTATAGCTTCCGTGTCTATATTAGCATGATTTATTATGATTGAAGGCGACATAATTAGATGCACCTCTAGCATATATCCAGTGCAAGGTTATATTTGGATGAAAACGACACGCTCAATTAATATATTTTGATACATATACCATATTTCTGTCATCTACATTAAACCATTTAATTTCAGCAAGTGCGATGTTCATTTGTTCTATATTTTATTTTTTATTTCTTTTATGAATAAGCGATCGTTTATGCATGCATAATTCCTTTATTTTTACTATTACGAAGTCTTGTGGCATCTTCAATTTTGACATATCTGTTATCGCAATGTCTCTTTCATTTACTATTCATTCATAATCAATACTTTTTCATTTATGATAAATATCTATTATTGCTTTACATTATCTTTCATATATCACTGCGAACACAGATGTTTTCATCATATATTTACATGCATTAATTACTAAACTTTACTATGTTATTAACATTATAATAAAAACTAATTGGTTAAATTGTTTGATTAGATATTGGTGCATCAATATTAGTATCGGTTTTGAAATCAGGAAGCTTAATTAGGCATAATGTTGTATTTTAGTCTATTGTTTCAGCGATTTATTTACGATCATGCATATTTATATCACGATGTTCTTTTATATCTCATGCTGGCTTTTGTTTAATTCATCCTTAAGCAATTGGCTACTTCTTAAATAAGGCGGTCAACATACTAGAGCAGCACGTCGCCGCCGAAACATCTAAGCATAAGCATAACTGCCTTTTCTCCCATGACTCATGTACGTAGCCATTAAAGGATAAACCCTTGATGTCAGCACATTTCAGTATTAAGCCTGTTGACGTAATGCTGAAGCGTGTTGAAAATTGAGGTTTATCTTAACTTTGCGTGGCGGTTTTAATTATAATCTTGTTTAATTATTGCATTTAATTTTCAACTATTACTAATAGTATTAAAAGTTAGTACGACAAGGGATTAAATTGCACTAATAGTACTAAATCTAAGGATTTTATTTACAATAATAACAATATCACAATTTGGAGCATTGAAACGTAGAAGAAAATTTGTTAAAGCCAATCATACGACAGCTATATATTTCGGCGTATTGACTTATAACATATACACTTTGTTATATGTTATAATTATAATATATGCTATTTTGTCGCTGGAACCGATTATTGACTCCCAAAATTAATCACTGAAAATTCTATGTTAGCCACGTAACTAAACGATATGTCTATGACATATAATATCTAAACATATATATGTTCACACATGTATCTATATACCTCATCCATGAGTTCACCGGGCCTCACGCGTTTCTTTTTTGGAAAAAAATACAAATTAGTTTGGTAGAACATGTGACGTTAATTGTGAAAATTATTCATCAATAATATTAAAAATACAAGTTCATGAATCAGTGTTTGTGCTATTTTTATTTGTGTAAAGTGAAATAACATATCGACCCATGAAAGTAAAAATTACGTACACGCCATCGTAATATTTTCTGGATTCATAGACGATAAAACGTAACATTTATCTTTAGTAATTTTGTAAGCAAAAGAATAATATTTTTTTAAATTATCGTCCCCAATATTAATATACACAGAAATCTCGATCATCGCAGAAAAGTAGCCTGCTTGTCGGTTTTCTATCGGATACATTTCGGGGAGTGTGCGCAGGAACTTTTCAATTTGGTTCCGCCCTCACCGTTCCTCCTTCGGTCGACTAGAAGGTCCGGAGCACTCCATTCTTATGTCGTTGATATTCCGCCTATTCGCACTAAGCGCTTTGCCTCCTCCTTTCTGATGCGTACGGCAAAGGAATGGACTTTTCTTTTTTTTTTAATTCTGTATTTCCCGAAAAGTACAATTTGGGGCTATTCAAGGCTAGAGTGAATAGGCATTTTTTTAGGCAAACGCGTCCCATCGTCGGTCACATCGTCGCTTAACATCAGGTGAGATTGTGGCCAAGCGTGTGTCTATTATATATAAAAAAAAAAACTACACTTAATTTACAATAGTAATAAGCTGGGCCAGTATGAGCGCATTTTGTAATGTCTCAATAGTTTGATAAATTTCGACTTGATAAAGTTCTCTCCAATATTTGGAAATGAAAGTTCTGTTTTTCGGATCTAAATCTTTATGGAGATGTTATATTAGAATAGGGTGGTTTGCACTAATATTAGACGTAAGTAGTTGAAAACTTTACCTATGAAACGGAATGAGAAACCCATGGACTGGCAGATACCGTACTCCTGGTATTACTGAGAGTGTATTCGTTTTGTTTGTATGTATAGTGAATAAATTATATAAAATAAAAAAACCAAACTCACAAAAGTTTTTACAGATACTTTAATTTGCCAAGTTTTGTTGAAATCGTTCAGCGAAAAATGAGGAAATCCATGCGAAATACAATTCCAAATTCCATTTAATTCATTCCATCCTAATTTGTCACCCTTAGAGGTAGAACATTTTCTTTAAATTTTATGGAGGTCAGGTACCACTTTTTCAACAAAAAAAAAGTATAAAACGTATCGTACAAAAAAATGCAATCGTATTTTTGAAGTCGGTTAAAGTTTATTATAATGATTTATAACAGTCACTGCAGTCTCATGTCTATATTTTTCTGTTAAGATTTTTGATAATTATTATCAATACAAAAGAAAACAATATCGATGTTGAAAAGAAAATTGTTATCACTTATACGTTTAATTTTCGGCTTTGGCGTTTACTTAGGTCTTATTTTATAGGTCGATATATTTTTCTTGTATCATGTAATATGAAAGGTGTAGCTACAATTGTGTAAAGTATTGTTTTGTAAAATTTGCTTTTTATTGTAAATGTTACAAATGTGTGAATTGTTTCAAGTAAATATTTATGTCCAGTTTCTTTGTGCAATGAAAACAGTCTTAATGCAACTGTATAGTGTGGTTATATGATATTGGTAAGTATTTGTAAGTAGGTAATAAAACTAGAAGTACAAATCTAAAAATTAGATTAATAAAAATAAAATGTTATTGGATTTCAGAAAATCTAAAGCCATTCTAAAAGTCAACTACAAAGCGGTGTCAATAACAATACCTTATTTGAAAATAAATTTCTTCATAAATAAAGTTACTAAAACATTTGTGAAGTAAATACTCAACAAAGTACGATTCTCACATCGTCTACTTGTAATGATGATATTCTGCTATAGATCCCGAATACATACACTAATTGAAGTGAATTTTGTTGGTTCTATATAAAATCTTGTCAAATCAAATTTTGTGTTTGTTATAGGCTCCGTTGTTTTACGTGACGGTTCCGCCAAGTTCAGAGTTAGAAGACTCAAAGCTAGGTTGAGACAAACTGAAGGTTTTGTTTGTGTGTTTTTGCAGCATATTAATTCTAAATGCTATATAAGTTGATAGAAGGCATTATGGAGGTATTGTCATTGACAAAACATTAAGATAAAACTGCACCAGCGACCAGTATGTTAGCGCTGGTAGGCAAAGCGACGGCTCTTTATGAACTAAGGGACACATCTAGAGAAAACTAAAAAAAGATGTATAGAGTGTTTTGGAAACAGTAGGTACTAAATAGGTACTCTTTTCTAATAAATAGTACTGGGGTATGTAAAGAACATTTCTTCTGTTCTGGTGAAGAAATTGTAGACTCTATAGTTACTCTAAAAGATATAGCTTCTATCGGAATGTATTATAAAAGGAATGTAATTGTGTAAAGGTTTAATAGAGATCATAGAATTGAAATCGGTACAACAACCGAATTCTGAAACTTCACTTGTTTACAAAACGATCAAATAAGTCTATAAATGGACATGTATGTGTTTCAATCAAAAGTAAAAGTGTATAAGAAATAAAAGAACTAAAAGACAAAATGCTTTGCAAAGCGAGCAGGCTCGTAAACCGGCCAGACGCTCTCACCTTTTTGTCGTCTAACACTTCTCCTGGACGTAATTTGGTGACCTGTTGTTAATAAAAATAAAGAATAATAACCCCTCTTTAAACAAAAGTGTTGCCTATTTTCTCTGCCGCCGAACCTGGTGCGCCTAGGATCCCTACTTTAGTGCTTAGTGGTGCATTTACCTAACCAGCGAGTGCAGAAGTTATTACGTTATATATTGTGCTATTTTCATGTTAATTATCGTTGTTAGTGCCCGTTTCAAGATTGTGATGTGTAAACTTTTTAGCATCTTTAAAACTTTGAACGGTTTTATTATCATCAGCAACAACTTTCTCAAATTTATAGAGAAACTTTTTGCTGTTGTGTTCAAATTTTATGCCGACTTTACCAAACACTGAAGACACTATTATAACATCAAATCTTGCTATTAATTCTGCAGTTTCGTATTCACTATTGACCGTTATTTGTGTGCGTGACGTGCGGACAAGCTGTGCATTACTTGTGTGTGCGTATATCACAATATGTGCAAATGTAGCCGGTGCTTTAGACGACAAAACGCTCGGTTTTAAATCAAATGCTGGATAATTACATAATTTTGGACTTTAAATTTGATTTATGGAACTGTTCGAATACAAAATATGATGTAATAAAATTGAAGAAACAGAAGAAACGATAGAATATGAATGGTTGAAAAGACTATTTGAAAATGGATAGAAAATAAAATAAAATAAAATTAGTAGAGGGAATCACATAACAGACAACTTAGATTCTGAAAGTAGGAGTAACAATCAGAGTAAAAAATGAAGGGCAAAAAATAGATGAAATAAGTAAAAAACTGAAAAACGGAATACAAATAAAATAAACCAAGACAAAACTTGGAATGTCCAAAAATAACCAATCATGTATGTGATTATCCAATATTCAACAGCTTTAATAATAGTGTACGAAACCGAGATGCAAATTAATATACCGTTTACAGAAAAGTTAAAGTCTTTAACGCGTTTTCACGGACAGCATTCACTTGTAATTTTTTATATTTTTACCTTCTTCTCTTCGACCACCTCACCCGGTCTTAGTTTTCTATGCTCCTGTGAATTACGGTTTTCACGGTCTTTATTATACACAGAACTCTCAAGTTTTTCACCTATTTTGTGTTTAAATGCTAATACTAACAAGCAGGGAATGAAAGGAACTAAGCTCATCTATATTCATGACAATATTTTCTAACTAACCTTTGACTCTACTAAAGCTTCGATCTCACTAAGCTACAATAGTACATCTTTGTGTAGATAAGTGTCGGATTTTTACGAGGTCTGCAAAGGGTTATGTTAAGGGTTCGGCTTGAGAGAATAGGGTATCTAAAACTACAATACAAAGGATATGTTTCTAAATATTTTTGTGATAGTACAATATGTTGTAAACCTTTGATGTTCTGAAGTTTGTTTTGTATTATGTATTAAATAAAAAAAATAGTCGCCAGAACCATCAAATGTCCACACGTAAAAACAAATATCTAAAATCTAAAATTGAGCGGCACCATAGATCTAAAATCAATTTACCTCAGATTGGAGTTTCATGTCCATTTTAGATTTTTCCATATCTACTACAAAACTATTATTCAAGTTCTTGACGATCGTCAAAATTATACATACCTCGTCACTGATGATGAGCGAAGGACGTCTTCCTAGTTCCTCCGGTGGAGGAATAAGGGATCCACGTCTGCCTACAGGGGCACCAGGGCCAAGAGATGGCTTCCGCATTTCTGGTTTTGGAGACTTCTCTCGGATGACCTCAATCTTTGGTGCCATAAGCGTTTCTTCTGGTGCTTTGATTTCAGGCACTTTTGGCACAGGCTAAATAAAAAAATCGAAATGTTACTAACGTAGTTTCCTTGACAAGTGTGTACATTAAACATTTTTGTCCATTGGGACAATATTCTTTTTAACAATACGATTATACAGGTATAGAATATTACTACAAGATTCATGAATCAGAATTAAAGCCAATGTCTACGTTTGATATGATTCTTGGTTTTGCAAGTGTTATGTTGCATTAATTTGTAACCTTTTATTCACCTTGTCTTTCTCAGGCTTTTCCCTCGTACTCGGTGTGAAATCCATTTTCTCATATTTTTCTAGTTCTGGTCTCTCATAGTCTGCAATCTCAGGCAGATCCTCTGTCTTCTTTCTGACTGTCGATATCTTTGCTTTTTTGGCTTCTTCTTTAACTTCCTCTTGCTTAATTTCCACTTTCTGTAAGAGTAACTTTTGTTTAATATTTTCAAATACATGTTTATTGTGTCTGTCTTTTGTAAATCATCCTTCGACTTTTTAATGCCTTATTTTAGTTAAATATAGTATAAAAAATCAAATCAAATCTGCAGAAACCTCGCATTTCACATACATATGGTCCGGGCATATTCTTTAATTCCAACTATTTTAAACCTGGCGTTTCTAAGGACGTCTTCAATTTTACTACCCCATATTTTAGAAATCGCTTAGGAATGTGTGCTGCCAACATTCTATCATCCATCCTTCTGCATTTTATCACTGCATCCGTTTTACACGAGATCACCCTATTTCTCATTCATATTTTTTTATTTTAATTGACACTTGGTGATAATTCCGGAATATATCACATATAATGCTCTTTTGGACTTACCATGTTTCTCTAACCAAACCTTCTTTGTACTCACCACCAATCCTACATTTACAATAGAAACAAATAGAAGAAACATAGATCATATTGATAGTAACATAGACAAATTAGAAGATGTGTTAATAAGCATAAGCAGAAGAACATGTATTTAAGTGATAACATACAAATTAATATATATATATAAGAATAAAAAACGATAGAAATTGTATGTACTATTTGTGTTAAGATGTTCTATACATATGTGTGCATTTGGATGCTACGGTGCTTATATAAGTTTTTTATAGTGCAGTAGTATATTGCCATTTATTTAACTATTTTGTTTAAGGTATGTGGGATAATTGATTCTTACTTCTGTCATCCGGTAAGATATAATAATTATTCTGGTAAATTAATTTGCAATATTTGCCGTTGACAGAATAAAAATCGTAAGTAAAGGATGTATGGAGTTTGGTGCTACTTAGTGCCATATGGTGCTTCAAATTCGTGAGCCACGCGACTATTGTGCAGTGCTTAGTGCTACAATTTCAATGCGTACTGTAAGTGCTTCAAAATTTTGAGTGCTACTGAAATTTCAAATGCTACATTAAGTGCTACTATATTTTGTGCTACATTTTAGCATTCTTTTAGTGCCAATTTCTATACCTCGTCAGATGAGGGTGAAGCTGGTTTATCGTCACCATCTCTCGTCTCAAATGCCTACAGAATAAATTTCGTTAATGGCGACCGTACGAAAAATAAACACGTTATTTCCAAGCATTATTCTGATGAAAAATTGTAACAGATAAAACATTGACAAGACAATTTTGACAATCACGTGCTGTGAAATTTCAGAAAAATAATTTTCTTCACTGACTACTTATATACGTATTATATATGCTCACTGTTATATACTATGTTTCAGAGCTCAAAGGCTTATCATATCTGCTGCAATTTTTCTGTAAGCAACTTGTTTATCTGTGTGTTCGTAAAAAATATTGCGCCGTGCATGTTTCGTGACGTGAGAGTTATATACATTTGTAAGTATATGATTGATTTTTAATTTTGAAACCAATTAAAATCCTGTTAATGTAATTTCCATTCCAATAACCTTCTTTTATTGTTTAGATATTACAATGTTTGCAAAACTAATTTAAACTTTTTTATTGTTTTTATTCTGATTATCATAGATGCAAGATTTTATTAATTCACTGCAGTGTCTACCTGAGGCGAACCCGGTCGTCTCCAAGGAGAAACAATTTCAGGTTTTTCAAGTAACTTCGGTGTGTATTGGTCCTCTAACTCTGGTGTTTGTTCAGCCTGATTTTATTAGAAAGTTACCATTAGTAAAGTAAGATGGTCATCTACGCAAGATACCTCATTTATTAGAATCTTAAATACCTGTGGAATCTCAGGTATTACATTCCAGGAGAATGGTACTTCATTTGGTTTGCCTTGTTCTGATTCTGGGGTTTCAATTTTTGGTACCTAATCACAACAACATTTAAACCAATATGTACCAAAGTGAAAAAGTAAGTGTATATTTGAAAAGTTTGTATATTTTGTTAAATATTCGTTTGTGTATTCGTTGAAGTATTTTCTAAATCACAAATTAGGGTTACTACCTCAAAATCAAAGTCTGTGCTTCCTTTTCTCTTCCACGCACAGAAAGGAGACATTTTGGGCTTCTCTGGTTCCTCATTTGTTTCTGGCTCCTATTAAAATAGTTTTTCATTATTACCAATAGCTTCGTGTATGTTTGAATCTTGTGTTTTGTGTCCGTATTTATTTTTAATAATATTCATAGTGTGTACCTGTATTGTTGGTGCTTGTTCTTGTAATCGTTTTTTTAGTGGCACGAAAGGTGGTGGTAAGTCGTCATCCTATTACAACAATAGTTTATTTAGAAGTCAGTGGTATATAAGTTTAGTAATTTGTATGAAATATTCCAATTAATTGATCGTTACCTCAAAGCTAACACTTCGTCTGGCCCACGGATTGAAGGGCGATTGTACTGGTGTATCCAATGTAATAGGTTTAAGAACTTCTTCCCTGTCCTATTAAGTAAAATTTGTTTCATTATATTAAACATTCACAATCGAAATTGACCATATATTTGCAGTAACAAGTACCTTAAATACATCTTCAATATCGTCTGTGTCCATTTTTTCGTCCTCTGCTTTGGTAACCTATGAAGTATACTTTCAATAGTAAAATTTCAAAAATATCTAAATTGTGTCAGTTACCTTTGTGTATTAGTAAAGTGTGCATGTAGAAAACGTGAGTGTATGTTATGAATGTCTTCAAATAAGAATGAAAAGTCGTAGGTAAATGTGAATTGTGTAGATCTACCTCGATTTCGGTTGGTTTTTCAACACGGTCAAGTGATTTTGTGGGACGATCCAGAGGTTCTTTCCTTTTATCATCTTTGTCTTTAGTTGTTAGGTTTTCGCGAATGTCTTCAATACGGTTTATATCCTGTTTGAAAACCATGTAAAGGTGTTGAAGTGTCACGATATAAACATATTAGAAAAAATGTATCTATTGTATAAAATGTCTTCGAAAATGTACATACAAAAATTAATTGGAAAGTTTACCTCATTTTCATTTATTTTTTGTTTAGTATGTGTGGTATCCTTATGTTCATCTCTAACATTTCGTTTCGTTTTAGTTTTCTCAGTAATTTCCGTTTCAATCACCTCTGTTTCCTGTTTAACGTTACATATTGAATTTAATTAATCGTAAATTGAATTATGTTTTGTTTAAAAACCGTGTAAATTAAAAAGTACCTCAATTTTACTTTGCCGTCTTTGACCTGTAGGTTTTAGTCTTGTCTTATTATCAGGTTCTATCTTGATAGTAGGTTCCTAATAAACAATGACTTATATAAGATCTGTTTCTTTTGTCAACCGAGTATTGAAAGCTAGAGTATTTATGTTTATAAATGATATATGAGTGTGTGTGTGTACCTGTGTGTCTTTTTTCGTAGGTCGCCGTGTTTTATCTGTAGTTTTATCAATAATTTCAGTAGTTACCTTCTCTTCAATATTCTTTTCCTAATCACAAAATACAAAATTATCATTAACAATGCAAGTGCATTCTACTGTAACTACAAGGTCATTGTAGTAATCTATAATCAATTAAGTGCTCACCGTATCGTGATGTAGATATAAAATTTAAAAAAAAATGTGTATATAATATAAAAACAGTTATTCACAAGTAGTTATTTACTGAACACACTATTTCAAACAACTGTCGAAATGTTGGTTGAAACTGAAATTTGTATTGAAAAGAAAAAGTTTTATTTACAAGAGAAAGATAGATTGAGATTGACACAGATTGTCTTCTTAAAACTGTTTTCGGTGAAATTGATATCCCCATGCGAGTCGAAAACAGTTTAGGGCTTACCTTGAGTTTGACTTGTTCCATTTGGGCGGTCTCTGGTTCTTTAATGCCGGGCTAAAACGTTATTGGGGATTATGAATAAAGCGTCATAGGGTTTGCAAAACTATGCAGTATATAAAGGGTCATTCTAGAGACAATGCTCATAATATAGTACATTTTTGCCTTGCTTTGTGCTCATATAATATACAACGTATATTTTTCATAGAAGCTATTGTTAGATTATAGTAAGTACTATTAAGTAATCTGTGTTATAGTGTAAATAATTTTTTTGTATTACGAACATTGTCGTGTCACATCAAATTATAGGTGTATCAACAAACAGCTGTAATTTTACATAGGGAACATATTACAGCGATATTCAGCCAAAGGATTTATTAGATTCTAAGGTGCAATATGGATAGGTTTTTGGTTCATAAAACGCGTGTACTAAGTTTATTTTTCACATAAATACTAAATCTTTTATTTTCAATTAAATTTGTAATTATTTAAAGATACTAAGGACTTAGTGTGATAAAGCATTTGAGATCAACTTAGTCCGCTTCTTGGAACTGTCAATTCAATTTATTCTACTAATTGTATCACGTCAAATTAATTTGTAAGTAAATAAAAATCTTACCTTTAGTGTAGATTTCTTAAGCGTAGTAACTTGTTGTTGTTCCGCTACAGACGATACTGCAGATTTTTTGCTTTCAGCAGTTTCTTTCGTTAGCTATAAGTCGAAAATTTAGGTCATCAGATTATCATGGATAAAATCAAAGTCATATATATTCCTAGACACGCATCAAAATAGTCAATTGTACTTATAGATATTATGGGTGAAAAATTTATAGTAATAGAATTTTTGTCAGTTAAGAAACAAGTTAATAACTTGGTAATGTAGTTATGTTTCTTTGTAAGAACTACTGTATTGTAAATATATAAAAATGTATAATTATATACCTTAACGCCTTTGGTGTCAGCAATTGAGCTCTTACGACTTTCAACCTTCACTTCTTCCTTGGACTGCGTAAAAGAAGAAAATTATTATGTTAACTCCATTAATACTTTGTATTGGAGAGCAAGAAGCGGTTTACACTAAATTTTTGCAGCTATACACGCTACTATGTAGCAAAACAAATAGCTAACAATACACATAAATTACTTCATGCTCATTGTGCTTAGTTGATTTTGATTACCCACACTATATAGGCTAAAAAGATTCGAAATGCGAATGCCAACGAAGTCAAAGCAATTCCGAAGCACAAAAGTTGAAAACTGTAGGTTTATACCTCTGTCTGGATAGAAGTTCTGCGGCTTTCAGTCTAGGGGGCAAATAAAACAAAATCTTGTAACACAATGATAATACATTCCATGTTCATAATATTACGTGTAGGGCACAGGTGAAAGGAAGAAAGAAAATGTGCAAGAAAAAATGGTGGCATATTAAAAGAAGTAAACCTGGATATCACTAAACGAACTAATGGAATATAATACAGGGAATAAACATTATATCCATAAAGTTCAGCAAACACTAGGTAAAAATAAAGGGTGACAACCTGTTTGTTATATACAAAGTTGTTTCTTTGATGGCTACATGATTTTTTCATAAAATATGTGCCAAGTTCATTCAAAATATCTTTGCTACCATCTATCAAACTTCTAGCTCAATTGCAAACAAATCTAACATCACAAAATTTTAGATTTCTGATCAGTTATGACTTACACTACTGTAAGAAATGAAACTATTTTTCTGAATTTAAATCTCGTATATTTATCTTTTAACCGACTTCAAAAAAAGGAGGAGGTTCTCAATTCGTCTGTATGTTTTTTTGTATGTATGTTACGCGATAACTCTGCCGTTTGTGAACCAATTTTGATGATTCTTTTTTTGTTGGAAAGGTATAGGAAAGGTACCTCACATGTGGTTCCATTTAAATTTCAAGAAAATATTCCACCTCTAAGGGTGGCAAACTAGGGGATGAATGACATTTGAGGTCGGTTTTTTAACCCGAGGTTAGGTTATTCAAATAAACCGACGATTCGGACCCTTTACAGGTCCCATGGTCACCCGGAAAAATAGTTTCATTTTCTATGTGTAACAATTGCGAAAACCTAAGAACTCGATATACGCTACTGTACTTCATTATCTATAGATTTTAATCGGTTGGCGAAGGTAATAAAATGTGTTTTATATACTAGGATATTGTTGTCATGTGCATGTGGCATGCTAAATTCATAAATATTTCGATAAATTCTACCTTCAGCACTAGCCGTTGTTGCGATACCATGGTCGTTTTCTGCATTTAAAAAGGTTTTTATGTCTATATTTAAGTGGTTTGTAGTTGTGACACAATTGTAACTCGTACAAAAATTTTACCGGCTCGCATATTAAACTTATTCTACCATCGATTTATTTTCAGTTACATGGTCCAGTATTCCAGTGTTCGACTTGTTGTAATTCCAATTATTAATTTTGGACAATGTAATCATTAATACAATTTATTTAAGTTTATTGAAGTATGAATACATACCTTCTCTTCCTTTTCCTTCTTCTCCCTGACTGTGGGAGTTGGTGTGATTTTCTCGTATTTCTCGAGTACTGGTCTTTCGTAGTCATCCACGAAGTCCAGCTCCATCTAAAAAATCAAATGCATTACTACTTGGAAAAAAACTTGTATTGATGTTTATATTTCTCTTTGTAGTTCCATTTTTAATTCAATAATTTCGGAGCTACATCTCAACCGAATTATGTAATTTGATAATATTTGTTTTGTGTACAAAAATGTTACGAATTTAAAATTCAACATTAGCAAATATGGAACTACATCGAAATGATGATTACCTTTAATGTAGACATAAAAATAATAAAATAGCACTTGCCGAAATAGAAGCTGCAAAAGAAAACATAAAACAGAAAGCGACATGCGACTTGCAACGACTCTTTCGAATGACAAATAAAGTTCTATATATCAGAAACCTGGACTACGCAATAATTGGAAAAGGGTGTATTAAGGTTTGTGCCTTATATAAATGGGTTGTGCTCGACAAATAAGACCTCCAAAAGGTATGTGCGACATTACAGTGTACAGTGCAGAAGGACAAGACGACATATTTCAAAAATTAAGTGATTACCCCATCTTTTGTCTCTTTAGTCTTAATGTCTGCCTTTGTATCTGTATCTGTAGTCTTCTTAGTTGTTTTCTTGAGTTGTGGTTTTTCAAATTTACCATCTTGTACTGTCAATGGTTCCTAAAGAAGCAATCAAGGCTTTAAATTTCTATTAAGCTTACATTTTTAAGGTGCAGGTGGCTACATGTTAGTGTTGTGCAGTGCTTTGTAAAAAAAAGAAAACTGTGATATTAAAAAAATAACACGTATGTCTAGGTCTAGAAAGATGGGGATTAGTGAACTATCTTTTAACTATCTCAGCTTTTGTTTGTTTTTTGTGTACCTCATCTTCGTCTCCTTTCTTGACAACGGCAGGTTTTTTAACCTTGAGCTGTGCTGCTTCTGATCCTTCCTATAGGATGCCAATTTTTTATAATTTTAATGCATGGCTATCTTCAGTTTTAAGTTTCAATTTCAATAAACATTTCAATATTTTAATTTTTTAAAGCTCTTTTTTTTAAATAAAGTGCTTAATTGAAACTTTATGCAAAAAATGTTTCAAAAATCTAAAGGTATAGCTGAGATTATTAAAAAATGGTTAGACCAGTACCGTAGGTTTTTTCTTAGCCGGTGTCTTTTGTGTAAGAGACGCTTCTTCAGGAGCGGTTGTGCTGGTTTTAGATCGAGGCTTGGTGAGGCTGACTGATTCTTCCGTGTCCTCACCCTGACCCCATATTAGGACAAAAGAAATTAGAATACGTGCTGTACAGAGGACAAGACAAAAGGGCTATTACTATTTAAATTTCACTTCGATAATACGATATTCTTTATCAAAGTAATAAAATTCATATATTAATATAATGGAGAATAATTTACTGTTAAGTCCATAAAGAACTAGTTGGTCTAAATGAAAAACCCATTAAATTCGAAGCAGGAACACGTATCATGTAATATTTATATAAAATGTGAGTAGCAAGAGCCCTTTTCTTAAAACATAGAAAGATAAAAAGTGTGAAGAAAATCAAGACGTAGTGTGATCCTTTGAAAGAAAAAGGTGTAGACAGATAGAAAAGACATTCATTTTCATAGTGTATAACATTTACTATACATAATTAATCACAAATAGGTAGAGAAAAGTGAACAAGTGCCGTGTGTTTTAAAAATGTGTATTGGTGAACAAATTGAAAACAAAAACTTGTGTATGATAAAAAATGTGTATTTAGCACTAAAGTGCGTTGTTGAAACTGGTGTACCTAAGATTGTTACCACAAATTTTACCTTCGAAATAGGTAATAACCTTAACAAGAACTAACACTCTTCTTAGTTTAGAAGAGGATTCCCTTCTTACGTTAGAAGGTGTTGGCACATTACTGTCAAATGTCGGTTCATCTGTCTGTGGATCATTGTTACGTATTTTATATTTTTATACTTAAAACTACCTTCATCATGAATGTGTACTTTTGAAAAGTTCTTTTTCTAAAGTTTTTATAAACATTACCTTCTCTTTGCCCTTTGCTGAAGGTCTCTTAAGAGTTTGCTCCTCAACAATTTCTGGTTTCTTTACGCTGAGTTTTGCTTCAGCCTCATCCGCCTAAACATAATGCATTCTTTTAAGTACGTTTGTAGCGGTGACTTAAAGCGACTAAATATGTATTACAAGCAATATCCGAATAATATGCAAGTAATCCGAATTGTAATTATATATGTGTAGTACGAACCGTTGGTTTAATTTCAGCGGGTGTTTTATGTGTAAGCGAAACCTCTTCAGGTTCCTGTCCAGGTTTAGCTGGAGCTTTAGGTTTCGACAGACTAACGTTTTCATCGACGTCCATTGGCTAAGAAATAATCATTACATTTTAGTTTTCTTATATCAATCATATTTACCATGATTTGTACATTATTTTAGGTTTACCTCGGGTTTGTCTTTCCCTTTAAGAGATCGTCGCTTTGCAGTAGCCGTAGCTGAAGGCACTTCTTCGTCTGGCTGTTCGGTAGGTTTATCATCCTAATAAATATGCATAATTTTTAAGTGATATGCCGTTCTGGTTCTCAAATAAAGCAATATTTTGTGTATTTGCAAAGCTTTAAGCTGTGTACCTTCTTCTTTTTCTCTGTAGGTGTTGGTGAGATTTTCTCGTATTTCTCGAGGACAGGCCTCTCGTAATCGTCGATGAATTCTTCTTCCTCGACCTTTAAAATTGTTTATTTGTCAGACTGTTAGAATGGTGTAATTGTAAAAGAAATTTTAGTAATGTGTGGGAATAAAAGAGGAAAATATAATACAATAATTAAAAAAAACATAGTTGATAAAGAAAAATGTCTACTGATGTGCAGTGTCGATTAATATAGAATTTTTTATAAGATTAAAATCGAGATTTGCTTGTTTTCTCATAAATATAGCGGAGTTACTTAATCTGTACTTGCCTTGAAGACCTGACAACAAAGAATACTGAAAATTTTGCATACAGTAATTAACATATAGAAGCATTTCTACAGCGTTTAGCCGTGCAATTATAGCTATATAAAGTACTTACTCTTGGTTTAATATAGAAACCAGAGCTGAAATCCATAATTTTTAAAAGAATAAATGCTGCGAAAGATAATTTTTTGCAAGTGTGTTATGGCCTAGAAAGAGTGTATTGTGAAGCTGATAATTATGTCAGTTGTGCTGTTATCGTCAAGTAAATCCAATTTAATTTTGTGCTACTCAAACTGTTATAGAGTTATATGTAGTGTACAGTGTACAGATATTTGAAAATACCTCTTTTGGTTTAAGAGAAGGACGTTTTTTAGCATCTGGTTCATCCTTAGCCTTTGGTTTTGCTTTTGGTTTGTCTTCGGGCTTTTGCTCTTCCTCCTATCCAACATTGTCATGTATTAATTTATTAATCTTACGGTTTTCATTTTAATAAAATACTTATTAAAATATTAATGTACCTTATCCTTAGTAACTGGACGCTTACGAAGAGTAGGCATTTCTGGTTCTGGTTCTTTTTCTTTAGGTTTAATTTTGCCTTTCATCATATCAACGTCATCCTATTCAGAAAACTGTTTTAGTCTCATTTTCACAAAAAGAAACTATTGTAATGTAATTAGTACTAAAATTCGTGGTTTGTTTTGTTAAATTTTACCTGTGTATCACTAGGACGACGTTTGTCCTTAGGTGTAGCAGTGACCTTTTCATACTTTTCAAGTTCAGGTCTCTCATAGTCATCGACAAATTCAGGAGCGGCCTACAAATATTTTATTTTGTTTACTTGCCTCGTAATTTTTTTAATCTACAGAAATTTTATAGTTTTTGAGTGATTCAAATCTAGATACATTTTTTAAATACGTTATAAGGTCACTTTAACAATAAATTTATAATCATATTATCAGATATATACCAAAGAAAATGTAAACATCTTCTTTTAAAGTGTTCAATCAATATCAGTTTAATTTACGTAATTTTTTTTGTAATGAATTGTTATATACCTCAACACCGTTTTGTTTTTTGGTCCTATCACTGGGTGTAGGTGTCATTTTGTCGTATTTCTCCAAATCAGGTCTTTCATAGTCGTCGACAAATGGCTTATCTTCTTCCAGCTTTAAAAATACAATATATCGTAAAGTATAGCAACGTTTAAATAAGTATCCGAATATTTTATAATGTATATTTGTTATTTTTACCTTCTTCATTGAAGTCTTGGCTTTAGAAGCCTTTGGTTCCTCAACCTTTTCTTCGGTAGGTTTGATCGGAGTCTTAGAAAGTTTAACTTTAGAAATCTCATCAACAGGCTCCTCTGGTTTGGGTAGACCCTTTTTAATGCTTGGACGCTTTGGTTTTTCTTCTTCAACCTAAGTTTTTAAGACATTGTTAAAAATCGGAATTTTTGCAATTAAATTTGCTTTGATAAAGAACTTATCGAACGAAATAATTCGATTCATTTGGCAATTTACCTGTTGAGGTTCAGCCTTAGGCTTTTTCTCGGCTGGAGCTGCAATTGATGGCTCCTCTTCACTTTCATCAAGTTCGCTTTTAACGCTTTCTGATACCGATGGGCGTTTACTCTAAATTTTGTAACAATTCAACGTATATATTTTTATTGTTTAAAGAGGTATTTTATATGTTTTGTGAAGTGTGATGTGCAGTTTTACCTTAGGTGTGTCATCCACTTTAGCTTTTTTATCGAGTGGCGTTGGTGTAATTTTTTCGTACTTCTCCAGAACTGGGCGCTCATAATCGTCGACGAACTCCATTTCCTCCTATGTTCAAATACAGTTTAGTACGTCCATTGTTAACACAACACACAACATAACAGTTATTACTTACATCAATTAAGTATTAATGACAACAGTAGTATTGTTTTTTTAACTACTGCATTTAAATGTCTAAGATCTAAATGATCGTCCATAGAAAATGAATTCATTTTACAGAACTTAGTAGTTTCCAATAAAATGTTTCTACATAATTTTACAATAAGCGATGTACATAATGCGCTAATTAACAAAATCGTTCCAGACTTACCTCGTCTTTTTTATTAACAGTCTGCTTCTTGACAACCTTTTTCTTTTCTGTGACTTTCTTTGTCTCTTTCTTTTCTTCAACAGGCTCTTCTGGTTTTTTGACGGATTTGAGTTTTGGAATGCCTTCAATTTTTGCTTCATCTTTTTCTTCCTTTTTCTTTTCCAATTTTTCGAGAAGAACTTTCTTTTCTTCTTCTGTCTTCGCTGTTTTCTTTTCCATAACCTTTTTAACTTCTTCAGCTTCAGCTTCAGCTTTTTTCACTTCTTCGATCTTTTTGTCTACTTTCTTGGCTTCAACTTTGGTATCGGTCTTCTTGGCTTCAATACTAACCTCTTCTTTCTTTTCCTCGACCTTCACCTCCTCTTTCTTAGATATTTTTTTGGCTGCCATTTTCTTTTCTTCCGTCTGTTTTATAATCAAAAGACAAAATAAATGTCTGAATTAAAATACATTAAGAAAAGTGTGGCTTCATAATTTTTTTTTTCCAGTACAAATTTAGCCCCTTGCAGAATGTACACAACGAGGTTACTGATGTTATGAATGTTTTATTTGAATTTAATGCAAGTACCAACCTTTTTCTTTTCATCGACGTGGTTTTCTTCTATAACAGATTTCTCCTCCACTATCGACATCTCCTCCTCTGACTCTTCGATGACTGTCTTCTCTTCCTCCTCATCTTCTTCTTTTTCTTCTTTCTTTTTCTGAAATTTGATCGATGTGACACACCTTATACTATAGATTTTAAAAGTACTTTAATACAAAACTTGACGTTGTGAAACGCTTTCAATCAAAGGTACTTTTAAATTTAAATAGACAGTTGTCCTTGATGCTTGTGTTAATCGAATATATGTTCTTATTAAATTATAACCAAGCAAAATTATGAAGCAAGCATACCTTATCCTCTACAAGAGTCAAATCAGCGCTCGATTCATCTTCACCAAACTCGTTCTTGATCACAACCCTGTAGTTGGCGATGTACTTTGAAGACACTTTCCTAATGATCAGGCGAGCATTGGTGCCATCAAAGGAGGTGTTCACCTCGGAAGATTCTCGGAGGACGGTAGTATTCTTATACCAGGTGCATCGGCACGATTGGTCCGAAGTTTTGAGGACGGCTACAAATTCTGCTTCTTCGCCTTCTTTTTTGGCCTGATATTGGTAAGTTGAATAAACATATTAGAACCTTCGTTAAAACCCTTCAGCCTAGTTCTTTTAGTTTGTTTTATATTTAACAGCATGTAAATGAGACAAAAGATTTGCGACACTTTGTAAACAGGATGACGAATGTAGTCGTGTTACAATCTAGTACAAAGGATTGTTATTTACGCACCAAGCTTCTGAAGTGTTTGATAATTTGCGGTTTATCACCCTTCTCTTCTGGGATGTCCGTGATCTCCACTTGTTGCGACGTCGCCTCACCCTTCTCGTTCTTGGCGACCAGCTTGTATGACCCCTTGTCTAGTTGTGATACGTTTGAAATTTCCAATTTGACTGTGAATTCGCCCTGAAATAATGATGTTTTAGTATGTGTTTGAACAGGAAATCTTAGGATTTCCTATGTATTTGTTAACTAACATTTGTCATCGGTTCTGCCTAGAGCACGCTACATTTGTAGAGATACTCTTTATCAGGAACCCATAGCGATTTTTATTGATTACATTCATTCATAGACGTATGATGTATAACTTATACATTAAAAGTTGTAGCTATTGCTAAAAGTTTAGTTGTATGTAGCTATTGTTAAGTTGTATAATTTTATTTATTAATTATCACCAAAGCACCGATTTGTGTTGACAGACAGATTAGCATTACAATTTTTTTTATAACAGACCACTTACTTCTCTAAGAGGCTCGATGAGTACTGTATGTCTCGAATCCTCTTTGACAGCATTAGCTTCTTTGAACCAAGTGCACGAAGGTGCGAATTTACTTAATACTTTACATTCAACAATTACAGTCTTCTTCTTTACTATTTTAATGATCTTTGGTTTCTCTTTGATAACTGGAATGACTGTAAACATAACAAAAAACGTTAGAAAACGTCCTTACTCTCAATCTTCTTCATTATTTGAAAAAAAAATCGGTTGAATTGGAAACCTACTTTCAATATTGAGCGTAAGATTTGCATTGAGCTCCCCAAGTTCATTCTTAATGTTGCATTTATACAATCCGGAGTCTTCAATACCAGGATCGATGAGTTCCAAGACAATGGTGTAAATGTCTTCTTTGACTTCAACCCTGGTCTTAATTTTCGACGAGTCCTTGATTTCTTTACCCTCGTGGTACCAAATAATTGTTGGTTTTGGGCTAGCCTTTACTTTGCATCCCATAATTACTAGTTTGCCATTATCCTTGGACTGAATCGTGGGCTTCTCAACGAATGTGGGACCGTCGCCTTCTGGTTCCGGTTCAGCTTCAATGTTTAGGTTTAAATTAGCATTACTTTCACCATATTCGTTTTTGACGTGACAGCGGTAAGCGCCACCATCCGCTGACGTCGGGTTGGTCAAAAGCAATATTAATTCGTAAATGTCTTCGCCCATTTCGTTTGATTTTATTTCACATTTACTGCTAGCCTTAATGACGGTCGTGCCTCTGTACCACGTTACTTCAGCCGCCGGCTTAGCTTTGCATACACATCGCATTGTAATGAGTGTGCCATCCTCGTTGGGAATGATTCGAGGTTTCTCAACGAATGAAGGTGCGAAACCATTCTCGTCATCCCCACCTAACAACAACAAACAATAATCGTCATCTCCTGCAATTGGAGCGAATATTCATGCAGCCTAAAGCCCAAAAGCAAGCATGCTATTGCTACTGTATGCGTACGTAATCGATATTTATAAAATAAGGTCCTGTTTTACCTTGGAAATTGAGAGCAATATTTGCATTGCTCTCACCGAACAAGTTGAAGGCGTTACACCTATAATTTCCACCATCTTCCCTAGTAGGATCCAAAATTTCTAGTGTCAAGTTAAAAGTGTCTTTTCCGATTGCTTTTCTTGACATCTTCATTTTAGCTCCGTCCTTTATTTCTTTCTCGCCATGGAACCATGTGATATCTGGTAGTGGATATGCTTCTAGTACACATTCCATAATAAGGACATCCCCTTCCTGCCTAATAGTAGGTTTTTTAGGGAATCTTGGTGCTTTACCATCGGGAATTCTGTTTAAAAGATAAAAGCCTTAGTAATTGGACTCTTAAATTGAAGTAGGCTTCAAACTAAGAGCATACTTTAGTATTTTAGAATATTAAAAATGTCTTACTTCGGTTTATCCCCAGATTCAAAATTCAAATTAATCTTAGCCACGCCTTCACCATGTTTGTTTTTCGCCACAGCTCTATATTCTCCTTTGTCCGAATTCTCTACTCCTATGATTTCCAGTCGTGCCATGTGATATAATGATTGATCCTCATCTAATGTTATTTGATATCTACTACTTTCTTTTATTAATTTTTTTCCATGGTACCTGCATTAGGTAATGACATTAGTACTGAATAATATTTGGTGCAGAACTTTATTTGTTTGTAACAAGGTTTTGTTTCTTACCATGTGATGGTTGGTTTCGGTTTGCCAACACATCGACATTCGAATGTGATTTTGGTACCATCCTCCGATTGCCTGATGACAGGTCTCTCCGTAAATGTTGGTTTTATATAGTCCTCAGGCACGGGCGCTTCGTCGCCTGTTCCATCAATCCACGTGTTAGTATGTTTTATAATAACTTTAAGAAGATTTGCAGCTGCATTTATATTGACGTCTTATTTAAGATGTTTTCTTTCAGTATCGTGTACAGATTAAACATATCAGCCAGTTTCGGTGAAGTTAATCGAGAGATGTATAGGAAAAATAGATATGATATTTGAATGGATACATAAATATAGTATACAATTTATATTACTCGTATCTCCTTTCAATCTACAATTCAAATCACAAACGGTACGCATGACAGTTGCTCTGTTATAAAATGTTAATCGTGCTTACGCTAAAGCAAAGTATGCAAAATTGTAACTACAAAATAATATGCAAGGGTGAATTAATGTTAATAGAAGCTTCATAGCAAATGTAAAAATGAACAATGTTGATAAAAATTTACACACACACATATATATATATAGTGGCAATTATATAATGTGCAGTAAGAAATGTGTATGTGTTTACTTTGTTAGTGGTAGTGCATGTAGTTTTTTCATGATGTTTAGTGTCTATTTATAGCCAAATACAGTCCAGACAATAAGAAAACATCTTAAATTTTAGAAATCAATGTTAACGACGACGATATTATAAATATCTTAAGTGTAAATATGTAGAGTAATTGACAATTGAAATAAATTAGTTGATGATTTTAAAGCTGAGCCGCCAAATCTACGTTTACAAATTAAAGGAGAAATTATAACTATAATCACAGATAATGGATTAGAATCACACACTAAACTAGGCAAGGTTACAGTTTGAAGCATATTCCTAAAAGAAATTAAATATTTCTTAAAAGTATTGCGGTGTTATTATTGTAACTATTAGGTAGCCCTTTCATTTTTGCTATTTTCAAAGAAAAAAATCAAATGTATAACAAAACATGCTAAATCCATCTCATTATTGAAGCCAATTTGACATGAAAATTAAAAATATTCAAGCGAGATTTTTTTTAAATTCACCTGTGAATTTTAAAGAGGTATTTTACTCAATAATTAAGTTTACAGAGAAAGTAACCCATTTGGCTTAGATTTTAGAGAATTAAGGGAAAAAAAACAAAAATAAAAGAAATAATCATTCTTCTCCCCAATCTAATCACAATTTGAAAAAATGTCTAAAATCCAAAAATATCAGGAACCGTGGTCTCCTACCGTTAACGTACGTTGAGTACTGGTAATTATACAACAATCTTCAGGATTACCCATAGTCAATGTTTATAAATGACGATGATGCAAATGGATCTAAGGAAGTACTCACTGTCGAAGTTTAAGCTGATTGTGGCGTTACTTTCGCCAAGTTCGTTCTTGGCTGTCACCCGGTACTTGCCAGCGTCTTCCACGGTCACGTTGCTAATTTCCAGGGAGGCATAGTAGGACTTTCCATCCTTGTTTACTGTTAGCTGAAAAGTCACAAAATGTTTAAGTTAGATGAAGAAAGCGAGAAACAGCCAACAACAATTACTTAATTTACATATTCGTTGTGTTTTGCTTTTTAAAGTCAAAGACGGGTCCTATTGGTGGAAAGTGGTCACCACACCACATAATTCAAGAAAATTAATTCCGCCTAGGAAATATCAATAAGATATTAAAATCTGTAGCTGCGCAGGCCTTCCTGTATCCTTAAACTTTAAAAGCTATGCAGAATAAATTGTATGGAGTTGGTCCTTACCAAGGCCAGTTTTGGTACACTGTAAAACACACTAAACGATTTTAGCTACGTACTCTGAGTAGACTAACAAAACAGTTGTTTTGGAGCATAGATATGAAAACAGGAGTCTGCCATATAGTTAAGAAATAATCATATAAAGATTTTATTAAAGCTGATTTTTATTACAATAATTATCAGAATAAAAGCGTTTGAGTAAACAAATGTTACAAACAAAACAATATTCTCGATGACAATGAAGAATTTGGTTAAACAAGTAGAGCTCCTTACCCAAGGGTAAAGGGTCCTGATAAAATTACAGGCACATAGGACTTGTTTACTTTATGTCTCAGGCTGACGGGCGTAGTGCCAGTGCTCATAAGATTTAAAACAACCCTGAAATTGGTTTGTAACACAAGTAGCACTACAATTGTTATAGGAAGTTGTGATACTTAACATCAGACGTACGACTTGCCCGTCCCGTCCTTTGAAAATTATAAAAAGATTACTGTAAATACGTAAGTATGTACCTAAAAATAAAGTATAGGTACATTTCTAAAAACAACTAATTGAAAAACGTTAAATGTCAAATAATAACACTCTATTAAAGGAGCATACTTAAAAATATAGTAGTGATACAATAATAGAACTAATTCAGGTCATAAGGTCGACGTGCGACTGTTATTGCCACCTGACCGAGGCAATCGCCAACACAATTGAGGTCAAGGCCATCTCCAAGACCTGCAAACCGTCAAAGCAATGTGCATAACAGAGTATCTACTAGAACGAAGCCGATCCAAGAGGCGAGTAATAGTTCTACTGAATTCTCCTTTCCTTCCATTTTAGTTTCGTTGCTTCTACTCATTACATATTTAAGATACTTTGTCATTTGGCACATAGATGTAGTCTTCCTACGTTTTAAGAGCCGGTTTACATGACAAACTTTCGAAATATAGCAGTTAACTAACACCTAAAGTATTTTTTGCTACTAAAAAATGTCAATTACGCTGATTTTACTTAACATTGAGACTGAAACTATATAAAAAAACGATTAAAGGGGGCTGTAGATCTCGTTTCGTTGATCTCAGATAATGTTCATAGTTTAATTTCGCTAAAAATGTCGATTACGTTACAAGGGCGGAACCTAATGCCGGCCATACACGCTACGGTATACCGGAGAGGTCTACGAGTGCAGGCATACCTACGCAGTAGGTCGCTTGCCGTAGCGTATGTGGGACTATCCGATGTGCCGGAGAGGTCTTCAGATAATTTCGATATGGCTACTACTACACAGCTACTGATTTAGTGGCATTAGGTTGTATTTCTTAAATTTTTTCTACAAGGATCTTATAAATTTACAAATCAATCAATCGTGTACGGCCAGGTTCGAAAGGGATAAAAGCAGCTTCTCTTTTGTCTCAGTCGTGGTATTCTTTATTTTTTAAATGCCAATGGATGAATTCGATGTATATCTCTAAATTCCTCAAGTATTTTCTTATTAGTTGGATCGGGTGTTGTCTTTTTTATTACGCACTGCAGTCCAATGCCAACGACTACTACCCTATACCGTAACGGAAATCAAAGGGCGCAACCTGCGCCGCCGACCGTAGTACACGCAAACATGCACAGGTTCACCGTGCGGTATCACTCAAAAGAATTGATCTTGATCTTACGCCGCCCGGTCGCCTGCACAGGTAGACCTCTCCGTTATACCGTAGCGTGTATGGCCGGCATAAGGTTACATACGAATACAATTCGTGTAGTCGTAAACTCGCGGTAGCAAAACGTTTATTATTGCGTTCGCGGCTGCTGTAAGAAAGCTACTCATAATATCTGTATTAGAAAGAATATGTTACGTATGTAGAGTCTTACTTTATGCCTCGGACTGGGTTTGACTTCGAGCGTGTTGTGGAACCATGTTACATTGGGCACGGGCTCGGCCTCGATGCGGCACTCAAAGATAAGCCGCTTGCCGTCGTCCTCCTGCCGGATGGCCGGCTTGCGAGCAAACGTCGGCGCTTTTCCGTCCACTTGTCTGAAATATATTTAAAAAATTTAGCTTGTGACGATGCGGACCTCCTTCATCGTTATCCCATCTTTTTAGCATTCTGGAATTTTGAACTTATTATCTCCTGTGTCAAGTCACGTATAGTGGCGAACTAGAGGATATTTCAATAAAACTTAGCAAATAGACGTAATTCCACGTTCTTTTGAGGTCGGTTTTTTTTGTACTCTGTACTGAGATTATTGAAATTTTTAATCGTTCTCGAATTCCATTTCCATCACTTTTCTTAAATTTGTTCTATTGGTTGTCATTACCCGCTCTTTCTTGAACTAGTGGTTCACTACGAATACCTAAGTTCCGTGGCAATTTTTATTATTTAAACTATTCGATTTTTATCGTGCAATATTATTTAATATTCGAGTATTGTATCGTGAAATATTATTTCATAATTACACGGTAATATACTTGAATATTTATATAATAAAAAATGCCACGAAAAATAGGTAGTGAACACTAGTCCGTGAATGACCGTACCATCAACATTTTTGTCATGAGACGACGTGCCTATAAATCACTTTCATTTTGTTAGACCCTATAGGCCCTAAAGGCCCTTTTGGGCCTTTTATTTTCCTCTTTTGACATTTCTTACAATAAATCTTGTGGCCTGAGCCTTCTGCATTTCATTTCGTTAAGGCTGGGGCCGTACTGGTACAGCGGCGGCGACGCCAAAAAATAGGTGCCGCATTGCAAAAGCCAGAATCCAGCGAAACGCCGTTACGTCGCTTAATGGGTGGCCACACAGGGCAGGTTAGGCGATCAGTGGCGGCTGCACTCGTATAGTTGAACGACAAAATCGAACTATTTTGTTTACGTCGTGCGATGGTTCCTTTGCAACTCTTCGCTCGAATTTGTCGCGCTCTTTCGCACGAAAGCTGGGAGGCAGTGCGGCCACTCAGGTACATCACCGCGTATTTTGTCGCAAATTGTGACAAATCGCCGTGTTGCACCGCTGCTGTCGTACGAAATTCAAGTATCGTCGCGAGTCGCTGAATAATTTTATTTAATGCGGACAACTTCATTACTTGTATAACATTTGAAATTTCTTTACGATATGAACAAATAAATTTCGCTTGTCGTTTCTGCAGTGCGGCCACCGACATATGTTTATATGAGTTTGTTTTCACGAAATCGCAGTCGCGTCGCAGTCGCCTTAGTAGTACGGTCGCGGCCTAAAGCTATAAGCTGAGTTAAGTCGTGGTTACCTACGCGTAGAAACATTGTACCTACAAATTCAAACGTTATTCTACACTTGTGTCTGAATTTGTACAATTATAAATATGACAATGAAAATAGATTAATATTACAGTACTTTGTAAAATATAGGCAATATAATGATTTGGTTGGACAATCTACAAGTCTTGTAACTACATAAATTGGTATTTATGGCCGTGTTAGAGCGTTATAGAGTACAAAAAATAAAACTTACTTCTGTTTGTCTTCGTCCGCGGCTGTAAAATAAAGAAGAATGAATAAGCAAAACTCACAGTTTAACCACAAATTCCAACTAAATGGCCTTCGGATTAAGTAAACATTTTGCAGCAAATCAAATGTCAGAATATAAACATGAAAATAGTTAGTCAGAGTGTAGAAACACGCTGAATATTCGTCGTGTTTGTACTTTTGAATAACATCTAACAAAGGCCGTTCGTCATTATGAGAGTATCAAGGAAATTGAGTTCTAGATCAAGGCTTTTGGTAACGTGAATGAATCTTCGCTTAAAAATATAGAATTATACAAAAGTTTTTGATTCCGATAATCATGAGTGAATTCGCTATTCAAGATGTATACGATCCCTTGTTTACTTGTATTCATCATAAATATGTTTTTTAAAGTAAATGAACGTGCTCTTGACCTAGCCCTAGCAAAGAATAGTGTCTACGATCAAACGAGCTTGACCAGAAGATGCCTATTCTGTCGCACCTCAAAGATGCTCGTGTTGTATGTGCTCGGAAACACAGTCACAGGCAGGGAATTCCATTCCTGGGCTATGAGCAAAATAAAAGGTAACAAAAAGCGCTTCGTACGCCTGAAGGGATTATTGGCCAAGTAAAAAACTAATAGAACTCAACGAAGTATATATCTGTAGCGTGTATTGTTACTTCATATATATAAATAAACAAGGGTAGGTAGTTATTTTATAGTAGCTTAACGTAAAGATACTGAAATAGAGACGGATTCTGTCCTATAAATCACTATACAAAGTAAATATTATCTCGCTGGAAGCTCATTCTTTTCAAAGCTAATATATCATATTGAAATTTCAGGTACTAAAACATTTCAACTCAATTTCAATATGATGACTCACTGGTGTTAAATTTGTCCTTTCGTTCGTCATTGTTGTTTACAAATGTCTGTCTTTTCGTCAGTTATTGTCGTCACATAATTTTTAGTGAAGCGCCCTCTCAAATGTTCACTGTTGCCAACACATTGAGCGAGAAAAATAGCTTTTGGCATGAGTACTTTGTGTAATGATTTTAGAATATTTAACTGCGTGATGTAACGTACAGTAATGTACACAATGTCTAAATTTTTTGTTAAAAATTGCACTTTACGTTATTTATGCGGCGGTCTTCAAAATGGAAAAGTGACAGACAGCATGAATAAGTATGATACGCTTGAGAGAAACAAAACACAAAAGGGGGAAGAAAACAATACAGTTCCTAATAAGTATTTTTAAAGTACTCTGTTGTTCATACGTATACGAGTAAGTCATAATATTTACTCGTAACAAGCCCACAATCTAGATTTCTTTCATCTAGTGTACCACTCCTCTTCTCAAAGGAAACTTTTATTAAGACATAATTATTCTCCTTCGTCTTTGCTTGTAATATTACCAAAGGTTACTCCCATAACATTAACCTAGATCTATTTCACATAAGCGCAAGCGCAACCTCTTGGCGCGAAACGGTCGCGTGGGACCGACACACAGTACATTTTTTGCACGATTTATTTCTGGCAATGAGTAACACGTTATTTGTGTAGGTATTTTTATTGGTCCAGTGTTGGGTTACTGCCGAAAGTTGTGACAAATGTTTGTACTTGCTTGTAGATAAGTTATCTGCTCATGCAATTGTACTGTTCTAAGCCGTACTGACTAGCCTTGGGCCACATTTGAAAGCTATAAATTCTTATAAATCAGCATATAAGTATTTTTGCAAATAGTCTGGCTAAAAGGGGATATTGAAGCAAGACATAACAGATTAATAATTAATTGACTGTTGTTTGATTAAGTACATAATTTATTTAAATCAATGGGGTGTACGAAAGGAGCCGCCCCGCACGACGTACCACGCCTTCCTGTACATCTGGCAACTTGGTCAACAATCAGCAAGTAACTTACGGCAATTGGCAAATACTTTCACCACGAGGCAAGCATTATGCCATATATACGGTAAGACGAAGACTGTAATAAATAGCTGCCAAATTTTGAAAAAAAAAATTGCCGACTTTATTCGGGGTTACGATAGATAATACCAAAAAGAAAAGTTTTAATATAGTTTAAATTACAAGTAATACAGCGCCAATGTCAATCATGGCTGTAGTATATGCTGAATGAAGTCCTTTTGAGTACGCCGCAACCGCACAAATGACAGAACAAAATTGTAGTCGTTGTATTTTGTTTTTTGTCAGTTCTGTCTTATTTTGTTGTTTTTTTTTTGTTCTATTGTATTTTTTGTTTATTAATTCGTTTTATTTTGTTTTGCTTGTCTGTGTTATCAATATTTTTTTTGTATCTATGTGTTGTGACGTTGCAATAAATGGCTATTCTATTCTATTCTATACTATTCTAAAAATTATAGACAACCTAACTTAGGCATTCATATCATTTGCAAAAGCAGCCATGGCAAGTGGTACAATAATAGTCTTTACATTCTTCCGCTATAGCGGGCTTTACACAAATGCTTTATTGCGCGTGATACAGTAATCGTGCGTAATTACGCTCATCGGTTGCGCGCACAATCCCGCACTTCAACACTCGTTGAAGTTGACTTTCGTGCGGTCTATCCCGCGCTTTGCTCGTCCGTGTAAACGGAGGCTTTTTCCATAACAAAAACAAACACGAACAATCGCGCGCGAAAGAACGTTAGCTGATAAATTTCAAACAGGTAATCGCGCACGATTACGCGCACAATCCTGTACGCTGCTGAGTAAAGTGCAGTGAACGTACACAGGGCGCAATATTATAAGAAAGTAGAAACTCACGGCTAAAGTTAAGGTTGATGGAAGCGGCCACCTCGCCCATCTTGTTCTTTGCCTTAACTTTGTACAGCCCCGCGTCCGACTCGATCACGTCATCCAGCTCCAACACCACCAAGAATTTGTTGTTGGCGATGCTTTGGATCCTGTAAATGCAGATAGTGTTTAGTTTTACCTGTAAAGACTATAGTGGGGCTATCTCTGGGCAGATGATATTTAATTTATACTAGTGTATATACTAGCCTCTGGCTGAATAACGAATATACGGCTAAAACATGGCCGAATGGCTTATCATTCGGTCAAACTAGTCGGTCTGGTTAACGCCCGTGCGAAAATTGGTACGAAAATAGTGATCAGATATTCGGGCGCTTATTTACCTAAACTTCATGGTTTTTATCGGTCACAAAGAAATAATATGGACATGCCTTTCTGAGTAAATGTATGTATTTCTAGGACTTTAATTCTGTTAGCAATAATAACACTTTACATTTTCGTACACATTTTCATAGAACTTTCCGCAATAATGTTTTTTTCAGTGAATGTGTACAGATGGTATTGTACACTGATTCTAAAGTATTACCCTAATTAAAAAAATATTATCATGGCTTGAGTTCTTCGTTAAAATATTTATACGAGTCATTCCTTCCAAATTACGTCACACGCGTCAGCCGTCTTGGTGTATTCGATGTTTCCTGTATTCATTACTAAACAATTGTGAAAATTTTGTTTTATAGTTATTTAGTAAATAATATTAATTAGACATTTTTAAGACCACCATTCAGGTTCAGGTTAAAGGGCTCAAAACCATGGTTTTTTTTATTATATATTATATTTTTAGCCCTTTACAGATACCATGTGGATGGACGTGATATAGATATGCAAAACTAGTTACATCAACTTGCAGATTTTTGTAAAATAATACGACGAGAACACCGACATTTTCGTTATTAAGAATGTTCTCAAATGAAGATAGTTAGCACAGACATATATCTAGATAGACGCCGCAAGTCCAGCAATTTGTATGAAAACTGAGCGTGCCACATTTTATGTATCAACCATGACGTCACAAGAACTATTAGTGTGTAGTAGTGATGGGAAACCTCTTTCCGCGCTAAATCTGCTACTCTGCATATTTGGATAGGTGGGATAAACTCGACCACCTCGTCCTTGTTCTGAAGCGTAGAGACGGCAACTAAGTGTTTTTCGATCGATTGATTGAACGGAATACGCGTAAACACGCGTATTCCATTCAATTAATCGATTCTAAATATAATAATTTTTCATCAAGTATTGTTGATTACAATATGTAATAGTAATATAGTAGAAAAATACTAGAATAACACAGTTTAGTCCTTTATTTTACTTTAAAAAAATTCAGACTTTACTTTTTAATCGACTTCAAATATTAAAATTATTGTTCTTCCAGTAAAATGAGCTTATACAACATCTTTTTGTAATAGAAGATCTTATCGATTAACTTAAATAATGAAAACGCACCTCAATATATGCTTAATTAACTTGCCACTGTCTTAATTAATTTTACTAGATGGTTTTCTGTTGGTAATTGATCAAATTGATGAATGACAGGACAAATGAAAATGTTACTGCTGACAAAATATGGTAAAATCTTATTAATTAGAAGAGGTTTACTTAAAGATCGCCTCGTGAGAAATTTTGTTATTTGTTTATTATTTCTCGGACTTCTAACTCTGCTACTGTGCATATTTGGATAGCATCTTAGGTGGGATAAACTAGTGGTCTAGTCCTAGTCCTTCGTTCTCGAAAGCAACGATCTCTTTTTTTCTAAAGACAGCGCACTGTTAACTCTTGTATATTTTTTGTATTATTCGTAATAATTAAATATTAGTAATAATTAATATGTAATTATTGTCTCACTATATTCGGACATTCGAGGCAACGTGCTGCAAAAATTATGAAATTACCGATACTACTGATAGTATACTACAAAACTGAAAAAAAAAACGAAACGTACTAAACGTTATAACAAAAGAGTTATAGAATATTTTTATAATATTGCTAAGGTCATAATAATTTTCGTTCCTTTGTTTTCAAAATCGATCAGAATCGAGAACAGTGTTGCCTAACGTATACATCACTAAATGTTAAGTTTGGCCAAAAAAATGTACAAGCGGCCGTACCACAGAAACTGAATGCATTATGCAAAAGTGCGTTCATTCGATATTTATGGCGTATTAATAAAGTATCACAAATATATCGCACCAAGTAAAAGCTGCAATGTATTACAAATCATGATGCATGCCCTGGCTTGCATATTTGTTTCCACGAAATTCATACAAAACCAAAATAATTGTTTTTAAAATAAATTATGCATCTTCTGATTACAAAATCACTTACCCGTGGAAGGAAACGTCCCTGTTTACCCATTTACCCACACTTATGGTGCTTTTGCAGTTTACAATAGCACAATTATGCATTTTTCGCGTTTTGGACTGGTGTTTATCTACGATAACGGTCGGGCGCGTTCTGAAGTGTAGCACCGGCAAGTAATTGAATTTCACTTACTTTGGGCACGCGAAGTACGTACACTTGCGGCGTCTATCTAGATATATGTCTGTGATAGTTAGCAATATTTTTAAAACTGACAAAATGGGAACAAAGTTTCACTTCCTCGTTAAAATAAAAGTTATAAAACTTCACACATGCATAATTTGTTTGTTATTGTTCATAATATTTTTATGGCTTTCATGTGATAAAAGCACTTTTGAGGTATGATTACAAACATGTGGCTGTATTATACCAATGGTACGAATTCCACTTTTAATACTCGTTTTATTCGCATGTAAAGCTATTACTTCTATAACAATTAAAAATTTTGCCCAAGCGACATATTGTTAGATTGCAAATTGCTGCCAAGTGTGCCAGCTTACTCTGTTTGGCTGGCAACGTACATCAAAGGAAGTATTAGAGAAAACAAATCGTAAACCTGCCTCAAGGTAAAAGGAACGTTGACCTAAATGGTGTCGCCACATGCTACTACCATTTGTCATTGTTTCAAAAGGAAAAACGTAATTTATTATTACAGCTAGAATATGAGTTCAAGTGGATTTATAGTTTGCTATCTCGCCAAATTCCTGATAACGGAATTCATTTCATCTTTCGTAAGCTTTATGAAGCTTAAAAGCTCCCCTTAAATGTCAAATTTGACTGACAGGTTAGGTTCGGGGAGGGGATTCTGTCGCGCAAAGTCGATCTTGGATCCCTCCCACTAGAGCACCCGAGAAGGCCACCGTGGGGTTTTAGCCGGTAGAACTAGAAGTAGAAGCCGGTAGATTAACCTCTAATGCCCCCGCCGCGGCGAGATATCCAAGGAGAACTTCCCTACTAAAAAAAAGATAGCGAGTACTTCTACTCAATGAAGTTTCTAGCTTTGAACAAACACAGAGAGAATTACTTTATAATATATTTTCAGAGCTGAAAAAAGATCTTACACATAAAATTGAGTCAATCCAATTGGAGCAAAATAAAGTGAATAACCAATGACCGCATTCCATAGTTCACCTTGTCAACTGTCATACCAACAAATCCACACCACACTCCGTGGATACGATCCAAATAGCCGATGAAGGCACTAACGTTACACGGGCCATTGATGCAACAGATTTAGAATGACAATTGATAGGCAGTCTCGAATTTGTACCGAGAAATGTTTCGACAGATGATGCAATGGGATTTCAAAAGGAAACTTATTGGCCGAGTTTTTAGGTATGATTGCTGAAGTGCGCTGTTAGCCATCCTTCACTAATACAAGAATGACAAAAGTTTAAACTTAGGAAATGAAACTTTCAGCTGACTGATCATGGGCCGTGACCATGGGATCTGTAAAGGGCCCAAAACGTTTTTAGAACATGATACGTTGAGAACACCAACATTTTCGTTATTAAGAATGTTCTCAAATGAAGATTGTTAGCAATATTTTTAAAACTGACATATCTGGATCAAAATTCTGCATTGAAAAATATAAAATACAGATTTACGAGAGTATTATAAATAGCCGTTGTGAAGTGACAAATGAGATGACGAAAGGAGGAAATGTGTCATGATTTCATTATACACCAGGAACACGTCAACAAAAGAATATATCTTAATTATCAATAATTAGCACTGTACAATGCTTCTGGCATATTTTTGAAGATATAACGATACAATTATTTAGCGTCTCGAGAGTTTTTTCGTACCTACGAACTAAATCAAAAATGGGTGGGTAAGATCGATGTGATAAAAAGATGGTACATTAAGAAACTGAACAATAGCAACATTCAGTCAGCATATCTTACGAATTTCTCTATGTGCTTGTTGCAGATCTTTGTATTTATTTTACGGTTACCTTTACAGAAGCCAGAAGCAATAGGTAGTCTGTTTTGTTCTGTGTGTGTTCGATATTCGTATGAATCATAATTAGATGTCCAAAATGTAAACAAAAAACCTAGTAAAAAACATAATTTAAATTGTAATTTCCTATTTTTGATGATAATGAACGTTTAGAACACTTTTCAAGTTGTAATTTGATAAAACTTATGAGCAAAATGTGAATTTGGTATTATCAATATTTTTACTTATTTTCTTTTAGTGCAATAATTATAATAAAGGACTATGTTTAAGGTCGTTAGGTAATTTTATGACACTGGTAACACAATCGGGATTAAAAACTTTTTATTGCCGCTATTCCGTCGTGTCATAGATGTCATCCATGCTTCGTTTCTCGAACTTGAATGTATTCTTGTCTCCGTAGTGCGAGATTGTTGTGTTATTGTTAGTTTTTGTTTATTGTTAATATTTTGTAATAAAGAATTGAAAGTGTAGATAATGAGAACCTCCTCCTTTTCCACTTCCATTAAAAATGGATAGTTTACCTGCATTCACGCTTTGACAATGACATTTTATGACATTTCTTTGTGCACGTTTTGGACATTTATTATGATTCTTTGGCGTTTTTGGCCAATATTACCTGACTGCACTCTTTGAAACTGTTGATCAACATGAATTGATCGCATTCCTCCAAATTGAGACTAGGCCAATCCTAGTGGCCGAAATAAAGGAAATAATAATAATATAATTCATATTATAATGGAATATTTTCTCAATATATATTTACTCAAATAAAACAGTAAAGGCAACTTACTTAAACTTAGTTCTATTATCTTCTTTGAGCAGTTCATCGCTGCGGTACCAGCAGATCTCCGGCTTAGGAGAGGCCAGCAGCTGGCATTCGAAGACGAGCTTGTTGCCGTCATCCTCCTGCCTGAGCTGAGGCTTCTGCGTGAAGCTCGGGGCTAAATCGTCTGACACCCCCATCTTGTTAGCTGGTCATCACGGCATTGGTCGAATATTGGTTGTGGGGACGTGAAGAGGCGTGCTCTTCGACCTGTTGCACAAAAGAATATCGTTAGTGCGAGGTAAAACACAACAGAACATCTGACTACTTAGAAAGGTTAGGTGTTTTGCTACAGCATTGTTAAGAACACTAAAGTCAAACACTGCATCCATACTTTTTTATGTTACCAAGTGACGGGACGAACAAGTCGTGTGTCTGATGGTTAGCGTTGTAGTGCCACTCACAAAGTTCCGAGGGGCACTGCCACGACGCCCGTCACCCTGAGACATAAGTTGACAAGTCCCATGTGTCTGTAATTTCATCAGTACCTTTCAAAACTCGACCGCAACAATGCTCTTATTACAGCTCGGCAGCAGAAATAGGTAAGGTGGCAGTATTTCTCTGGATGAATTCTTTCACAAGAAGCACTACTGCTACTGAAGCGCATGTCATTAAAACATTTTAATCATACAAAGTTTAAAATAAATTTAAGTGAAAAGGTATAACGTAGTAATAATGAAGTTATATAATTGACTTTTCGTTACTGAATATCTCGAATGTTTACTTAAATCATGAAAACGCTCGTCAAAATATTAACTTGTAACTGCCTTAATTAAATTTACTAGATGGTTTTTTAGTAATGTTGTTTTGTAGTGTGATGGGTGAAATGGCAGTGCTCCTCAGATCTTTGCGATTTAAAGCTCTGAGTCGCTTGGTGTCAAAAAAAAAAACATCCTAACCAGTACAAGTAGTAACTGGGAAAGAGAAACTTATACATTTATGGTATATATTCAGTGTAACAGTTGCAACCATGATTTTAAGCTATATCTCTCATGAAAAGAACAACGTAAGTTCTCCAAACAAATATGAGATTGACCAAACACATTTTATATAGCAAGCAGAATTACATATGTGTATACAGCGTAATTAAAATTGTTTCGATCCACAGGTAAAGATACCTTATCGGGGCTCTTTTGGACATCAATAGCGGGCTTTAAACAGACACTCTATCGCGCGTGATACAGCAATCGTTTGCGATTGAGAGCTCGTGTGAAGACGTTGGAAGAAAAAGGGAAAGACCGCACGATTGTGCTCTTCAGTCGCGCGCGCAATCACGCACTCCAAGACGCGCCAGTTTCACGCGGTCTATCCTGCGCTATTAGCCTTTACATAGACGCTCTTTCCGTTGTAACAAAAACGAACACGAGCAATCGCGCGCGAAAGAACGTAGAAATTTAAAAAAATTCAAACAGGTAATCGCGCACGCTTGTTCGTACAGGCTTTCCCGCGCACGATAGAGTGACACTGTGTAAAGGGGGCTAATTATTTGTGCCTCTACCACGAGATTACAGTAACAGTACCACTAGCAATCGCGTAAAATATTTGTATATAATTTACCGTACAAAATTGTCAAGTAATTACGCGGTGGCATGCGACAACTGTCCAAGCAAACTCGTGGTAGAGGCACTGGAATACCCTTGACTATGAGTAGGTATTAGAGAAGCGGAATTCACTCCTAGGAACTACGAATAAATACCCAGATCAGAACCTATTAAGAGCACACCAATTTCAGTATCTACGTATGGATATGGTCCACATTTAGTTCACGTAATATCAAATGTCAACTGATTCGACCGATTTGTAGCAAAGTAATAAAATATTAACTACTTCACTACAAAACATGAAGTCGATAATTTCTTCTCCAAAATACCACGCGAGAAAATGGTAAAACTGAAAAAAAAGTTACCAAAATCAGAGATAGATGTCATGTTTCACAAAAATAAATATATTTGTCCGAGTTACCAGTGCAATAGACTGTGGTATGTTATTAATTAACTCAGTTGTTTGTTATGGCTTACCTTAATGCCTTTTGACCATACCAGTATACAAAGTAATTTCTTAAATAACCCCTAAATAACCCATGCCACCATTCAGCGTCTATTAACTGTGTTTAAGGTTTCTGTAATTTATTTTGATATATAAATAATACACCGAATATATTTTATTCAATTACGTAACGCATAACCACTAAAACTTCAAACTGGAATATCTTTCATTCCTGACTTCTCAGAATAGTAAACCCAAAACAAAATTTGTACAGGAATTTCAACTTTATATTTTCACATATTCTTCATAAATCTACATACGAATTACGTCAACAAAAATTTATACGGGAGTTTGCCGTTGTCCTTTATGTAAATAATCTGCATGAAATAATTTTTTTTAATCTAAATTGCGTATATTTTGTATTTGGTTTTTTAACGACTTTTTAGTAGACATGTGTAAGTAATGTGAGTAATATTACAAAGGTAATATCACTCGACAGGGTACTGTTATATCACGCATCACTTCGGAAAAATATGCATTACTCATAACATTACCCATTACATAGACCATGTCGGGGTGCTCTGGGAGTTTCCCAAAATGAACTAAATATAGTAAATATCTATATTAATAGCGCCACCCAGCAAATTTTCGACGTACTACTTGATCGGACATTGCTAACCGTGCCGTAGGGTTACGTAGCGCTGCTGCCAGGTGTCGCTACTAACACTCATTACGCGAAACAGTACTCGGCGTGATGCAATACTGTGATGCTATGATGCAATGTAATGCTAACATCACGCGTGATGTTCTCATTACGCGTGATGTTAGCATTACGCGTGATGTTAGCATTACGCGTGATGTTAGCATCACGGAGTGATGTTAGCATTACACATTACCCGCGTGATGCATCGCTCGGAAACAGTACGCGCGTGATGCATTACCCGAAACATTACCCGCGTGATATTACCTGAAACAGTACACGTGATGCTTATATTACGCGTGATGCTTAGAACATCACGGAGTGATGTTTGTTTAATACTATTATGCGAAATGCAATGTAAATGCATCTAATTTGGAATATTGCAGTAGAACGATGTTTGTATTAATACCCCAATTATTTCATAATTTACTAAATGGTGTAAAAGGATGGAACCGTAGACAATTTAAAATGAAATTGCATAATTTGTTAATCAGTGCTTGTGCTTGGTTAAATATATTTCGATCTTTCTTGGTAATCTAGAAGGAGATGGATACGCTTTCATACAATCAATCCAAGATGTAAAAACATGAAGGTAGTATCAGTTAATTGCGTAGGTATTGATGTACCATCACTGAAAATTCTGCGAATTGAACTGAAAGCAGAGCTATAAGAGATTTAGTAAAAGTGAGGTTATGTAACAACTTATAATTAACGTCTGATTTTTGGAGTGCATTTGTTATTTTACAACTTACTAGATGGTGTAAACGAATTAAACAGTAGACATTTAAAATGAAATTGCATAACTTGTTAATCATTGCTTGATTACGTGGCAATTTATAATGTAAAATTTAACCAGGGTGAGTGTGGGTTGCCAGACGGTTCGTAATATTTCGTAATTTTTGTTTGATTCTCTCTAGTAATATGTAAGTAGATCTTGTTTATAATGCAAGTTTATGTTCTAGAAATGCGTTTTATAGGTTGTTTTAAAACGCATCGCTTTTTTAACCGACTTCAAAAAAAGGAGGAGGTTGTCAATTAGTCGGTGTTTTTTTTTTTTTTGGTTGTGTGTGTTACACTGTGTGATGTTGTGGGTAATAGTAATATCACAGAGTAATATTACTTTTACGGAAAGGTGATGTGATATCACATTACTTTTCGAGGTACTGTTTTGCGCACGTCTACTTTTTAGTCGTAGCGCCATCTATGAGAAATCTATGAAAGTTTTATCAACCAATTAGATACCTTTGTACCTACCAACCATGGCGAGAGATATCGCTATTCAGTGTATATGAAATTTTTATTGAATTGATATTCAATTACTTTTGTGAAATTACTCCACTAGTTTGTTATAATTATTAATACACAGATCGACCACTCAGAAAAAATTCCTTCGATCCGGCCGGATTGGAATTTTTTCTGAGTGTTCGATCTTTGTTGAATTTAATAAAAATTTATAATCTGTTTCAATTTGATTTAATTTTTGTTTTGTTTGTGATTCTGTTTTGTCATTATTTGTTTGTGTACTAAGTTTAAAAACATATATTTTTTTAATTTTATTTTCTTTTTCTTTGTTTGTGATGCTGTTTTGTAATTATACGCTTGAATGTTTTATTTTTTTCGCTTTTCTTCTGTTTCATTTATTTTCTTCTTGTGTGGTTCTTTTGTGATACTTAATTAAATATATTTTCTTCTTTCTATTATGAGTACGATCGGTAGCTAAAATAAGAGGTTTTTGTTCAACTTTTAACATTATTATAGTGTCAGTGGTATGGGCACTAATTCCCCATTTACCGTTACTACGTCACAACCAACTTAAATTACAAGTTATAAATACTAATTTACAGTGAAACATTACATGAAATTTATAAATAGCATAAAAACGAAACTAAAGCCCTTCAAATTTGTTTATTTTAATCCAGAATTCACAAAGTAAATAAACATTCTAACGAATATAAAGCCGTAACCTTGATACGGAATTGAGATGCAGTTAACTTGTGCCATCATTTCACGGAATACACTCGAGATATTCACATTCGCTCTATAAATTTGTACCGTTAATTAATTTATATTATTTTTATTTTTATTATTACGGACAAACCAGTAAAAATAATTAAAGAAACATTATTAACAACTTAAAAAGAATGATATAATATTAATTACCTTTCAAGCATCCCTTTTTACAATAATGCAAACATTCTGACATTATTCCTGACTATCCGTCCACAAAGAAGTCGCATTCAGGGTTGCTGGTAACGAGAGAATTGAGCGCTGACAGAGAGCTCGATATGGATGAATTCACCAGTTTCTCCTCACTAGCTCGGAAAGATTTCTTTCTCATTAGAAACATGCGCGCAAAAGCGTTTTTTGCACGCTAGCGTGGAAAAGGTTTATGAAATTCGAATTTGACGATGAATTGTGGTATACCCATGCACCTAACTTTTACTTTCGATAAAAAAAAGATAATGACACGTTCGACTTTACCTATTTATGTAATATAAATCCATTGGTATATTTTATTGTTATT